AGAAATGTGAGCTAGAGTTTTGGGCTAGGGCTTTGGGCTAGAGCTCTGGGCCAAGGCTCTGGGCCTAGCACTATGGGCTAGAGCTATGGGTGTCCCCTTTAAAAATTTATCACTCGAATATTGCTCAGGTCTTACCATAGGTACCTTTTACCTTTGTTTAAATTTTTTGTATTTAAGCTTTACACTAACAAGGGAATTTTACAAACTGCCCATTCGCTTTTTAAAAATGAATAGTACCATGTGAAAGAGCGTAAAAAGTTGACTAGTAAATTATTTTCAAAAAAGTGCTAATTTTGCCTTACAAGCTTGCTAGCGAGCTTTTAAAATTTTTACTATTAAAACGTCTTTTTTAATTCCGTTTTCTTTGGCTTCTTCCAACGAAGAGTTGAAAACGTGTTCGAATGGCCGAGTAGTCAAAGGCGCCCTGATTGGCAATCGTGCGGATCAGGTTCGATTCTCATTTTGTGATAAATGAGTGGTATTCTTTTTTATTTAAACGTTAATTAATTTAAATATACAAAACAAAATTTTTTTTGTTGATAATTGCTTCTTACATCTAGTAAAACATAAAAAAAATAAAAACTAAGGTGTTTAAAGATATAAGGATCCAAACGAAAGAATAATAACTTAAAAGGCCCTTTCCATAATGATTTTAAAAGCTCGCTAGCGGGCTTAAAAGAAAAAAATTAGCAGATTTTGAAAGCAGATTTCTAATCAACTTTTTACGCTCTTTCACATGGCACTATTCACTTTTAAAAATCGAATGGGCAGTTTGTAACATTCCCTTGTTAGTCTAAAAAGACTTTAACAATAATTTTTTTAATAACGATGTTGACTACAAAGAAAAGCGACATTTAAATAATGATTAGTTTAACCATTTCACTACAACCTAGCTTTTAAAAACCATTAAATTTTTCTCGAAACCCCTATGTTTAGAAATTATGAACAGAAGAAAGAAAGTTCAGACGTCGAATTCCCATTTATTTATTTTGTTCTCATGCAATTGCCCCGCCCGTTCATTCCCAAAAACTGATATCAAAAAAGAAAAAAGTTTTCGAAATTGACTATCAGAATCCCGTTTTATCAGTCTAGCTGATAAAAGGCCACTTTTTCATGTGATAAGGGGTGGATACGAAGAGTGCGAGCGTGGTAAAGAACAAAGACTGATATTGACGACAAACGACTGTGATAAGTGATGACATTACGTCATAACCTTGAGGATTACCTTGAGATTTTGTTGGTCTGTGTGGAAATGAACTACCCTACCCTACCCTACCCTACCCTACCCTACCCTACCTTACCCTACCCTACCCTACCCTACCCTACCTACCCTACCCTACCCTACCCTACCCTACCCTACCCTACCCTACCCTACCCTACCCTACCCTACCCTACCCTACCCTACCCTACCCTACCCTACCCTACCCTACCCTACCCTACCCTACCCTACCCTACCCTACCCTACCCTACCCTACCTACCCTACCCTACCCTACCCTACCCTACCTTACCCTATACTGCCCTACTTTACTCTACCCTGCCCTACCCTGCCCGACCCTACATTATTAAAACACATAGTAAACAAGTTTATTATGTTAAAAGTGCATTTACCTTTTCTTATTTACCACTTTACAATGCGTCAATTAACTTTGCAATTTATTTTATTGCTTTGTAAAATTATTGAGAAATAAAGAATGATGAAGTATCGACTTGAATTTACATCACATTTATAACCGATAAGCAGTCAATCAACCACGACCACATTTATCATGGTTTAATAAGGCTCCGCTACTGTTTTATCAAATTTTTTAAATTTAAAATATACTCTACCCCATCCTAGCTAAAGCTAAAAGAAACGCAAAAGCTACGACAAAGGCTAAAGCTTACTCTCAAGCCAAGACTTAAACTCAAGCTTAGTTTAAATGTCTCTACAAGCACAAGCCCAACAATAGGCTCAAACTCAAACTCAAGCTCTAGTTCAATTTCAAGTTCAAAAGTAAGCTCAGGCTTAGGCTCAAGCTCAAGCTCAGGCTCAGACTCAGTTTTAGGCTGAGGCACAAGGTCAAGGTCGGGCTAAACTCAGGCGCAGGCGCAGTTCCAGGCTGGCCTCAAATTCAGGCTCAATCTCAAGCTCAAACTCAAACTCAAGCTCAAGCTCAAGCTCAATCTCAAGCTCAACTCCAAACTCAAGCTCAGGTCAAGGCTTACCTCAAGCTAAAGCTCAAACTCAAACTAAAGTTTAAGCTAAAGCCAAAGCTAAATTAATGTTGAAAACAAGCCAACAATTTTTAAAACAACAACTTTAGCAACAGTGTAATGTTGTTGTAGTAGACTTTACACTCAACCTTTTTTGCCTTTCACGCCCGATTAAAACGGGAGAGGAAGTGCGCCACTTTTACAGCTGGACTAACCTTTAGGTCACATGAATTCTCATAGCTTCGAATTGTAACATTCTGTTATCAGTTTTCTCTTTCATCGGGGATTCTCAAGGTAACAAATAATCAAATGCGTCATTAGATTTTTAATTGATGAAGCAGAAGAGTTTTAATAGCCCTGACCCTAGCCCAGAGTTGTAGCCCAGAGCCCCAGCCCAGAGCCCTAGCCCAGAGCCCTAGCCCTAGCCCAGAGCCCTAGCCCAGAGCCCTAGCCCTAGCCCAGAGCCCTAGCCCAGAGCCCTAGCCCAGAGCCCTAGCCCAGAGCCCTAGCCCAGAGCCCTAGCCCAGAGCCCTAGCCCAGAGCCCTAGTCCAAAGCCCTAGTTTAAGATCTAGCCTCCGCTCGAATCCTAGCTAAAACTCTAATCCAAACTGTAATTTTATTCTAAGCTCTAGCTCTATCCTTGAATCTAGCCCCTCTACAATAATATCATACTGTAATTTTCTTTACTGTACCCTCAGTACCTCAACTTAAAACACAGATACATCAAGCCAAACAATTTTAACTCACCAGTAGCTTATCAGTCAAAAAATTTTATGACCCAGACATGAAATATACAACATGACGTACTATACAAAAAGTTACAAACTGTTTTAATAAAAGTGCACCCGATTTCACGTGAATCCGGAAAACGGAAGTTGAGGGTACACAAAGCGAATCGACCGAAAAGATCTCTGACTACGCTTCGTTTAGTTAAATTCCTACATGGCCCAAAAATAGACTGTCACGGACGGATTTGGAATTTGCACGAAATTAACTTTACAATGTTTAAATTCTAAATTTAAATCTTTGTTCTATTTAGAAGGATTAAGAAATGGCAAAAGAAAATATTATACTATAGAACAAAGATTATAGATATAGTAGTACGAAAATTACGGTAAGAAAAGTGATAGAAAAGTGATAAGTACACTAAAGTAAGGTAGAGTACCGTTGAGAAATACAGTAGGGCAAGTAGAGTGAAACGAGACTAAGGCAAGGATAGGTAGTGTAGAGCAGGGCTAAGGTAAGATAAAGTAAAGAAAAGCAAATGTAGGGTAGGGTAAGGTAAGGCAGGATAGATAGGTCAAAGGTAAGGATAGGGTAAGGCAAGAGTATGGCAAGGGTAAAGCAAGAATAGAGCAAAGGTAGGGCAAGGGTAGAGCAAGGGGAGGGCAAGGGCAGGGCAACGGTAGGGCAAAGATAGAGCAAGGGTAGAGCAAGGGAAGGGCAAAAGTAAAGCAATGGTAAAATAAAGTATTTACCAAAATTTTTGGTAATAACATAGAATCCGCAGCCTGCAAGACCCAAAAAACTGATTTTTAGGTAATAAAATGGATTACCTAACTAAATATGACATTTTTACTTTACTTTAACCAAATAAATATTAAACACTTCTAGTTATATAATACGTACGAAGACAGTATAAAGATCGTCTGTTGATTTATTACCTATTTTTCCAAAGTTTTCGTAAATTGGAAAAACAATGAAGTCAAGCCTTTCTCTTATCAATATCACCCTTTTCAATGTTCTTATTTCATCGAAATTCAAAATAAAGGAAGCACAAAGTCATTTCTTATGATAAAATGCCCTCTTACCTATATATGACTTATTAAAACGTTGTTATAGACAAATTGTTATATGTTTAGACGTATTTTACTAAAAGAACTATTAATATAGCCCTAAATTAAGACTTTTTTTACTTTTCTACCTACTTTTTGACTACAAGAAAATAAAAAAAAACCTTTAACTTAATATCCCAGTTTAAAATGTACAATAAAAAAAACAATGATAACACAGAGCTCTCAAGATACGAAGTCAAGAGTACAGTGAACCCTCTTATCAATTGAAATCCAAATAATAGAAAAAAATATGAAAAAAGTAAGAAAATTCGCCAAGTTTGCAAAAAATAAACGATAACAGCAGCGTTTTTATTTACAAAACAAAATTTGAAGCTTTTAATTCAATTTTTAAATATTTCTTGTTTTCGTGGTGGGACTCAAAATTTAATTTCTTTTGATAAAACTGAATTATTCGTGCTCTTAAAATTTAAAAAATAGGTTTGAGACATTAAAAAAGGTATTGTAGCTAAAAAAGCTATTATCAAGTTTTCAAGTTTTCGTGGTGGGACCCAAAAGGTTAATTTTTTTGTATAAATTTACTTGTACGTACGCTTAAAAACTAAAAAAAATAAGATTAAAACTTTAAAACAGATATTTTTGATAAAAAACTTGACTTTAAACTTTTTCAGTTTTCGTGTTGGGACCCATAAGATTCTGAATATTTTCTCCAAAACAAATTAAATTTCTGTCAATTGTTTTTATCGTATTTTACAAAACGTTAAAAATTACAAAAATACACTTTCTGACATCTTGATACCATGTGCCATATCTTTACAATCCTTGTCAATATAAAGTGTCCAAAACAAGCTCTTTAAAGGTTTCTCATTTCGTATTCAAAAAACAAAAATAATAGTATTAGGTGTCCAAACTATAATATTTTTGATTTATTTTTTACAAAAAATATACATAAACAACCAACTAATACATTAAAAAGATAAAGTAGTATGTACAGGATGGTCGGGCTTCAGTATCAGATGTTTCCGGCCGCCACTTCTTCCGGTAAATTCTCCAACCGCATCCGGAAGAACCCTGCAAAGGAGTATGCCATTGGAAATGACATCAATTGAAGAGATTTTGCTACCCTACCCTACCGTACCCTACCCTACCCTACTCTACCGTACCGTACCGTACCGTACCGTACCGTACCGTACCGTACCGTACTCTACCCTACCCTACCCTACCGTACCCTACCCTACCCTACCCTACCGTACCCTACTTTACCATACCGTATACTACTCTATGTACTCCCCCCCCCTTGACCTCTATATCTATAGTAGCGTTATCCACCTTAGATTCAGAAGTAGCCTTATCTACTTATCACTCTGTAGCAGTCTTAACTACTTCTATCGTTGTCCTACATTACTCTATCATCAGTAATCTCACACTTTCTAATACCTCACTTACTTCTACTATAACATATTTTTAGCCTACTCCTCCCCTAACTCAATAAAAAATTATTCACTTATTAAAAATTGTTAAAACAAACACATAAATTCGTATTTTACCAGTCAAATTTCATTTCTTACCGTTCTCTCCCCAATCTCGACCCCATGTGTTGGCGTACGTCCAATACTCGATGCCATTCTCTTCGCCCCATCCTATTAGTTTGGCACAATGGCCATACAACATCTTCGCATCTGGTGATGTTTTATTGTAGATTCCACCCTTGTAATGTTGGAATTCGTCGTATACGGGGAAACAACTCATGACAGGACCATTTAGGTACACTTCGCGTTTGATCAGGGTCACGTAGTCTACTAAAACAATATAATCTTAGATGTCGATTATAAAGCTACATAAAATTTTAAATCAAAAATTTTTTTAAAAATGCAAAAAGGTATAATTTATAATGGCATTTTAAAAAAATAACCGATAAAATTTGTGACACTTGGCACGTTTTCCAATAATAAATGTTACATTTCGCTTACAAAAAAAATATAAATCGATTCTTTGCAATATTTTCTGGTAAAATACGCCTTTCTATACTTTATCCAATAATATGTTTTAATTTTCAGAAAACCCGATAAAATTTGTGACCCTTGGCAACAATTTCTCAATAATAAATGTGACATTTCGTTTAAAAAATATATAGCAATAGCAATAGCATTTATTTCTTTTTGGTAAAATACGGAAAATACTTTCCAAAAGCCCAAATATTAAAAAAAATTTTTTAATTCAATACAATTTGTGACACTTGGCAACATTTTCCAATAAAAATATGATACTTTACTTCTTTATGAAAAAAATGAAAAATCAACTAAAAAAACAAGTTTTTACTGATTTTTTAAAATTACGTCAAATTGGTTCAGGCTCAGATTTAAAAAAATTATTTTTTTAACCTTTCCGATAATTTTTTTTGACATTTTGTCATTTTTTAAAGAAAAACCAGGAGTTACCACTTTACTGCCAGCTTTTTATAGGTAAAATACGCAATTTTTACCTTACAAGTAATTTTAAAAAACAGATAAAACTTGTGAAACATTGTTAACTTTTCCAATAATACTGTGACACTTCGTTTATAATCAATAAAAACAAAAAATTTGATAAATTTTTAGTTTTTAAATTATTTTTAAAATACGGAAAAAATATTCCTTCACTTAAATTTTTTGGGGCTCAGGTAGTATAGTACCCCGTGATATTATAATACCCCCAGCAATATTATAGTACCCCAACTTGAATTTATTTATTTTAAAGTATATTTCGTGGACAAAGCGGTCTAAAATGTCTTCGTGTCTACTTAGTGGGGTACTCAACTACTTAGTATAGTACTATAGTAAGTAGTTGAGTACCCAACTATGTAGATGAGTACCCTACTAAGTAGATGAGTACCCTACCACAGAGTTTGGTACTATACTAAGTAGTCGAGTACCCCACTATGTAGATGAGTACCCCACTAAGTAGATGAGTACCCTACCACAGAGTTTGGTACTATACTAAGTAGTCGAGTACCCCACTATGTAGATGAGTACCCTACCACAAAGTTTGGTACAACACTAGGTAGTAATATGTCCAAACGAATTTAACTTACCTAGAAAATTCGTATTTGTTAGCAACGGTGCAGTGATCAGAATTTGATCCAAACCATTGTACCCACGCCTGCTCTGTATTGATAGTTCTTCCTGGAATGCCATGGGAATTTTGGAGACATCATGCGGTCTAGATCCGAAAGTGTCCGACCGTCCATGACCGCAATGGAAACGAAACAATAAATAAAATGAATCGGATTTCCGATTACGCAACTTTTAAAAAAATGAAATAAAAAATCGTCAGAAAATTTGTTTTTTTAGGGTACTATAATGCAGTAAGTTGGTTGGGTACTATATTACAACTTTTGGGGTACTACAACTCTTGAGCGCCAATTTTTTTAAATTTGGAACTTCCGGTAAAACTTGCATTGTAGCACCTTGTAGTATTTTTCGATAAATTTGTGACATTTCGTTTCATTTGGTAAATGCAATATGTTATATTATAAAATAATAGCTTAGTAAATTGATGGTAAAATACGTTTTGTTCACCATATGAACACAATTTTTTCTTGATTTTTAATTTTATTACCTATTTGGTTGTTCAAATAGTTAAGTGCCCACACGCCCAGAAAAGTTGCTTTGAAAGAGGGGACACAGAATTATTTGAACAACCTAATAGTTATATATTTACAATAACCAAACACTAGATATTTTAGAAGCTGTAAAAAACTTTGTTTCCACCTAGTGTTCCTCGAACTTTTTATAATCAAGCGCACCGTTGCTTAACTTGCCAGATCGGACGGGACCGCGCCTTCGCACTGTGCAAAACAGACAAATGGCGCTGCACGGTGCAGAAATCGATTTTATGGTAATAACTTTGTTTACAAGCTCAGTACTTACAATCTCCCACAATAGCTCGTACTCGTTTCATGTAGTCAGGGAAGTACTCATCAGCATTAGGTATAGGCTTGATCCAATAAGCCTCGCGGGCATGTAGCAAGTCCTCTTCGTATGTCTTTGAATATAAAGGTTGACATTTGCGTTCACAGAACTTGTCATCGATCTGGTTAGTGTAGTAGTCGGTGGGGCATGGGTTACCACAACTAGCCGACTTTTCGTATGGCTTACAGCCTTCGTAGCTACCGTATTGACCTCCGGTTACTATGCCATCCGTCTTCCAATAGGTAAAGGCAAAGAGTGGCCATGTAGCTCCGCCACAGCTAAAAAGATAAGAGACAGGTAATGTAAAGTAAGGTAACATAGGGTAGGGTAGGGTAGGGGGTATGGTAGAGTAGGGTAGGGTATGGTAGGGTAGGGTAGGGTAAAGTAGGGTAGGGTAAGGTAGGGTAGAATAAGGTGGTTCATTTCCATTCAGATAAACTAAAATCTCAAGGTAATCCTCAAGGCTATGACTTATATGTGATTATGATAAGATAAAAACTTACGTTCCACAATGCGGGCAGCACATCAACAAGTCCTTGATCGATATCTGTGGTTGTTGTGTATAATTCGACTGTATGCATATACGATCAGCGATGGCAGACGTAGCCGATGCAGCCCAACAAGACCCACATGATCCTTGATTCTGAATCCGATGAACTGAAGAACATAGTGGCCACTTTAACCTGATGTCAAATGACTTTGGTATCTTAACATCACGACGTGCTACAAGGCGTGGCAGATACGACAATGTGTCACCGAACACGGCGTATTTGTTGTTCTTGAATATGTTGAAGATTTCGTTGTCCTTCTCTTTGTTCTTTTCGTTTGGAGTATCTTCTTCTTCATCCATGCCTCGGGCTGCAAACTTGTTGTACTCTGCCTGGAAGTGGGGGTCATGATTAATATAGTCATTTGTAGTTATTACAGTCCTTTTTTGCCAGTTTATAAAAACGTTTTAGGTAAAATACGCCACGATTAGATATAATGTTAATTTACCTTCCATTCTGTTTGATGTGCTGGGTTGTTAATATAATTGACCAGTTTTAAATGATATTCTTCGTCGTCTCGCGAGTGAGGCCTGTGATTTGTGGAAGGCTAAAATAACACTTTTAAAATTAGTTTTCTTAACATTGATAACGATTTTATCTACCCTACCTATGCCTTTACTGTACCCCCGGCTCTATCATACCTAGTTTCAAAGTACCCAACGGCTTTACTGTACCCGGCTTTACCGTACACAACCCTAATGTACCCGGATTAGCCGTATCTAACTCTACGGTACTCGGCTCTACCATACCCGGCTCTCTCTGATCTTACCCTACCCTACCCTACCTTACCCTACCCTACCCCACCCTACCCTACCCTACCCTACCCTACCCTACCCTACCCTACCCTACCCTACCCTACCCTACTTTACCCTACCCTACCCTACTTTACCCTACCCTACCCTACTTTACCCTACCCTACCCTACTTTACCCTACCCTACCCTACCCTACCCTACCCTACCCTACAATTCCCTACCCTACTTTACCCTACCCTACCCTACTTTACCCTACCCTACCCTACCCTACATTACCCTACCCTACCCTACCCTACCTTACCCTACCCTACCCCACCCTACCCTACCCTACCCTACCCTACCCTACCCTACCCTACCCTACCCTACCCTACCCTACTTTACCCTACCCTACCCTACTTTACCCTACCCTACCCTACTTTACCCTACCCTACCCTACTTTACCCTACCCTACCTTACCCTACCCTACCCTACCCTACAATTCCCTACCCTACTTTACCCTACCCTACCCTACTTTACCCTACCCTACCCTACCCTACCCTACATTACCCTACCCTAACCTACCCTACCCTTTACTCTACCATAGCCTATAGTACCTTACCCTACCCTAGCGTACCCTACCTTTACTTATTTTATCTTACTTATCTCTTCCTTAATCCAAGCTAACCTACTATACCTTTTTCTTATACCCCACCGTACCCAAACCTTACCGTATTCAGCCATGTCTGATAAATGACGCACATGATGATAATCAACAACAAGGTCAGGCCGAGCACGCTGACCTTGAACACGGCCATCGGCGTTCTCTGGCACAACTTTTGGCGCTTGACGAACTCGCGAGCCGCCGTCACGTGCGAGTGAGGTTTGTGGACTTTGTGGCGGACCTGAGTGTAGACTGGCGTGGTGGTGGGAGACTGGGAATCGCCGAAGTCGTCGCTGATTATGACTTCGGAGTCGGAGGGCATGACTTTTTTTGGTGTAGCGGCTTCTGCGAGGACTTCTGGAAGTAGGAAGTGTTAGAAAAGATTTTCTGGGGGCATACAGAGTTTAGAAACGGCTTCTGAAGGTGTAGAAGGTTCAGAAGAAGATGTTTAAGGCGCAGAAAGTTTAGAGACAGATTCTAAAGATGTGGAAGATTCAGAAAGAACTTGAAGACGTAGAAAGTTTAAAAGCAACTTCTGAAGGCATAAAGGAATCAGAATAAGCCTCTGAACGCGTAGCAGATCCAAAGAGAGCGTCTAAGAGCAAAGGGAGTTTGAAAACGGCTGATAAAGTCAAGACTCTAGAGTAGCCTTCTGAATATGCATAGACCTCAAGACATGTTCTTCAGAGTTCATAGACTTCAGAAGACCTCAAGACTTCAAAGAAGCATCCAAGAATCGCAACAACTTTGAAGAAAAGCCCAGAATTTAAGATCAAGTTATGCACACAGAGTTCAGAAGACGTCAAGACTTCATAAACGACTTCAAGAAACGCCAAGACTTCAGAGAAAACTTATGAATCCTCATAGACTTCAGGGACTCCGGTTTGAACACTTGGCGAAAATTGAATAAATTCAATTTTCCTCGACGCCGTTCCGCGTTTCGCCGTCGGCACGGAACGTTCGGAACGATTTTGAGTTTATATAATAAGAAAAAATAAAAAAAGAGGGTAAGGTTGAGTAAAATACGCTCTAATTACAGTATTTAGCTTTCTTTATTAACTAAACACAAAAAGGTTTATATTAAGATTTGCGTAAAGCTAAATTATAATAGATATAGAGAAGAATATTGTTAAGAAAGGCTAAAGTAAGATAAAAAATATATAAGGAACTCCCTACGCTACCCTGTCCTTCCTTAAGAAAATAAAAAAATAGTTGGTTACTAGTATAAACTTTTCAAAAATTAAAAAAAAATTTAAAAGTAACCCCCTTGATAAGTATAATTTTTAAGTTTAAGTATACCATAAAAATTTTTATAAATTTAAAAAATGCCTATACTTTTAACACCCAAGTCAAAAAATTAAAATTGCAACAAAAAATTGCAGCGAAGCCGTATGCAAATGAGCTGCGCATATTTAAAAACGGATTTGCACATGCCAAAAATAATCCAGATTTAGAACTACTCGCTTCCGCTTTTGGAATATGTAGGAAGATTGAGTCAAGATTTTTGGGGTTAATGGTCATGTAATGCTGTAAATTTCGAATATAAAAATGCTGGTGATTATTTCAACCTGGGGGTGGATTAAAAAATTTAAAAAATAAACTTTTTTTTATTTTTTATTTTTTTTAAAGGATGATAACTAATTCAATCAAAAACGTAAATGCATACAGGCAGGGCCGGGCGGGGACTTTTGGTCTGGGAGCGGGGGTCCAAAAAAATCCACAGGGGGGACCACGTTCAAATTTTTTCGAAAATTTTTTTCTGGTGGAGGTACCCCCCCCATCCCTCCCCCCCCTCGCGCCCGGCCCTGCATACAGGCTTCGTATACATGTATAGAGTATCAATGTATGACTTTTATTCTATCAGTATATGACTTTATAAAGAGCCTGAAGGGGCGGGTAATCAAGGAAAAAAAGGAAAAAGTTACAGAAGAGAGGGGTGAGAGAAGGGAAAGTGGGGAGAAAATTATGCCATAGTCAAAAATAGTAGAATACAAGCCATGCCTCCCATTAAAAAAAAATTTCCATATTCGACCCTGCCCTCATACCCTCTCCTCCTTCTTAATCACTACCTTACCTCCCCCCCCCCCCTTCCACAGCACACACCACTCTTTTACCAACCTCAGCCCTGCCCTACCATACCCTACTCGACCTTATCCTACACTACCTTACCCTCACTTCCCCCCCCTCTACGCACAAGTCTCCTCTACCCCTTCCTAACCTTCTGTGACTACCCTACCCACTTTTACTCTCCCCCCCCCCTCCCAATCCCCGTGCGTCAACCGGAATTTGGTAGTAAAAGGATGAGAAGACCAATATCTCAAAGTCAAAACAGTATATTGTGAATGTGAAATCCAGGAAACGATTATTTAAATACAGTCTCGAACACGCAACCAACCTTTTTATTCCTGGATTAGCACTGATGACGGTTCGCTCATTTCATTCAATCTGAAAAAGCTGGAGATATATTAACTTTCAGGTACTGTAATATAGATTGTGACGCGCACGGAGAGTTTACAAACATAAATTTAACAAAATTTTTTAAATTTAAAATTTAACTTTCAAGTACTAAACAATGGTAAAATACGATTATGCGTTCAGTTATTTCAATAAAAGCTAATTTTAAAAAGAAATACTGTAGCTATTAAGATGTTCAAATAATTCTGTACCACATAAACCCAAAAATTTGCTTTGAGAGGAGGCACAGTATTATTTGAAAAAGTCTAATATAAAACATAGCGTTCAAAACTACCCTTATAATCAACGAGAATAAAAGAGTACGCCCTTATAATCGACAAAATAACTGTAATATATCCTTCTAATCATTACTATGATATAAAAATACCTTTAAGGCTAACGTAATTTTAAAAAAATATCAAAAGTTTAAAAAAATCTGTTTATAGTAAATAGACACAATTATCAAAGTAAACAAAAACTCGTAGTCTTTAGGTAGAAATGACTATATAACAAGATATTACAGTACTTATTGTGTCTATAAAGCTACTTTTTGCTTAAAATTTTTAGAAAAAGCATTAAAAACCACAAATTTAATTTAAAAATCCGTAAGTAAATGTGTAATACTCAAACATTACAGCATGGATTTGTACTAAAAATGTAAGAAAAGGTATTAAGTAACAATCTTTTACTTTACAAATCAAGCCAAGTAATTTAGAAACAACATCCTTTTTTCTCTACCCTACCCTACACTACCATACCCTACCCTACCCTACCCTACCCTACCCTACCCTAACCTACCCTAACCTACTACCCTACCGCTTAGTCCAACAAATTTTTAAAAATTTTGTCAAAAAACGGTTTAAGCGTGAAAAGGTCGAAGCTCATTCCGCGAATAAACAAAACCAATTTTAATGCTCAGATGGGACCAACAAAGACTAAATTAATATGCTTAAGGCGTTTTTTCTTCATCCGGCCGCGCACTTCTCCTCCTTCATAAAAATTTCATATTAAACAGACGAAAAGGACAGAATATGAAAAAAACGAGTGCTGGGCCAACACTGTTGGCCAAAACGAACGCAAAATGAAGATGGCAGAATTGTAGGCTTTCATTTGACATAACAATAAAAAATGTAAAGGTAAGAGAATGAGCAAGCTTAAAAATAGTCATTTAGCTCCAAAAGCTTAGCTCTAGCCCTAGCCCAGAACCTTAGTCTAGAACTCTAGATCAGAGCCCTAGCCCAGAGCCCTAGCTTAAGGCTTTAGCCCAGCCCAGAGCCTTAGCTTTGAAAACGTCCTACTCCTGGCTATAGCCCTGATCCCAGCTCTAGCCCTATCACAAGCCCATTTACTTAGAGATGAGAAACGGGCCGGCCCGGGCCTAAATTTTTTTATGTGGAAACAGGCTAGGCCTGAATATTAGGCCCGGCCCGATCAAAATGTGCTCAAGTCCGGCCCGATGGCAAGCCCGACCCGTTTCTCATGTCTACATTTACTAGCTCTACCCCTGCCTCAGCTCTTCTTACCCATAAGCTAGCCTCTTATCCGACCTACCCTAGAATAATCTTTGCTTCTCCTACCTTATGCCCATAGAATTGTCGTACTGACATCATTTTTCAATTTCTTTTTTTTATTTTGAAAAAATTTTAAAAAATGCAAAAACTTGCAAAAACCAGCCCATAAATCATGTTTCTTTGGTTGTTTTAATGACCATGGTATATCTCATGCATTAAAATCGACATTTGGTCTAGTTTATAACTCTTTTTTACCCTTAAATTCGTCTTCCTCCATCATCCACAAAGTTTCACGTTTTTTATATTGTTTTAGTTTGATTTGACATATATCAAAACCCACATAAATCATAAAACTAAAAAGTTAACCTTTGACCAAATTTTTGAAAGACTAGACATATAACATGGAAATTGAACGTTGGTCATGTATAATATGTCAAAATTTTAAAAAAATTAACAAAGAGGTTAGCTAGAGCTAGGGCCCTGAGCTAAAACTCTGGACTAGAGCTCTGGACTAGAGCTAGAACAACAAAAACTAAAAAATTTAAAAAAACTTCCTGGTTTCCTACCGCAAAATTTTTGAAAACTAATTTTTTCGCATTCTGATTTCAATATATTACCTAAAGAACAACGTCAAGCTTCGCAGACGTCAGCCGGAATATCATGAGGTAACACCTGACAGAAAACAATAACTTTTTACATTATACTACCAGACATAAAGCAAGGTCTTCATGGCTCCATAAACTCACAAATTGCCAAATCTTTTTGCATTTTCTTTCACGCACTAGTGCTCAGAAGAAAAACTTTAGAATAGGAAAAAAGGCAGAGGTTTTCTTATTTATTGAGAGGCTCACTCATATTTGAACACCGTGATATTTAACTTACATGGTATAAAACAATTTGCTGTGCAGAATTTAGGCAAATTTTGTAGGGCTTTTTAGTACAACATGACAAAATGATGAAGATATTATTATTAGATTGTAGGATAAGTTATGCTAAGAAAATATGCTACAAACTTGTCTACAATGTTACACTCTGTGCCAGTCAGGTGATTTCGGGCTACAAAAATTAGACATTAAAAATAATTTTCAAAAAATTGAAAAAATGCCCTTACCTCGTAATAAAGCTACGTTTTTGCTCAGCAAAGCTTGGCTCTACACTGTCTTGCCTTGCCTTGCCTTGCCTTGCCCTACCCTACTCTACTCTACTCTACCCTACTACTTGAAAAATTAAGAAAATGCTTTAAAAAAACCCCATACCCATCCTTAAAAATAATTTATCTTTATCATAAAAATATTTTTTCAAAGAAAATTTTTCAAATTTGTCCAAAATTGAAAAGACAGCTCTAGAAACACTGGTTTCATCCCCCTAAAATTACACGTGATTACGTACTCAACCAAATTACCAAATGGAAAAGAAGCATTTTGTGTAGGTTTCTGGCACGCTATTCCGCAGAACGTAGAGACACAACAAAATTGCGTAATAAATTTGTTAATTAATCAAAAAATTTAATTCTTTAACATTTACCTAACGTTTCTATTAACATGCTAAAGTCGAGTTGTACAAATGAGTACTGAATTCTTTTAAATTTTTATAAAAATGTTGAAAGAGCAGGGTAAAGTTAGAGAAGGTAGAGAAAGGCTATAGTAGAATAAGAAGCCAGAGCTAAGACAATAACTGGGGCTAAAGCTAGCTCTAGTACTATGACTAGAGCTAAAGCTAGGGTGAGAGCTAAAGTAAGGGCTAATGCTAAAACTAAACCTAAGTCTAGTACTATAACTATGTTCAAAGCTAGAGCTAAGACTAAGACTGGAGCTAGAGATATAGCGAAAGCTTTGGGCTAGAGCTCTATGCTAGGGCTCTGAGCTAGGGCTCTGGGCTAAGGCTCTAGCCTAGGGGTCTATTCTAGAGCTATGAGCTAGGGCCCTATGCTAAGACTCTGAGCTAGGGCTTTGGGCTACGGTTCTGTGCTAGGATTCTGGGCTAGGGCTACTAAAATCCTACGTTTCATGAAACCTTATTTTAATTTCCCACTCGACGTAACACTGTCATCGGCTATAAACTCTTGCACGCTTAAGACCGTAAAACATTCCCACATGTGAGATACTTGCTCAAAGCTCATGACTACTACAATATTTGCAAAAAGACATTAAAACTAGCCTAAAATTCAAAACTGCCTTAAAAGTCAAAGATGATTCATTAGAAAAGGCATTTCAGTCAATCCAGTCCAACCAGGAACAAACTCGAAGCTTAAGACCAACTTGAATCTCATCATTTTTGAAAATTGCCATATGGCCGGCCATAAATAATATCTTGCAATATTTTATGCGGCCAGATTGGACGTAATCTTCTGGCCAAAATAACTTTTCAAGCTTTTCGAAATGGTAAATAAACATGGTTTACTCTGTGGTTTTTGAAGAAGACAGACATATTGTGAATGATAGACAAGTTATTTGTCTGTAAATATATTAATAGACCTGAAAAATAAAACAAAAACTATTTTTTAGCCTTAGTCCTAGTCTAAGATTCAGTGCCAGCCTTAACCCTAGCCCTAGTCTCCGTCCTAACAATAGCCCTAGCCCTACTCCTAGCGCAAACCCTATCCGTAGCGGTAGCCCAACCTCGAGCTCAACCCCTAGCCATTACCCTAGTCCTAGTAATTGTCCTAATCCTAATCCTAGTTCTACCTATGATTCCAGCCTTATCCATAGCTCTAGCTGTAGCCCTAGCGCGAGTCCCTGCACTAGTCTTAGCCTTAGACCTAGCTGTAGGTCTAGCTCTAGCCCTAGTTCTACCTAGCCCTAGCCCTAGCTTTAGCGTTATCCCTAGTCCTAGACTTAACCTATAACATGCCTATGCTAATTGCAAAACCTAGACTTCAATCAATCAAACCCACAGTAACTCTCCTCCATTAATACTTTTTGCTAATGTCAGTTTATGCAATAGGCCTTTCATGTCACGTGCTGAGACTATAAACAAAAAGTCTGCCATTTTAAACACTTTGAATTCAAATTTTTTTAACTTTTTAAGAATTTGAAAAAATAAAAAACCCGCGTCGTATTTTACAATTCAATCAATTTGAAAAAACAAAAAAATTAAAAATGAAGTTTTAATAAACATTTCATTTTAATCTAGTGCCTATGGCCATATTTATCTAAAAACAATACCACTTTATCATATTTTTACTATGCACTCACCACTTCCCTTCCCCTCCCCCATACCCCCCTAAACACCCATTAATTGTTCGAAAATTTGCAAAAACAGTAAGCAAAATCAGAATCCAGACTCAATTCTTCACTTATCTTTCGAGCCTCCCCTTCTGAAGAGAATAAAAAACAAAAACCGGAACGGCCAAAGACGGCCCGAACCGAGGGGGGAGGGCCGCTCCTCTTTTGTGCCCAAAAAACTTCTCATTGCGCGGATTCTGAAGCCGCACGAAGGAGGAAAAAAGTTTTCGGAAAAGGACATTTAGGGATGTAGAAAATTCAAAGTTTTATTAAAACGCCCCAGGGAACGGCCGCGAAAAAACGGCCGAAAATTGGCTGGGAAACGCGGAATTAGAGGTTCGGATGAATAATATCACGGATAATGTAAAATGAGATAGGAAAAAATTCTAAATTAGATTCTGTGTTCAATTATTCGGTTGGTCAAATAATTCTGTGCCCCTAAATCCGTTTATTTTCTTGGCACAGGTCACAGAATTACTTGAACAACCTATCAAAGCAAAATTCAGAAAATCAAAGCTCAACTTTATGATATGATCAAGATACCCATACCCACATAAAAGTGGTAGTAATATAAAGCATAAAAACTTCTTTCAAAATCCTGATATTTTTAAAATTCAGCCATAAAACGGAAACGATTACCCAAAAATCAAAAACATAAAAATTTAAAATGGCTTGGAAATAGAAGAGTATCATCTTAACAAAAATTTGAGCACAGTAAACTTCAAATTATCTCAAATGATCATGGAGTATACAAGTATATACAAGAAGGCTCACTCTATAGACTATAGAAGGTACCCAATCCTACCCTACTATAACATTTACAGAGTATAACTTTAAAAAGGTAAACTTTGTAAAAGAAGAAAATATTAAGCAATTCAAGTAATACTGTGCCCTCTCTCAACGCTAACTGTGCTCCAAGGGATTATGAAGCACAAAATTATTTGAACTCTCTGATATTATACATATGCTTCCAGTCTAACATAATATTTTTAAAGAAAATGATTCTAAAACTATGTTAGCAACCAAAAAAATCCGTTTTAAGATCATAATCAACCCAACCCAGCCCTTCCCAATCTATTTTTCATTTTTTGATCGTTTCGCGGCCACAAACTTAATCTCATTTCGAATTTGGATGGGCTGACAGATCGATTCCAATAAAAAGAAACTGCGTCATACATTCTTCAGATTTAAAAAAAAATTCGAAAAAATTAAAAATATTGTGTCATTTTTAAAAATATCAGGCCATCAAAGGCTGCTCTATCCTGCCTTTCCCTGTTTTGTCTTTCCGTAACGTACCCTACTTTACTTTACCCTACCCTGCCTTGCTTTATCCTTCCCTGCAGTGCCTTGCCCAGTCTAGACCAGACTTGAACTACTGTGTCTTGCCTTGCCTTGCCACCCTGTCCTATCTTATCGTATCCTGCACTATTTAACCCTAACTTACCTTAAAATCTCAAAAAGTTATACAGGGTGTCCCAAGAAATTGTATTATCCATGACACCACATCCCCAAACCAACAAATTCAGCAAAATAATTACCCTACTCCAAATCACCTATACCAAATTTATAATCACAAGACCAACCAAACCTTCAGATACTTAAAAACGACTCCAAATGTCATTACAAAGTAATTAAAAAACGGTACGAGCAAAAGAGAGCCAGCAAACCGGGATGAAATGACATCTCAATCGGAGACAAATGTCCGTTTTAAAGCCACTGACCAAACTCAAACACACAAAAGTTCGCAAAACGACTTGGCAAAAGTACGAAAAGCGGGGGTGAACTTAATCATGTGAATGTTACAATACCACCTGATTGTTTGGGTCACTTATATAAAATAATTTCCTATAAAAATATAGTAATATAAAAGAAAAAATTGTTTTAAAAATCTTTTAGCGTACAAATACAGCTTAAATTTGGCATGTCGATAGCCCATAACATAGGCAGTGACTAATAAAAGTTTCAAATCAAAATATGCAGTTTAAAAAATTCAAAATAGAAATTTCCCGCCAATATTTCACCTAAAACAATATTCTAAATGTAATAAATAGACAACAAGTGAAGAAAGTAAATAAATAGTTTAAAATGTTATTTTAAACACGGCTATATTACTAAAAAAACATTATGTTTTGCCAAAAAATTGACAAAACAATAAAAAGCTAACCGTGTTTCTTCGTATAACATTGGTCGCCGCAGTCTGCAAGCTGCGGCGTCGCTGAATTCGGCGACTCGCACTCCTCGGACAATTTTTTGTTTTCTCTATTGCGGCTAAATTTTCAATATATCGCTAATGATACGTAACATCTTGCTTTAGATGGCATAAAGATGTACTTTTAATAAATTTTAACGCAAATTTTGCATTTTTTGAAAGTTCAATTTGAATTTTTACTATTTTTACTTGTTTTTCCATGAATTTTTATGTTTTTTCTTCAATTTTTATGTTTCCCCATTTTTTTTGATTTTCACAGCAGTTTCTACAATTTTCACGCATCAAACGGTCGGATATGGCTCAAGACCAACCTAAAGAATATAGTCTTCATGCTGTGTCGCCGGTTTCCACGAATTCGCCTTCAAAACCGACAAAACGACCAAATGTGGCTAGTACGTCGGCGGAGCCAGCGGCACCAACTGCCATGCCCACCGTAATTCCGGTACCGCCGTCGATTGGGAGAAGAAAGGGTAATGCTATGTACAAGAAGAATGTGTTCACCAAGGATCAGGCGCCGAAGAAGAATGTGGCTTCATTCAAACAAAGGTAAGTTTAGGTAACTACTTTGTTGGTTTTTAGGTAAAAAGTGAGAATGGATATGACTGTAAAGTTAGATTGGGCTGTTATCGGTGTAAAATAAGGTTTGGCAGATTGTAATAGATGAAATGAGGTTTGAACAGATGTTTAGGTATGAAATCAGCTTTGAAAACGTTTTTAGGTGTATAAATAGTGTTGGAGAAGACTTTTAGATACTAGAGGAAATAATACATGAATTTTAGATACAGAATAAGCTGTTTTTGGGGTTTTAGGTATAAAATTAAATGTTATTTTAGAGCTAGGTATCGATTTAAGGTTTGAGTAGATTTTTAAGTACAAGTAGCGATCTAATAACTTCTAGGCTCACAAACTTTTAAATTACTAAAATTAGAAATGTTTTAGTTTTATGGGAGGAGTCGAGCCATCTCAACACACAGCCATTGGCGATGACAAAGTTATGTCCCATCCACGTCTTGGAGTACCATTGACACCAGTTCGAAAGAAGACAAGTATCATAGATGATAATAAGAGCTTGGTGTTGGATAACACTCTGAACAGTCTGAGTTTGAGCAATAAGGTTGCATCACCGCATCCGAGCAAGAAGGAGGATGCGTCACCATTGAAGCTTCAATCACCCCAAAAGTTCACATCCACCAACGTTCCAATAAGTCAAGCGGCGGAGGACAAAATCATACCGGATTTTGATTACGCCAAGCTGTTGGATCGACATTATGCTAGTGTTCAACCGGCGGTAAGGGATTGGAATTTGGGGGCTTGGAACGTGATATTAATGTGCAACGGGTAGACCTGAAGTGGGGCTTACTAGGCCCGGGGTGGGGAGCAGGACTTTTCGGGTAGGGACATTTCGGGTAGCGACTTTTCGGGTAGGACTTTTCGGGTAGGGACTTTTCGTGTAAGGGCTTTTCGGGCAATGGATATTTCGGGCAATGGTAATTTCGGGTAGAGATTGTTCGGGTAGCTAGTTTTCGGGTTATCGACCTTCCGGTGTGGGTGGGCTAGGCCGAAGCAAATTTGAAAGGGAATTTTCGCAAGGCAAATCTTTCGTTGTGGGACCTAAGTTAGATCCTTGGGGTCCTCATTTGAGCACTAGGGCTCACAATTGCCGCAGGGGAGACCAAATACAAATTGTTTCAAAAAAAACTTTGGGCGGGGTAAATAAGAGAGGCGGAACTACAATTGTGATTATTAAAAACTAAATTTCAGATTAAAAAAGTAAAATACGACAAATCCGAGATCCGAACGGTCACAGCAAAAGCGATTCTAGATCTGGCAGCTGAGCCAACACTGATCGACGTACGAGCTGGTCTATATGTCTGCGGAGACATTCATGGACAGTTCAATGATCTGATCAACATGTTCATTTTGTTAGGAAGACCGCCGACTCAACGATACCTCTTTTTGGGAGATTATGTGGATCGTGGAGCTATGTCGTTGGAGTGCATCATGATGTTGTTGACTTATAAGGTGGGATTTGTGATGTATTATGGAATATATTGATAGGAGTGGGATGTAAGATGCATCAAAAGAACATGATGTTTGTTTTAATGAGGGCATGTAAAAGTTAGAGTTTTGAAATGGTTTTAACCTTACAAAAATAGTGTTTAGATATGTAAGAGTATGTAAATTGAAATTTTTAAATTTATCTTTGCTTTCTAGGTTTAAATTTAGGGTAAAGCTATGTTAATTATTCCAAAGTAAAACTAAAGCTTTGTTAATAACTTTTAAGTTTTAGATCCTATATCCACAACATGTGTACCTTCTTCGTGGAAATCACGAATGTGCCAGAGTGAACAAGAAGTATGGATTTATTGACGAATTGGAACAGGTTTTTGGGCCAAACGCGGGACAAGCTATCTGGGCTATCTTTCAGGTAATAATGACGTTTTTGGGTTTTAAACTGGGATTTAGAGGTTGATATGGGGTCATACTATAAGATTTTTGAGCTGTTTTGGGGCTAATCTTTGATGATTCTGATAATTTAATTTTTTTTTAGTTTAAACTAACATTAAATTTGATATTTATAAATTTTTTACTAATTTTGGCCTTATTTTATGGCCATTCCCTTTATGCTTTTACAATTTCAGAGAGTATTCAATGTTCTTCCAGCTGGAGCAATAATCGAAAAGAAGATCATTTGCATGCATGGTGGACTGTCTCCGCTGATGTACGATATCAACACGATTCGAGCCGAAAAGAAACCCATCAAGAATCCATCGAAAGTAAGGTGTTATTGTTTTTCTTTTGATTTTTAGGTTTTTTTGCTTATCTTCATAGACTATGAGCTTGATTTCTTGGACTGTGGGCTGGATTTTAAAGTTTTTTTGTGGTTTTGGGTGATTACTCCTATGAATTGCGTAACTTTGTCTTTTTTAGTTTGTTTTTGAGCTTCTTCTAGATTAATAAGAAGCTCAGAATCTAAAATTGATATTTTAGTAGTTGTATCTTGATTTTAGTTTTATTTTATGGGAATGATGTTCTGAGTTTCATTTATTTTTGTTGTTCTAGGGCATCATCAATGACATGTTATGGGCAGATCCTCAACACGACGTTAACTTTTGGAGAACTAGCTTGAGAGGCTCTGGATTTTGTTTTGGTGATAAAGTAGGTTTAAAATAGGGTATTATCAATGTTGTTAAATGTTTTTTTTAGGTTTTTAATGCTTGGTTTAGTTTACATAAGGTTGCTTTATGATAGAATATTAATAATTTTTGTAAAGAATAAGAATAAAACAAGATAATTTAAGGTAGTAGACGAGATTCTAGCCACAAACAATCTAGAATTGATTTTGAGAGCTCATCAGATATGCATGGACGGTTTCTGGGTGTTTAACGATAGAAAACTGGTTACCATCTTCTCAGCACCCTCCTACTGCAATATGTTCGACAATGCAGCAGCTGCGTTGAGAGTTGATGCGAATTTAAGGTGCAGAATGGTAGCTTTTGTCCCAGAGAATGTAAGTTTGGCTGTTTTTTAAAATTTTATGAATTTAGGTTTGGTGGATTCATTATGATGAAGTTTTATACTCTGCTATATATTTTACCTTTCTGAAGCGTTTATAATCAAAAAATGATTCATTTTTTGTTTATGTTAGGTTGTTCAAATAATTTTGCGCTCCTTCTCAAAGAAAATTTTCGGGGTTACGGCACAGAATTATTTGATCAACCTAATATTTGTTGCTTTGGAGTATATTTGGCTAACATTGCAATGTACATTGTTATGATTTTAGCCCGAAGTCAAGAACATGATCACGGTCCAACGCACGTTATGGTCTCCGCCACCAGCGGATCCTCGCGATCTACAAGAAGGATCTCCGGACAAACCTCTCCCTCAACCATGTTGATCTATTGAGTTTGATTTGATTTTTTTTTGGCATAAATTTGATGTCTTGCTGGAATTTTGTCGATATTAGTTTGGTTTTGAAAGGTTGAAAACCTTGTGCTACCTTGATTGTTGATTATTATGGTATTTTGAGCTTGGAATGTGACGTTTAGGGGCTTAATTTTGTTTATGTCGCTTGCTGGGCTGGTAATATCACCTTATTATCAATGTGGTTTATTGAGTTGTGGGGCTGATATTAGACATGAGGAACGGGCCGGAAAGAAATTTAGGCCCGGGCTGGCCCGTTTCTTATGTCTAGCTAATATTGATGTTGTGAATGCTTCTGAGGTTTTCTGTTAGATGTTGTTGTTATAGACTGTTACCTTGATTATTATTGTGTTTTGAGCATGGAATGTGATTTTTTGTGGTTTAATGTTGTTTATGGGGCTTGCTTGGATTAATATCAATGTGGTTTATCGAGTTGTGAATCTGATATTGGTGTTTTACAGACTTCTGTGATTATTTATCGGGAAGATGTTGTTGCTATAGACTGTAACTTTGTTTTTATTGATAATTGGGTTATGAAATGGATTGTAATATTGATGTATGTTTGAAACACGAATGTTATAATAGTGTTTCTGATTATTTTGGACAAATAGTAAAGGGAACTAAAAGAGGGGGAAAAGGTCTTGAGTCTAGCTATTTTCGACCGATTTCGTATTGAAGTACGTAAAAATAAACGAAATTTTAATCATAAAGTTCGAATATTCAAATTTTAGTTTTTTTTTTGATTTTCTTGGTGAGATTTCGATAATTTAATTCTGGCATTTGCGAGTATAAATTGCCGCTTTTTTCCGAAAAATGTTCATTTTCAAAAGTAATCACTCACTTTTTCAGTGCGTGAAGAGCAAGCTGGTCGACTTTGAGACGGAGCGAATATTTTTGGCTGTCGACGATGAACAGAGGTGAAGTAAGTTTCTTGTTGTACATAATGTGTTGTGTTAGGTTTAGCTTTTTTTTTGAGATTATGACTTGTTATTTTGCAGTTTTGTTATTAAATTGGCTTAGTTTATTTTGTTTTAGAGGATCTAAAGAAAGTTTTCTGGGAATCCTGGTTAGGATCATGTTGTTTTACATGTTTAGAAGCACTTTTATTTACTAAGGTAATATTGTGTTAGAAGCATATTTTTCAATGTAGAATCAGATTATTCAATTAATGTATTATTAGGCTTATTTTCAGAAATCGAAGGTCAACTTTGGCAAGATTTACAACTTGGAGGACCTAATCGGCGGAAACAAAGATGATGAAAAGCAAGACAAGGAGAACAATATCGACGAAATAGCGCGACTTCTTGAGTATGTTTTGGAGTTTTATATTTGGTATTTTAAGTTTAGGAACATCGATTGGATTTCCCCGGAAAAAAAGGAACGACGAAGAGAACGAGTTGAACCTTCAAATTTTGCACGACATGTTCCGGACCCTATCAGAAGCTTCCAAGGCTACGATGAGCTGATCAGAACAAGTGGATTCGAAGATCGCCTTGGAGAATTTGAATTGGTTAGGCCCCTGACTGCCTTTCTCAGTGTGATTGGGACCAAAGATGGAAATGATGTAAGTTTAGATGAGGTAGGGGGCATTGAAATAGTTTAGGATTAGAGTTGGCAGTTAGGACTTATAGTACTGAGTGTTCTTTACAATACGGTTTAGATTTCTTGATCTTATTAGTTAATTTCAGATAAGAGAGAGAAAAGTTCGATTTTCGGCAGCATTCGGCGAGGACAGCGTCATCCGTTGGCACTGTGAAGACTTCAGCACTGGCGAGGAAGTTTTTTGTGTCCGCGCTGAGCGCTGCATCACCGAACGCGTCTACTACAACTCGCGGAACTGGGAAATGGGATTCACGCTGCGTCATACAATGGTGCACCTCAACTTCATTCAAAAACAAGAATTTGACAATGTGGCTTGGAATTTGAGAAATGTAAGTTAATATTTGACTTTTGTAGGTCTAGGAGTTTAAAAAGAGGAATGGTCTTACAAATTTTAGCTTTCTGTTTTGACTAGCTATACATGAAAGTTGATATTTTGTTGTGTCAATAGTTATTAATATTTTTTTATTAATCTATTGATTTCAGCAATACCATCATCAAGGACACAAGGTTACCATACACGGCAGATCGTAGATGGATACAAAGGCGGAGATTACGAGAGCGCAACAGCAATACTAATTTTTTATGGTATTATATTTTTATGGATAAAATAAATTTGGCTAATTGGTTTTCTTGTCTTTTGATTTATGGTTTTTATCTAAATTTTTACGGTTTTCTTTGAATTTTAACTTTTTATGTCGTTTTAATTTTGAATTGCGGGACTCCTGACTATGAAATATTGTAAAATGGTCTTCTTCGAAGTGAATAATAGTAGATGTTAGGCAGTAAAGCATGTATCTGAAGAAGTAATGTGTTCCTAAAGGCATCGTGACGCAGAATAATGTTCGCTCCAAGTTTTTAAAATGATTTTTAACTCGAAACGTACTTGGGACGGTTTCGTAAAACCGAGTCACGGTCACGCTTGGACGTAGGGCAGGGCCCAATTTGCGGCCCTGCCCGGTACAGGGTTTTAGTTTTCAGGCCCGGCCCTGGGGCCGGGTCGGGCAGGGCATTTACAGGGTTTTACAGGGCATTTGTAAATTAAGTTTATAAAGCTAATAACAAATGAAATAAACTGCTTTATATCTATCCGGCCTCACCCCTGACTCTTTTCGCCCCACCCGACCTCACCCTTGACACTTTTCGCCCTACCCGACCTCACCCTTGACCCTTTTAGCTCTTCCCGACCTTACCCCTGACCTTTTTAGGCCTACCCAACCTTACTTCTGACCACTTTAGCTTTATCCAAGTCTACATTTGACCTGTTTAGCTTTACTAAACCCTACCCTTGACTTTATTACCCTACCATACTATACCATACCCACCCTACATAAAATTCCATACTGTACTGTACCATGCCCTATGCTACTTACTATATCATACTCATCTTACTAAACAAAACATACCAAACCTTACAATACTTTACATTACCATATCATAACTTATCCTATCTATCATACCAGACCCTGCAATACCCTACCATACTATCCTACCTACCATACCAAATCCTACAATGCCCTAACATATATAACATACCATACTCTACCTGACTATATTATTCCATTTATCTTGCTTTATTTACCTACTCTACCCTACCTATGGGTAGTACACAGTAGTGTTGTATAAGATTGGATAAGGTAAGATATGATACAGTATGGTATATGTAGTATGTTATGGTATGGTAGAATATGGTATTGTATGGTAGGGTATGGCATGTTATAATATGTTAGGGCATTGTAGGATTTGGTATGGTAGATAGGATTGGGTATGGCGGGGTGTGGCATATTAAGTACAATATGGTAGCGCAGGAACGGGCAGGGCTACAAAGGTCAAAGGTAGGGTCGGGTAGGGTTAAAAGGGTCAGGGGTGAGGTTGGGTAGGGTTAAAAGGGTCACGGGTGAGGTTGGGTAGGGTTAAAATAGGGGGGCTGAAGTCGGGTAGGGATAAAAGGATCAGGGATGAGGTCGGAAAGAACTAAAATGTTCAGGAGTGAAGTGGGGTAAGTAACATTACTTGTTAGACGGGGCCGGGCCGGGTCGGGCACAGGGGGCAACGCCCTACGTCCAAGCCTGGTCACGGTACAATTAAATGGCATAACATCCCTCGTATCGTATATCACTGTCGAAACCCTCTCCACCCTCGCAACCGTCCTGACCACGCTGCCGACTTGATCAACCGTACACTATACTAATCCAATAAATCGGGTTCCCTTTTGTTTTTTCGAGATTATCCCGTTTTCGAACAAAACTCCCGTGGGCAGACGCAGGTGTAAACAACATATATAATAATACGGCGGGGCAACCCCACCCTAAAGGGCTTTGCGCTGAAAAATGCGTTAGTTCGAATGTTGCTCGCTAATCTGATTTGTACATTTGCGTTCCTCGTGCTAATTGATCTCACAGGTAATGTGGCATGTGTTTGTTAGCTTTGGGTCTTTGGACTTGAATCTTATGTTAATATAGGACATTATGTTAGCATGGTATCTTTGTTACCGAGCATGTTAGCATATGATCTTTGATGTTTTAAGTTGGAATTTTTAACATAAACCATTTTGTAATGTTCCTCATCGTTAACGTAACGTTTTAGTGTCATGTTCATCAGCGTTACGGTTAAGCTCAATACAAGCAAACCAATTAGTTGGTGTAGCTAGCAGTAACTCAACAAATTTTGAAGCTTCAGCTGACGAGCCTGTCACCACAGTGACTTTATCTTCAAGCTCTGCTGCTTTGTCATCATCTTCTACTTCTACCTCTTCTTCAACTTCTTCATCTTCTTCTACTTCTACCCCTTCTTCATCTTCTCGTACTTCTACTACATCAACTACGTCAAGTACGACTAAATCAACGTCTACAGCTCAAGCAACGTTGCCAGGAGCAAATAATTTGGCTCAGGGTGTTGATGCACAGGAAGAATATGATGTTACTGAAGCTTCCGCTGACGAAGAAGAAGAAGCTGCAACATCAACTTCAACGACTTTGGCTAGTACAATTACAATAACAGGTACAACGATCAGTAGTACTACAGAATCAACTTCTACTAGCACTCTTAGTACGGCTAGTACTACTACGATTTCAGACACGACTTCAATTACTAGTTCATCAGAACTGTCGAGCACTTTAACAGAATCTACACTAACTACAACATCAGTCTCAGCTACAACATTGTCGTACAGTGAAGATTCTGAGACTACAGTAAATGCACAAAGCGATCAAAAAACCTTTTCAACTTTGAATTGCACTAGCTTTGGAGTGGAATGTGGATGGAAAACAAGTGATAATAGTTCGATTCCATGGTATCAAAGTGAGCTACAGATTGAACCACTGGTGCTTCAGGTTGCTACTGGCACTGAGGTGGCTCCAGGTACTTTTTTCCTTCTGAACTTTCTATATAATGTTGTTTTAGCTGCAATAGTTTAGTAGTAGTATTTTTTTACTTTTAGAGCAGGGCAGGGAAGTGTAGGTTAGAGTAACATAGCGTAGGGTAGGGTAATTTATGTGATAAGATTACAATGTTTAGACGGATCCTACGCCATAGCGTTGACTGAAGAAGCTTTGGATCCAAAAGCTCGAGCAGTGCTACAAAGTCTTGCTATACCGTGTCAAACTGGCATTGGACATCTTACTGTAAGGTCAGTGGTAATTTATTTCTAATTTAATTTTTTTCTTTAAAGTATTCGAATATCAGTTAAAGCTGAAGAATTTTGTAAAAATGCAAAAAAAATCAATTTTTTTAAAATTTTTAAAATTAAATTTTAAAATATTTGGACTTTAATAGTAAAGTTTAAATAAATTTTAGTTACTGGAGCTCAGTTGGAGTGAATGTGTCATTTTGCACGATGATTCCCGGGGCTTCTGAATTCTACTTTTGTACTCCATTCATGGTTGAAACAGACCCAGGACCAATGTATGTGTCAATTCCTGATCATGGTGGGCAGTCTTTCAATGTAAGCATTTATGTTTTATAAAGCGTGGTTTTTTCCAGGGAATGGATTTTTAGAAATTGTTTTTTAAAATAATTCTGTGCCCCTTTCAAAGCAAATTTTCGGGGTTTGGGGCGCAGAATTGATTGAACAAGTTAATATGTTATTAATGAACCTAACAATTGATTAAGATGTTCATAATCGCCGAGAACTTTACGTACACTTCCTCACAATATTCTGGAGGCTTTGTGATCGTTGATGACATTTCATACATGGGGCAGTTGTGTTCAGCGCAAACCAATCAACTCGCCGCTTCAGCAGGTTCGGACTAGTTCAAATGTTGTTTATTAGTAGAAAAAAATGAAAATTTTTGTATTTTTAATGCTTTTTGTATTGTTTTATTAGATTTGTTACTAACATAAGATTTGTTACCTTCACTAACAATAAATTAGCTATCAATCTGGGGTATCAATGAAATGCCTTATCTCTTTATACTGATAACAAGTTACTGCTAGTATATTCTTTCACTGTTACTACGCCCTTAAAAATGTCATTTTTAGTTGAAGACGACACCTCAGTTAATTCTGAAGATGTCAAAGCTTCTGGTAGTGCTAGAGAGCAAGAAGAAGATACGACAATACCATGGTTTGGTGGACATAGTACTATGTCATCTGGAGATGATAAGGAAGGATCTTCTTTGGCGTCGGGTGACGACACGATGGCTTCTGGCGCCTCAGGTAGTGCTGTGGAAGATCAAGAAGATACGGCAGTAGCATCGCTTGGAAGACATTCTAGTATGGCATCTGGAGATGATACTACAATAACATCATCTGGGGATGATACGACGATATTTTCATTTGGAGTTGATACTACACCATCAGCATCAGAAGATGATACTGCATCAGGTTCAGCATCTGGTACTATGGATTCAGAATCCGAAGGATCTACAGGTAATGAAGAATCAACGAATAATAATGATGAAAATTCTGGTGATACTGTAGCCACTGATAATGATATAAGTTCTGGTAGTGCTGTAACCTCAAATGATATTGCTGAAAATATTGATGAAAGTACGACAATATTAATGGATAGTGCCTCTGGAAGTGATGCTACAGTGTCATCAAATGAAGACATGGCGTCAACAGATGAAGATACGACAAACATAGATGTAGATACAGTAACAGGTACTACTACTTTAGATGAGAATAAAGTAACAGATGATGATACAATAGAGAATAACGTAGTAGAAGACGTTATAGTACCGTCAAATCGGTTTATGCTACCAAATGATGTCACATCTACTACTGAAGAGACCGCGTTAAAAGGTAGTAACATAGCTTTACCCAACAGTAACTTGGCACAACAAAAAATTAGAATAAGACCGATGAACTTGAATAGTAAAGTTGATAACGATAACAAACCTTTTACTCAGCAATATTCTTTTTACAGTACTCAAGGGTACGATAGTAATGAAGTTGATAGTAGTAGTGTAGCTACATCGACATTGCCACCTTATAGCAATAATTGGCAAAATTTTGTTTACATTACGACAGTTAGTCAGACAAATGAAGAAGATAGTAATAACAACAACATGGGTAGCACTACTGAAGCAGAGTTCACCAAAATACCCAGCACTCAGTTTTATCAACAGCTTTTTAGTGGTGGAAGCAACCAAAGTAAGTGTTAGTAGACCGGGGCTGGGGTTAGACCTAAACCTAGGGCTAGGTCAGAGCAAGACAGGGCTGTAGTAAGGCTGGGGTAGAGTAGAGTAAGTTAGGGTATGTTAGGGTAGGGTACGGCACGGTGCGGGAGGGCACTATAGGATATAATACAGTAGGCAAGGGTAGGATAAAGTAAGGTAGGGTAGGGTGGGGTACGGCACGGTGCGGGAGGGCACTATAGGATATAATACAGTACCTAAACTTATATTTATAGATTCCATGTTCCATGCAACACAAAACCTAAACTTCCCACCTACTACAACGTTCTCTTCTCAACCATTTCTACCTCCAAATGTTGAAAACTTTCGACCGGTCGATGAAGCAGTTTTAAAGAAAATTGACAAGACTGACGAAAGAACTCAGTATCCTTACAGTACCGAAGCAAATCCGTATATACAGGCGGGGTTACCGTACCCTCAAAAAGTTCAAAATGGTCTACCGTATTCTCAAGAATCGTCGCGTAATCTACAGTATCCTCAAAAATACAGTACAAATCAACCACCGTCTTCTCAAGTATCTCAGGTTTCTGGAACGAACATACAGTATCCTGGGCCGCAAAATAGACTACAGAATTCTAATCAAATGGTACAGAATCAGAACTCGCCTTCAACACAAAATATGTTACAGTACCCACAAAATAATAATCTGTTGAATACAGAGTCTACCACAACATCTACTCTTTTTCCTACTGTACCAGCTACAATAAGCACGCTATTTCCTACTATCCCTAGTACAGTAGGAACGCTATTTCCTACGTTACCAACTACAGTAAACCCATTATTTTCATGGTTAACATCAACACAACCTACTGTACCATTTGGCAACAATATCAACAGTAACTCAAATTTTGGTTCAACTGCAGAAACTTTGTTTCCAAACCAAAATCTGAACTTTTTCCCCACTGTAAGGCCAATTACTTGGAGTAATGATCTATTTACTACGTTAAAAACGGAAAATGAACAATTTGGTACGGTAAGTCTAGACAATGGTCTATTTGGTACTGGTACTAATCAAAAACATAGTCTATATACCACAGTAAATCCAAGTAACAACCCTTTCACAACAACACCCAGTACAAGTAACAACTTGTTTACTACAATAAACCCACCTGCATGGGACAACAACATCTTTCCACCTATGAACAACATGAAAAATATAAAGCCGTATGATGGTAAGATGACTTCAGAAGAGGCCCAAAACTCAGTAAATAAAGAAGAAACAGTAAATGGGAATAACTATATGTTTACCACGCCTAATCCACCAATTTTTTGGACATTGTTTCCTAATCAACCAACACTTTTCCCACCGTTACCAGCAGTTACTGTACAACCGTCAATCTTGATGTCATAATGAGTATTTTAGGTGTATTTGTAGATGTATAGTTTAAGAAAAAAAGACAGAGATTTATTGTGAAAATCTTGATTAAATTGTTAGTTTTTACTTTATAAGTCAACAGTGTTGTGTGTGTATATAAATATAGATCTATTGCAGTAAATTTTGTGTTTTTTAATGTAAAATGAAAAATAAATACACTTTGTTGTCAAGGTATTTTCATCAAGTTTGTTATCAAAAGCTTCTTTTGCAAAAGACAATAAAAGTAAACCATACTAATGCCAAAAACGCCTGATGTATTCGCTTCGAAACCTAAAAACCTTTTTCGGCCAATTTCTTTCGCGAAAAAACATTGTTGTAGCCATTTGTTTTTCAATTTTTCAATGGTTTATTTGCAACAATCATGCCAAATATATTTTCAACTTAAAATATATTTTTTATGAAGAACAATTTTTTTGTGGAATTGATCAAAACGGAGTCTCTAAGCCCAAGCAAATGACAAAATTATGGAAACACCAATTTCTTATGTTGTTACACCAAAGGTAAGTCGTCTTTCTTTATGTTTTTCTTTTGTTTTTAAGTATTTATTGTGTTAGAAAGTCTGTTTTAAAGTTAAAAGGGTATTTTCTATATCTTTTGGAATAGTTTGGACGTATTTTTCATACGAAATTACGTGTTTTTCCATCAGTAATATAGCAAATATTGAGAAAAAATAATCTTTTTTATTTTTATTGGTGAATATCAAAAAGAAAGATTAAACTAGGTATAGATAGTCCAATTTTAGTCTGCTAATGGTAGTTTTAGCTATGTAATGGTAGAATCTCTTTTCTCTTTTTTCCTCGCAACCAAAGTAATTATCAACAGGGGACCAAGTTCCATTTTTTGAAAAAATGTAACTTGGTCTCCTGTTGATTTAAAAAAATGAATTTAAAAAATTGAAATTTTCAAAATTTTTTAAATTTTCTATGCGATTTTTATAAGTTTGCAGATACTGCAAATACGAAAAACGACCGCAGTAATTACCCAGATCGCCTGCACGCCAAAACCTTAATTATGGCGCCTGCGAAACCGGTAAATAAAGTTGAAACACCGGATTACGCCAATAATGTTGTCGACTAGTAATTGTTTTGCTAAGCCATGTCATGTACGTAATTCTTCAAGTATTTTCGGCTGGAAACGGTTACGTTTCGGTTACGGTCGATGAGTGGGGCTAGCTTAGCGGTAATTTTAAGGATAGGGGATGGTGAAGGGTACTAAAAATGTAACTGGCATGCGATAGGGTAGCGATTTTGGGGCTGGTACAAGGGTAGGATAAGGTAGAGTGGGATAGGGTAGGATAGAGCTTACCTCATAGGGTAGGGTAAGGTAGGGCAAAAAGGGGTGAGTAAGGCAGTGGATCATGGTATGTTAGGACATGGTAAAGTTAGTCAGCGTACTTTACGTTACTCCACCTTACTTTGGGTTGTTCTACTTTATTTGACTCTGCTCTGCTCTATCCTACTACACTTTACCTTCCTCTACCTTACCTTGTTCTACCTTACTTTGTATTGCCTTGTTCTACTCTGCCCTATCTACTTTATTATACCCCGCCTTACTCTATTGTACTCTACCCTATACTATCCTGCTCTACCTTGCCTTAATCTATCTTACCTTACTTTCCTTTGCTCTATTTTATCTTATTCTACCATAGGCTACCTTTCTCCGTTCTACTCTACCTTACCTTATCCTACTATAACCTAGCCGATGTTATGTCAAACAAGTGCTTTTGTTTCTTTACTCACTTTTCTCTCTCAAATTTCATAACTCATTTTCATTTTTTTCGAAGTCAAAACTTTTTCTATTGTCATACACATACCACAACAATATATTAATGTAGTTGATCGTCCGTGTCATGTTTCATGTTCATTCGCTTACCCCCCCCCCTTCCAAAGCGAGTGTTTTAAAGTCGAAATCGGCTTGACAATGGATACTTGTGTTCCACCGGTTTCCGGTCACTCCATACATATTCACGATCCGATTCCTTTCGATCACCTCCAATCTTTTTTCGGCGCGGGAATTTTTTTTGGAGGGGCGATTTTGTGCGGGAAATTGAGGGAGAGTTCGGAAAGTGCCCAAAAATAGGAATGGCATGGAAGGGGCATAAATTAGGGGGTATGGGTGGGATTTTTTTTTGAGTGGGTGGGTATGGGTCCAAGTTATTTGAAAGAGGGTAATGGGTGGGACTTGTTTTTAATGTGAGGGTATGGGCCAACCTTTTTGAACGGAAGAATGGGTTGGTCTGGGGCACGGATTGGAAGGTATTGTTTTAGGCATGGTTTTTCATTTTTTGCCAAAGGCAATTGTGTAGGGTAAAGTAGATCTAGGTTGGAGGAGGGTGGGGACAGGGGTAGGTGAAACTTAGGGTAATGTAGCTCTACGCTTGGGCGTGGTATAAAGAGTAGGATAGGATAGATAGGGTATGGTAGGGTAGAGCAGGGTAGGGTAGAGTAAAGTAGAAAAGAGTAGGGTAGAGTAGGATAGAGCAAGGTAGATTAGAGGGTAGGATAAGGTGGGATATGGTAAAGTAGGCTAGGGCCGAGTAGAGTAGGGTAAAACTAGGGTAGGCCAGGGCATTTACAACCCTTAAAACTTTTTCATAATGCCCTACCCTACTCCTTTTCCTACAACCATCTTAAAGCCTACAGTAATCCTCAGCTTACAGTGCGGTCTGTAATTAAACCAACCCCGCCCAGCAGGCCATAAAAAGTTTTTGGCTATTCATGAACTGTCGGACTTCTGTTTATGGATTGGCAAGGTCAGCGCCATAATTGGGGTTTACGTTCGGATGCTCATGAACATGACTGCGGATATATAGGGGTTATTTGGGGTTGGCAGGGATTTTTGGGGTTAATAAAGACTTTTGATGTTAGCCATAGCTTTTGCGATTGGCAGGGTTTTAAGGGGTGGCAGGGGTTTTTTAATAAGGGCTTTAAGGCTAGCCAAATCTTGATATTTGGCTATTGATATGGGTTTCTAGACTATTGATATGGGTTTTTAGGGTCGGCTGGGGTTTTTTTAGAGTTGTAAGGGGTTTTTAAGGCTAGCATAGGTTTCTGATTGGCAAGGTTTTGAGTTTTGGCAGGGGTTTGTGGATTTTCAGAGGTTTTTAGAGTTTGTCAGCTTTAAAATTAACTGGAGTTTTAATTATTGGCACTAGTTTTCGGGTAATATAATAAAATTTAAAAAAATTTATTTTTTATCAAAGATAGTACAGTTTGAGGGGTTGTGACGCACGACGTATTTTACCACAGTACCCATGTTTACACTCTCAATATTTAATGTCAGTCCTGACTCATACCTCTATGACCTTTTCTTATTGGAAACCAAAATTCCGTAAATGGATTATGCCTTTTTCGAATTGGGATCAGATTCGCGCTGATCCATTTAATCCAAATAGCCTTAGGGCTTTTGGGAGTTCCGAGTATTCTTTTGTATTCTTATTTGGGGTGGATCATGATTTGTGGAGACTTTTTTATGTGTCTTTCAGGGACGTCGTTTGAGGGAGGGGGGTAGGGGGTGGTACCCCCTCCCCCCAGAGCCGATCCGAAAAAAAATTGGACAGGTAGGTACCTGTACGCAAAAAAACGACAAAAAAAAATTTTTTTTTGGCCTCCCCCCTCCCCCAGAGAAAATCCGTAGCGACGTCCCTGGTGTCTTTGGATTTTTAGTATATTTTTTTAGTCGAGTGGTACTATTTTTGAGTTTAGTAGAGGTATGTATTACTGGGTGGGTACTAAAATTATTTTTGAAAAGTTTTTTTGGTTTTTATGCTTATGTTCAGGTCGGCCATTTTACCTTGGGAGTTCAGAAATTGGGGGGAGTGAGGGGTGTTAGGCCATTTTTTTAGGGGGAGGAGGGGGGGGGGTTGGAAAATATAAAATTTTAGATTATTGTTTGCATAAAATAGCATAGCACGTTCAGTTTAAAAATAATTTTGTGTATGTTACCCTCCCTCTAAACTTTCCCCACCCCGCCCCTTTGCACGGCCTTGGTGACCTTCCCTACTCTTTGCCTTGGTCACGCTAAAACAATACCTCAATAAACAGATTAGTAATTGTAGTCATAACAAATCAAAAAGTGGTTCTCATTGTCTACTAACTGTTTTTTCTTGTCTGTATTATTATGCTTTTGCTCTTTGCTTTTTTTCACTTTTTACTCGTCCCTATCTCTCTTTCTAGCCTTTATTACTAGACCATCCTCTATCTTCTGCTATTTACAATATTTTCTATATCCTCTACTACAATATCTCCTCTATCCCATACTATTATATTTCACTATAATATTTTTTCTATCTCTTGCTACATTATTTTTCTATCTGTACCATAATATTTCTCTTACTTTCTACTAAAATATCTCTCATATCTTCTGCTACAACATTTCCTCTATTCCCTACTACGATATCTTCCCCTCCTCTCACCAAGACTATTGTCGTATTCCGTGAAGCTGAAAGAAATTCAGGGTCAGCATTCCCTGCGGGGAGTCATTATTAACCGAAAAGGAGTTTTTTATGGGAATATAATTACTATGCGCGAATTACCGGAAATCGTCCTCCAGGGGATTCGAAAGTTTTGATCCAATTTCCGAGGAAGCCGGATGTCTTTTTTCAGATTTTTACCTTTTTGAGGTGATTTTTTTAAAATTTTAAAAATTTTTTATATTTGACCTTTTGAGGGCGCATCTTTTGGGCGGGGTAAAAAAATTCGCGGAGAAGGGGGAGGAGAAATGGAGTGAGAATTTTTTTAAAATTTTATTTTGCTTTTTAGTTTATATTATTGCTAATTTTAAGCAGGGCGTGGTAAATTTTTATTTTTTTTATGTGGGGGAGGGGCGGGGTAAAAATTATTTTTGTTCCACGGGACTTTTTTATCATATTTTACATAATAATTTTTATTACTAACACATCATACTAAAACCGACTTCTATTATGCATTTTTAGAAACTCAACTGGTTATTGATGTTGGATATTCGATGGTCAATCGTCTAATATTGTTCTTGTATTTGCTGCTGTTTCTCAATTTTTGTGAAGCTGAAAATCCGAAAATACAGAGTAAGTGTTTTTATATTTGTAAAGGCTATTTACTATCATAAAATAATGGGTTTACATAGTAAAAATGGTAATTTTGGGTTTATGAACGAAATGTCAAAATCAATAGTGACATTTTTTTTAATTCTAAAACAGTTGTATTATTGTTTTTTACTTGTTTTTGTAGTTTTCTTATCGTGTTTCAAGAGAGAAATTATTTTTATATTTACTTAATAAATTAGAAGAGTACGTAATGTCAAAATCAATAATTTACATTTCGTCAAAATTTGAAAAGTGATGATATATGTCAATATGAAGCTATCTTAACATGAGAAAGCCTATAGAAACCATTTTTCAATTCAGGATTCAATTGTTAGTGACATTTTATACTTTGAAATTTAATTTTTTTTTATATTTACTTTGAAATTTTAAGAATTTTTAAATTATATTTTTAGTCATTCCAAAATGTGACTATGACAAAGTGCTAATACAAATCATCTTCACCAAAGAGTATCAGCCGAATGGCGAGTTTTATGATTGGATTATTGTTGGTGAAACCGGCAAAAGTGAGTGCAGAAGGAAGGGAAATGGCGAACTCAAGTATGTCGTGGAACTGTCGGTTGTGGCTGATACTTGTGGCACTAAGTTGGTAAGATATTCTGTAGGCTTAAAGGTGAAGAGGTATACGTTTTTTGAGGTTTAAAGATGTCTAACAAGGGAAGTGTCTCACCTCATTCCGGAGATATGAATCGAGACTAGGCTCGTTGGAAAGTCGATTTAAATACAAATTTAACAAAAAAAAATTTAGCTGCCGAATAAGCCCCTGAGGCAAGTTATGACGGTTTAAAAATTTGCAGTGCTTTTTTCGTTTTGCGTTTGAGAACGATTGGGATCGAGAAAGAAAACAAGGGGAACCGATGATTTGGTGCTTCAGTGGTTGGGTGTTGGGTTTAGGGGTGAAAGGGTAAGGGGGTTCGATCCCTGCCAACTCGTTTTCCTTCAACAAGTTACAAAAAAAAATTTTTTTGTTTTTTGTACTATGTAGCATTGAATAGAGTATTTTTAATCAGTTAAATACAAAAATTAAGCAATTTGACAAATTATTAAACTTTAAAATTTTTTGGAAATTTTTCCAATTTATTGGGTAGACGCATCAACATGGTTAGCATCAATGGCGATTGGTTTGAAATATTCGAGACTGATGACATTCGTTTCTTCCCTGATTATCAGTTGCCTCACAATGACGCCGAAGCTGTTGAATTTTCTGAAGGAAGGGAAAGCAAGGTTACTTTTTCTGATGGTTCAGTTATTCTAGGTAATAGGGTGCTCAACGTTTTTTCAGAAATTACGAAAAATTTCCAAAAAAAATTTTAAAGTTTAATAATTTGTCAAATTGCTTAATTTTTGTATTCAACTGATTAAAACTACTCTATTCAATGCTATATAGTACAAAAAACAAAAATTTTTTTTGGAAGCTGTTAAAGCAAAACAAGTTGGCAGGGATCGAACTCTTATGCTTTCACCCCTAAACCCAACACCTAACCACTGAACCACTGAATCATCGGTTCCCATTGTTTTCTTTCTCGCTCCCAATCGTTTTCAAACTCAAACCAGGGAAAGCGCTGCAAATTTTTAAACCGTCGTAACTTGCCTCAGGGGCTTATTCGGCAGCTAAATTTTTTTTGTTAAATTTGTATTTAAATAGGCTTTCCAACGAGCCTAGTCTTGATTCATATCTCCGGAATGAGGTGAGACACTTCCCTTGTAAAGTATATTGCTCTACCGTGTACTGCATTACTTTACTCTTACCCTATAATACCTTACCCTACATTGTATTACCTTATCCTACCCTACAATAGAGTAAAGCAGCTTTTTTATTAAAATGCCACTACAATTTCAATTTTAAATTCGATCGTATTTTAGCAGACAAGTGGCATATTCCAAAACTCAATTCGAATTGCTCAATTCCCGGGTCTTATCCTACAAGACGACTCCAACTTCACCTTCAAATGTGTTCTTGGACTGCCAGAAATCGAAGAATTTAAATTACCTCAAGTAAACCCAACTTTTGATGTCAAGAAAAAGTAAGTTTACCATGAGATTTTGCTCAATGTGAAATATTTTTTTGGTTTTCATGTTAAAGTAAGGTAATAAAAGCTATGGGCAAACCTTAGAATGTGGCTAGAAATAGGAGAGGCTTCTAGCGTTAGGATTAGAGCTAGGGCTAGGTTTATGACTAGGACCAGGGCTATAGCTAGGCTTCGAGCCAGGTTAAAGCTAGGGTTAGAACTAGAGCTAGGCTTATGGCTAGGACTAAGATTAGGGATAAGGCTAGGGCCAGGTATAGGGCTAAGTCTAAAACCTAGATATTTTTTGCTTTACCCTGCTCCACCCTAACCTGCCATACCCTATATTGCCTTAGATCTGGGGCTAGGCTTAGATTAGAGCTAGAAATTAGAGTATGGTAGTTTGCCGGCTGGGACTTTTTCCAACTTTTCCTTTAAAAAATTGAAGTTATCCACCCCCTTTCAGTCTAATAACCGACATCACCCCCTTCCCACCTCTAATCTCTGAGCCAGTCCGTCCATCAATATTCGAAACCCCCAAGGATTCAAAAGATCTGACACAAAACCTATTCAACAACAAGAACATGGAAGACCTGGCCATGGAACTTGCTCACGATGACAGTCATCAAGCCAAAGTGGCAAAAGCCAGCAACAATTTACTAGCCATTCTACTGAGTGCTTTTGTCATACTTATAATTACTGTAGTTTTGCTGATACTGTATGTTTGTTTGAAGCAGTATCAGGCAAAGAGGCAGAATGATGGAAGGTTGAATATGGAGACGGCTACACCTACTACTGCTTCACCTGGTACGGTTTTTAAGGTTTGTCGAATTTGGTTTGAAACAGAATGCCAAAAAAGTTTTTTCTTCAAAATTTTGAACATTTAAAAAATTATTTTTTTATGATTTTTTTCATTTAAAATTTTTTTACATTTTTCTAATCAAAATGCTATTTTAGGTGTGACAAACCAAGATGAAGATGGTCCATGGTGGAGTAACAAGTCCTCAGGCCATTCAAACTACCTTTTGGGGGCGAATTTCAAACAAAATAAAGTTTTTGAGTAAGTTGTTTAACTAGCCTTTATAAAAAAATTTTTTTTTCTTCCCTTCAGTTCCTACCTACATCAATATGTCTTTCTATACCCAAAAATTTAAAAAATTTTTTAATTTTTTTAAAAAATTTACAAAATGAACTTGCCAGATTAAATAAACGAACCGCAGCCCCCAGGCCAGACCATAACCGAGTAACATCGTCGTATGTTGAGGATGAAACTGAACGAGCGGTCGATGTCATTGGGTTACCTGGTCATAGACCAAATGAAGTCTTTGCTGAAGCCTTTAGAAGGAATGGGAATAGTACAGCTACGAGTCAAGTTGACGATACTGACACTGTTAGAACACCACAAAGCTACGCCGAATGGAGAGAAAAGGTGCTACGGTAAGTTGAGAGTAGGGTGGGTAGAGTACTGTAGGGTAGAGCAGGGTGAGATATGATAGGGTAGGGTAAGGTAGAGTAGAATATGATAAGGGAGGGTAGAGTATGATAGCTCAGTGTATATGGTAGGATACGATGCGGTATACGCTGCAGTAGAGCAAGGTAAACTAAAATATACCTGTAATAACTTCAAATTTCTAGTGGAAAGACCGGTAACAAATCCTCAGAAACCTTGGACCGAAAGAGAGATGATGATGAACAAGAAATGGCAGAGGGATGCCTGACTCCAGTACGGTCGATAACGGAGATCTATCGTTCCGCCGAAACTCGACTTCAGAAAATGATGGCTAATCAAGGACAAGATAATCGATCAGAGAGCTCTGTTGAAGGTGGGACAACAATATTTTTTTTCAAATCATTCTGTACCCTCTCTCAAAGCTAATTTTTGGAGTTAGGGGGCACAGAATTATTTGAAAAAATTACATTTATTGGGTATTTCAAATAATTCTGAGCCCCGTATCAAAGAAAATTTTCGGGATTAGGGGCACAAAATTATCTGAATACCCCGATATGACGTTGTATAAAAAGTAATAAGCTACTTAGCTTTGATAATTTCAAAAAAACAAAATTTTAAAATTTAAAAAAGCTTATTGTAGGTGAATACTCAATCCCAATCCAACAAATGCCAATGGATAAGAAATCATCGGAGCTACTAGGCCATTCTGTCGATTCAATTCGAGGTTTCGGGGCCAGAAAACTGACTGAACAAGAGATTTGTAAGTTTTGAAGAATCACTGTAACTTATCCTACTAAACTTCAAAAAAAAACTTTGCTGCGAAAGGAGAATCAAACTTTTTCTTCGTTCAAATAATTATGTGCTCCCTCACAAAGCAAAGTTTTGGGGTTAGGGACACATAATTATTTGAAAAACATAATATTTCAAAAGTTTTTGCACTACCTACATTATTATAGTCTTTATGCTACCTATACTACTATAGAGTATATGATGGTGTAGCTAGTGTAAACTAACGCTTTTACCGTAATACAAGTAGTGTAAGGAAAATGCAACCTATTATACTATATGAAAAAAATATATATAGATGAACTTTAAAACTTTAATTTAAATTCAATTTTTCAGCCCGATGGCGTCAATTAATCACTACCGACACCCAGCTCCAAACCCACGTCCTCAACGCCAAATCATTGGAAGATTTAAGGGCCATAACCGAACTGGCAGACTACAGACTCTTCTTCACGCGAATCAAATGGACACAAATTATGGATTGCGTGTATGATGCCCTAAGGGAGCCGGACAAGATCTCGATGAATCGAACTTTGAAACGAAAGAAGAACGAAACCGAGGAACGACAGAAGACTTACAGTGCTGACAGGAGTAGGACAACGTACGATGAGAATCTGAAGTCAAAATATGGGGAGGAGATTCAGAAGTCAAGGCATGATGAGCTTCAGAAGTCACGACATGATGAGCTTCAGAAAACCAAGTACGATGACAATATTGCCAATGTTAAGACCAAATATAGTACAGAAAGTCTTAAGAAACCCTATTCAGAAGCCCAATCGTATCAAGAAGGAAACTTGAGGAATGTTTATCAAGACGAAGCTCTGAAAGCGAGGCACGGTGAAGACCGTTCAGAAGAACGACCAAAACCCGTTTATCATAGAGCTGTGAATCACTGGTGATTTAACATAATATATTATGTATTATAATATGCCTTTACTTTTGTTTTTAGCTGGATCAGTTAATTCTTTCGCATTTTAGCCTACCAAACATCTATTATTATATTGTTAACCCATTTTTGATATTGTATCGTTTGCTTTTCTTAATGTTTTATAGGTAGTACGTTACTAAACTCTAATATTCTATTTTGCATTTTTAAATCAGGTGGATCCATTAATTTTTTCGCTTTTTTTGCAGCGAAAAGAAATAAATCAACCTGCTCATTGTATTTTACCTTTTTTCATTCTTATTCGGTTGATTCAGAAAGAATGGCGTGTTTGCATAGCTTTATTAATCATTTTTTAAACACACCATTCTTTTTGCATCTACCTTTATTTTGTCAAATTTCGTCTTTATATTGTTCTCTCCGTACCTTATTTTTCGTCTTTATACTATACTTTCCTTACACTACTTATATCACCGTAAGCTTTACTTTACACTACCTATACCTCCATAAACTCTATAGTAACATAGGTATTGTAGTGTAAAGACCATAGTTATATAAGTAGTGTATGAACTTTTTTGAAATATTCTGCCGTTCAAGTAATTCTGTGCCCTCTAAAATCTGCTTTAAGCGGAGGCACAAAATTATTTGAATAACCCAAAATAACTATTAAACTTTTTTCAAATACACATTTTTTGGATTGCCATGTAAGATATAAACCGTATATTCGTGTGACTTTGTTTGTACATTTACTCGGATCATTTTTATATAACAATAAAGTATTTTTTTGACTCGGTTTTGGTTTCTATTTAGCGGGCTTTCAACAATCTCTAACCGGTACTGCTGACTTCGGCTTGGGAACGTTTTTCGGTCCTCGACGATGGTGGTGGAGTTGGGGGTGGTGGTGAGGATGAGGTTGGTGGTGGGGTTGGGGGTGGTTTTGGGCCCTTGGATTTCTTACTTTTTTCCCTGAAAAGATGAGGTTATTAGCCTAGTATATGGTCTGGTTCCATTTTCTATTAAGTATAAAAATTAAAATCTTGTAAACAAAGTCTTGTTGTCAAAATAAAGTGTTCCTCCCATCAAAAACGACAAGATTTTGCCATTTAAAACAAAATTTTAAAAAAAAATCAAATTCAAAATCTCCTTACTCCTCTTCGTCCGCTTTTACCTCTTTCTGCTCCACTTTCCGCTCCTGTAGCATATCTTCAGCGCCTGTCTCTCTATCAGCCTTATCTCTGAGCTGTCGTCGTTCTGATTCCAGCTTGGCCACTAGTGTGTCCACACCAGCAATCATAGAATTCACCCTGGCTCTTAGGCGCTTTGCCACTTTGGTTTCGGCGTAATCGTCGGCCAAAGTGTTGACTTCGATCAGGTCTTCGGTGTGTTCGATGACCTTCTCCTTGAGTTCGCTGATATCGTGACGAGCGTCGTTGATTGGAGAAGAGCCGTGAAGCATGTCTTCGACCGCTTCCAATCCTTGAGGTTTCTTCGCTTGCTTCGCCTTCTTTATCGTCTCGAGATCGTCGTTTACCATTTCATTCAGTTTTCCTACCTCTTCCTGAAATTATATTGGATATAAAGTTAAAAAAAGCTACGTTATCCTAAGATTTTGGCTCAGCAATCAGTAAACTATTACTTTTTAGTGCCAAAAAAGTGACGCAATTTAGTGGCTCATTACTTTTTGAACAACCTAATATGTAAATTAAAAACTTAATTGTAATATATCAATAAAACAATATCAAAGTTAATCCTTACATGAAGTTTCTGCACGGTATCATGAGCCTTCTGAAGCACCACCTCATCCAAGAACTTCGGTTTTTCTTCGGCCGGCTTTTCGACCTCCAAAATCTCCTTGAGTTTCCGGTCGTCCTCTTCCAACTTTGCCCTTTCGGCTTCAATCTTCACCTGTTCCATCAGTTTCTGATCCTCTGCCTTCTTTTTCTTTTGATCTGCTTCTGCTTTGGCTTGTTCTCTCTCCAATTTCAGGCCTTCTTCAATTGTTTTGATCAAAGCCAAACGTTCTTTCGGGTCTACTGTTCCGCCTTCCAATTCTGTAAGTTTTTGCTTGGTTTGCTCGCCTAATTCGACCGGTAATTGTTGGACGATCACTTTCAGACGACCGGAGAAGGAAATGTCTTCGGGTAGGAAGAGGGCTCGACTTAGCAACAACATCGATGGGGGCATTTTGTCGTTTTGAGAGAGTTCTAGCCATTGACGGAGCTATAATTAAAAAAATTTGATAAAATCATAAAATTCATTTTTCGAAATTTTTGAAAAATTCTCGTTTTTAACATAAAATTAAAAAATCCCCATTTTTCTAAACAAATATATCTTTTATTATGTTTTGTGGCAAAAAAAAAACCAAAAAACATTAAAATTTTACCTGTGATCGAAGTCGTTCTTCTGACACACCAATAGCTCTCATGCCTCGTTGACGACAAGCCTGCTGAAGGTCTGACACTGATAAAGCGTCCACGCCGCCTTCGGCCGTTATTAACTGAAATTAGCATTTTTAATCACCAAATTTGAATCACACGCCAAAAAACTTTATCCTCCTAACCCCCCCCTTCTCTTTCTAAAAGTACCTAACCCTTCTTTCCATAACAAAATGAAAAAAGCCCTACCCTATCATCAGCCTTCAGATCCCTCAGCTTCAACATCAACTGAAACCTCAAGATCTCGGGCGTTCCCAATGGCTGAACCCCCAACATTCTGCACAACGCCCTCAACTGCCCCATTGACAAACTGTCCAATGTCAATTCGTCCTCGAACAACTTGGCGTATTTGAAAAGCTCTTCGTTCGATACCACCGATCGTTCTTCTCGTACTTTCTTCAAGAACTGAGAGAATTCGTAGGCTTTTGACTGTTCATCTGCATCACTGCCCTTCTTTTTCCTTTCCAAGGCAATCTCTTCTAGAGTATCTTGTAGGAACTTGGCCATTTCTACGCGGATTTTCAACTGTTTTCGTATCTTTTCTCTCTGAAAGTAGCATGAGCAGTTAAAATTTTGAAGAGATCATGTTAGGATTCAAAACTCCTCATTTTTATTGCAATATACCACAAACACCTCATTTATAATGTAAAATATCATAAAATCCTCATTTCTAATGAGAAATGTCACAAACTCTTCATTTTCAACTCAAACTTTGTCTAAAAATCAAAAAAAAAAGTTTAAAAAGCCTACCTCTTTAGACTGTTCCTGAAAAGTTGAAGGAAGCATGCTGGGGAACAACTTGATAAAGAACGGCAAAGCCAGCTCCATAAAAGGCACGATAATGAAAAAAGAGAATGGAATCAACCTAAACAGATCGGATACTGTCCTAACCATCTGTTGCCTTTCCCTCCGCGTTAAGGTTTCGCCTCGAGCTAGTCGAAAGAGGTATTTAGAAGATAGTCGAGTTTCTAGTACCAACAACCTGAATCCGTGGTAGTAGTGTTTCAGTTCGTGTATGATTCTTGTTTTTAAGGGGAGTTTTTGAACCAATGCTTTGTTCTGAAAAAAAATTGAGTATTGTTTTAAAGCTTAGAAACTGAAAATTCTTTAAAATTAAATTTTTAGTAACTACTACATTCTTAACGCACTATAAAAGATTTGCCCAACTCATATCGCCCAAAAAACCATATCTTATGCTCATCACAATATTATCCATGGCCATATTAATGCCTAAATTATAAAAACATTAAAATTAAAATGCATACCTCTTTCTTCCTCTCTGTTTCCTCTTTCTGTTGACGTTCCAGATCTTCCTTTAACATTTTTAAAGTCTCTTCCACTTTACTTCTGTCATTAAAATACCTTCTCGAGTCTATAATAACGACACGTCTATCTATCTTGAACTTTGTATGTACCCGATGGAATCTAAACATAAATTTTTATGTAAAAGTTAAATTAACTTTTTCTCAGTAAAAATGTATATTATCGTATCTAAAGAAGAATACTAACAATCTTTTCGTTACATAATAACTTCTTCCTTCAAAGAGTTAAAAAAGCAACCAGGGCCGGGCGGGGACTTTTAGTCTGGGGGCAGGAGGCTAAAAAATCGGCACAGGTAGCTCTACCTGTCCCGATTTTTTGCGAAAAATTTTTTTTCTGGGGGGGGTACCTTCCCCCCCGTCCCCCCTCCCCCCTCGCGCCCGGCCCTGAAAGCAACTATAGAGAAATATAAACTGTTGATTTCCTCAACTAACTCAAAAAAATCATTTTTCTATTCAAAGCCTTTTTAAAGTCACAATAATTTTAGCCAACCCTACTCTTTCTAAATGCCTATATCCAAAAATATAGACATTTAGAAAGAATAAATTAACTAACACATGACATAAAGCCCAAAACCAAATCAGCAATAGTAAGTGTAACCTAAAAATCAAAGCAATAATTGTAAAAACGTACCGTGAAAGGCTGGCAGAACGCCGAACCAACATTCCAATCATGTTTTATGATATATACCTCAATAAGAGTAAAAAAAGGGTTGTACCCGTTCCTAATACTATGTTGAAGCCGTTTTAATAACTTACGGTGGCGAAGATCCTGAAAATAATTTCAATTTAATCAATTATCTAAAAATTTTTATAAAATGCATGTTTTATACTCGAAATCACGTCTAACTTCAACAGTTTTTAAATTTTTTGCAGGAAATAAAAAACAAAAAAAAATTAATAAAGCCCTTAAAAAGCTATTCTAAAGACTTTTGAAACTCTAATATATATTAAAAACAGTTTTAACTCTCTAAAGTTATAATAATGTTAAAAACAAACAAATAGCTTTAAAAACGGCCAAATATATCAAAAATAAACAATGTAAACTAACTCAAAACAATTTTTCCTGAAATGTCCATTATATAATACAACTCAATAAAAACCTAGCCATAAATTCAAACATAAACTACTAATACAAACCAATTGTCATTTTTGTCCGTCCTTCCTAATCCAATACTTTTCTATAACAAAAGATCAAAAAAATGTCCCTTTCCCTCGTCTTAAAGTACGAAGAACGCTCATTACAGCGAAAAACAAGACTAATATTCTTCATGAATCGAGAACAAAAAGAACTGGCTATCTTTGAAATTTCCACGAAAAACGAGTTCAAGTTTGGACAATTTTTTCTTTGCTTTCTCGTTGATGCGATTGAAGAAATAGTGATGAAAGTGGAGGAAAGATAAAAAAGTTTGTTAAAGAATGGTAAAGAATGGTCAGTTCAAACTTTCGATTCGGTTTAAAGAACGTTGAAGGTTGAAAAGTTGTAAAGTAAAAAATGTTTTTTAAACTACAGCTTTTTAAAACTCACTTTCAAGCTTAACTTTTACATTTCTAATCAAGTATTCGGTCAAAAAGTCAATGGAAAATTAACTGAGGCAATTTTTTTGAAGTGAACACTACCTTGAGCTGAATGTTTTACAATTTTCAAACAAACAAATAACAAAATCACTTTGGTTTTCTTAACCAACATTAAAAATACTTCAAAACTCCTACTTGTAAAATATTACAACATACCGACACCTAATTCTTAAATTATGCACCATCAAAGTTTATTGTTAACATTACCCCAAACCTAATATTGCACATAGCCAAAATCGCAAGTTCCAAACCTTCAATCATTTTGAAACAACACATATTCAAATTAAAGTACATTTCAAAAAACATTTCCAAAAACAAGGTTCAGGCTCTACCAATTCATTAAGTTACAAATCAATTTGTGATATTATAATACCAGCTCAAAAAGACGAACCAAAACCCGTCAAAAATAGTACAAAATAGAATAAACTAACAAAACCTATATATAAATTAAACTCCTTCATTTTAATTTTCGTCTAGCCACAAAGACCAAACTTGATAACAACATCAAAAAAGATAAATGAACGTCCACTAGCTCTTCGAAAACCTATAATAACATTACGAAAAATACGAGGAATGTAACGTTGAGAATCATGACGACACACCTGTCAAAAAACCGAACAGAACGTCCTCAAAAGATCTTGGTCAAACCTGAAAATTGTTTTTTCAAAATTATTTTCTTACATCAGTCTATTTTATGGGTCCCGCCGCGAAAGCTAACAACTGCCAAAAGAATGCCAATAGAAGTAAAATTTTGTAGCTAGCTACATTTATGTAGGTTTTTACGTTAAAAATGAATTGTTAAGGTAGTTTATAAGATGTTGAAAGTTTTAAATTTAGGGAAGTTATTAAATTCTGAGTTGTGTTCGGCTTCATGCTTTTTGTTATACACGTTCATTCACTTTATTTCTTTAAAATTTATTTAAAAGACAGCTTTAAACATAAAATACGGTATGAAAAACGCAGCAAAAAACCCTATAAATATAACATTAAAGAATTACTATCAAGAAAACACAATAAACGATATCAAAACAATGAAATAACTAAAAATTAACCGAAAAACCGTTAGATTCTCTTTGTTATGGTAATAACTTTCTTCATAAGGTAGCTATGGACAAGAAAGTCTTTGTTATTGTATTTTACCTTTTCTGCCATTTGAAGAATTTAAAATTTTTTTATAAATTGCTGATATCTTTGAGGTACATTAATTTATCTTATGTTTGGTCCTTTTAAATTTATATTTTTATACATAAGAAGATTGTGCCTACTGTAAAGTCAAGGCTATTAGTTAATGCTTTCTAAATCTTGAAACTTAAACTTTCATTTGTACTTTACTGTTAGCTTGGTATAGGGTTAAGTTACAAAGCTGTTTGTCATTAATCTTCTCCGGATTTTCTAGTGTTTTTCTGCAAAAGTGTGTCTGACCTCCCAGGGTTTCATTACAACTTCTAGAACAATTTTTTTGCGTTTTGAGTTGAAATTTTTTTAAATTAACTTTAAGATTGGTTTTACAGTAAACTCTTGTTATAAGCAAGGCATAGATAAGTTTATGTTTACTACAACAACAAGATTTATTTTAGGCACTGCAGCACGCTGGTATGGTTATGATTAGATCTTTCGTTGACTATAACGAGAGTTTTTTTTTATAAAAACAGTTGAATATACTGTCAGGATCTACAAAAAGAGTTGACGTACTCGCTTTTTACTAAAAACTCAAAAAACTTTGAATAACTTTTACAAAATTAACCTTGGTGATCCGTTGTTTATGAAAAACTTTGATCATGAACTTTTCGACTTTTCAATGCCAATATAATAGTAATCTAAAAACAGTCTGTTGGAAAAGGTCATTGTCTGTTTATTTTCGTTCTGATCGCGAAAGAAATGTGACCAAAGCTCGTCGGGCTTTGTGTCATCTTGTGTCCTAGTCGGGTTTCAAAGGCATTTTGACCAGCTGTGAGATAATATGAGTTGTATTGGTCATATGAGTTATATCATACATTGGTCACGTTGAGTAGGGCATTTGGATTTATTTTTAAGTTTGCACTTTGGGATTTTAAATTTTGCCCTACCCTTACTCTTATTCTTGCTCTCACTTTCCTTGATTTTAAAATACCCTACTCTAAAACAAGTAAGCGTCACAAATTTTTCAAAAATAATTTATTTCCTGCTAGATCTAATACATTATTCATTATTTACCACACTGTCAACAACAGTAATGATGTTGTGTTAGACAAAACATGAACTAATCACATCAACATGAAGTGGTCGTGTAATTTTATATCGTTACTAATATAGAATTGTTGCTTCGGGAAAGTTCCCAATTAATTTTTCGCAAATTTTATGTTTTTTTGGGTTAGTCATTCTTGATCAGATAGTTAAATTTTGTCAAAGGGTGATTAGATTGTAAAAGAAAAAATTAAAACGTAACCATTCCAGGCTACTTCTCTGCTTACTTCCTTGACCTTTTTCTTAAACTGTACAAGAAACTATTCATTTTGATTTAATGTACTTTAACGGGCTTCACAACGTGACTGCGGGTTGTGTGATAGTGTGAAGGAGGATTCTAGATCGCATTCCTAACTTCGTTTACAAGTATTTTCATTTTAAACTGTTTTTGATATTGATAAGACATTACAAATTAGTTTTTATTTACGTATTTCAACTGGCGTAGTAGGTGACAACAATTTTTTTAAAGTTTGCTGAAAGGTGGGGATGAAAATTGAGTTTTTATGAAAAAATTTATTCGATTAGGCTTGGATTTCGATTTGGTATTTTACCTAAAATTTATTATTATTATTTTGTTCAACTAATCCTCACAAAGAAAATTTTCGGGTCAGAGGGCGCAAACTTATCTGCAAAACCTTATAAAATTGGCATTTCTGGGTCGAATTAAAGAAGGGTGAATTTGTAAGGGGGCACAGAATTAGTTGAACAACCTAATATTTTAGATTTTTTACTCGAAATTTATTGGCGCTAGGACAAATGCGGTTTTTGGACATTTGCGGATCTGCGGTTTTTAGACACTTGCGGATCTTCGGTTTTCGGACGCTTGCGGATTTTGGACATTTGCGGATTTTGGACATTTGCGGATTTTTTTTAAAGGGGTTTTTTTTTATTTTTTAGTTAATTTAGTTGTATTATGGTACTAAAGTTTAAATTGGTACTGTTTTATATTTTTTATACTGAATGGTACTAAAAGCCCAAAAAGGTACTGTTATGTTAAAACCGCACCAATTTAAAATTCAGTACAATTTAGTATCATACTACAACTAAATTAACTAAACAATAAAAAAAACCTTTAAAAAATCCGCAAATATCCAAAAACCGCATTTGTCCTAGCGCCAATTTATTTCCGGTCAAAGCTAATAAAAATACGTTTCCAGCCAAGCCAGAAACCTTCCAAAAATAAAATTCTTTCGAACACACCTAAAGTGGTTCGAAACTCAAGTGTACCTTGAGGGAATAAAATTCCAACGTTTCAAAACGGTTCAAACCAAGCCATAAAAGGTTTCATTGCTTTTTGACTGGGTTACCCTTTGAAGGCATTTTTGTTTTTCTTTGACTTTTGACCTTTTTGAAATCAGGAAAAGGAGTTTTGGTTCGAAAAAGTTGAGGTTTTTGAGTTTTAGGCAGGGTTGGACAAAGGGCACTGAACTGAAATGCTAGATACCGGGAAGGGCTTAGGAAAATCGTCAATGCTCTGCTATGTTCAAGTCTGCCTCTATTGGGCAGTTCAAATAATTCTGTGGGTTCTTTCAAAGCATATTTTCGGGGTTTTAAGATAATTATCGATTTTTGGCCAAAACAAAAACAAAATTTTAAAGAAAAATAGGGTTTTTGGTTGAATTTATTGTAAATTGGGAGCTTTTTTAAGGGCCCTAGCCCAGAGCCCTAGACCAGAGCCCTAGCCTAGAGCCCTAGTTCTAGCCCTAATCTTAGCCAAACCCTAAAAAACTTTTGATGCTTTAAAAACAAGACAATAACAGATTTCAATTTTGTCTACTTTTTCCCCAAATTTTGAGTTATTTCGACAAATAAACTCTATTTTTGTTTATCCCGACTATAAACTTTAAGCGACCAAACAAACGTTTCGCAATCGTTGGTCAGCCACGTGACAGTTTTTATTATACAACGTTAATCGAATTAGTCACAATTGAAAAACTGACTATTTTGACTATAATTGAAGTCATTTATAGAAAGGCTAAGGCTTTAGGAAGTAAATTTTAAAAAATTTCAATTTTGGTTAAAGGCGAAGGAAATAATGAGTTTTTAAAAGTTGTGGTTTTTGTAATAAATGAACTTTCCTTACAATTTTTATAAAGATATTCTCAAACCTGTATCCTGGACTATAATGAAGCCTGTGAAGATTAAAATTGCAAAAAATGAAAAAAATTTCTGCAAATTTTGAAAATTTTTGGTATTTAACATTTTTTAAAATACTTTATTTAACTTTTAAGGCGACAAATACAACTATTATCTAGTATGTATGTTTTGTGAATTTTATCTAGACTAAAACATAAAAGATGATTTTTGTTTATCAGTTCGTTTTAGTCAAAAGGGTTCAGCACTCAGTTTATTCTTTTTTTCATTTTTACAGACATACGTGGCTGAATTGTACTTTTAACGTCATCAAATTTTGGGTAGGGTAAAGCAGAGTGTTTGGGTGGAGTAAAGTATTGTTCTTGGGTAGAGTAACGTAGCGAATGTTTTTTTAAATTATCTAAAGGATCAGTTTTAAAAATTTTTCCGAAACAGACAGCCGTGGTGCGGTAGAATTATTGTAATTTTGAAAACCTTTGCCTATTTAAAATATTTTGTATTTCTATATTTGACTAAGAGAATAACCTATAATTATACAAAATTTTGTATCTTTAGCACTTGTCTGAAGTAAGTTATGATAAAAATTGGCAAAATCTAAAAATTTTTATAAATTTTAAAAAAATAAAAACTAGTAATAGAATTTTAAAAATCATGTTAAAACCATTTTAAAAACGCGATAAATTCACATGTGAAAGGGTTTGCTTTGCACTTGAAATCCCGTTTTTTGATAATAAACCCTTTTCCTATCACATCACTCACACTTCCAGACGTAAAACCCTCAGGCTCGTCTATCAAGAAAAATAGAGCTTCCTCTAAAGTTGATGGTCAGGAGAAACAATTAGCAGTTGAATACGTTTTTCTGGGTATGGAAGTTCATAATCGAGGGCTGGGGAAGTAAATTGTTTTTTTAAAATGATAAAGGAAAAGAGAGTACTTTTGAGAGTGGAAGGTGATGAGTAGTCGCTTAGTTTGTCATGCCATATCTTTTTTGCCCGGGTAGGTAAGGACTAAATAGTTTGCGTAGCTAAAGAGCATAACCATATCCTATTATACCGTAAAAAATTTTTTTAAATTTTCAAAATTACTAATGTTACAGTACTTTTAATGCAACCATGTTTTTTTCAAATTTTTTGTTATTTTTAATCTTTTTTCTTTTAGTACTATAACTTTTTAAAAACAGCGTAATACTTGTTGATAAATGATTTACAATGATTTACACGTTACCTCAAACTTTGTAAACATTACTTTAACAATTTGATGACACATAATGAGTCATTTGCTGATCTATTGTATTCGAAAATAGGTGGTATCACAACTCAACAGACAAGAAGGCGTATTTATTTCTTTTACACTTTTTTTGATTTCAAAACTATTTGTCACAACAACTATTTTGACTCTTGTTTTCAAAATTCGAACCGTTTTTTTGATGTTTTACGAACCTAAAAATATATTTTTACTATCAGATGTTATCTTAACTCTGAAGTTTGAATTGTGATGAGACACAGGATTAATTGAACAATCTAATAGATTTTCATTTTTTTTAAAATATTTAAAATATTTTTTTACAAAATTACCCCGCCCGACGGCAAAGCCGTTCATAACATGTGTAATATGTCTGCTCATCGTTATCCAAGTCATTTCTAATTTATTTTTCGCAAATTTTTCGAATCGCGTCTTTCATCGATGAAATATTACCTAAAGTTCTCGAATCCACGTGTTTCATTCAAATTTCCGCCCATTTTTCAGATTTTCAGACCAATTTTTCACTTTCAAAGTGATATTTTTAGATTCTCAAAAATCAAGGCTTTATTTTTTTATAGTTTTCAAATTTACTTTTGGTCAAAAAGTTTGTGGAATTATAGTTTTATAGGTGTTTTTTCTGAGTTCAGGTGGATCTGGGGACCCAACTCTGGTTTCTCTTTATATTTTGACTGAATTGATAGATGAAAAGTAAAACTTTTTTGAGTTTTTAGTAAAAAAGGTATCTAAAAATATAATTTATTTTCGAGACTTTTAAAATTTTGCTTTTTTGTTACCTAAATTATAAAAAATTCAATTTTTCCTCTATTTTTTCGTATTTTCGACCGAATTTTCACGTTAAAACCACAGTTTTGATGTTCTAGAACATTGCTAGGTCACTTGAAGAAAGCTCATACTTTCATCAACATTTTTCAATTTTCAGTTGATCAAGACAGTCCATATCCATGACGATTCAGTAGTATTTCATCGATCAATCAGTCCAAAACCCAGTTCGAATGCTTCACTGCGGCCTCTTCTCTGCCTATTTGTGGTGTGAATTCGTGTTATTCGCCTCCACAACCTTGATAATCTTCTTTGGCTACAGTTGGGGATCGTTGCCACACAGGTATTTGAATGCTGTTCGCAAAATCCAGGATGCCTTCTATAATGTAAGTTTGGTTTTTGTTGATTTTTGGTTGTTTTTAGGTAATACTTATGGTTTCTTAGATTTTGAAGAGGGTTTTAGGCAGTGCTGTTAAAAACAAAACAATTTGAATAATCAAACAAAACAATTTTTTGTTCAAAATGATTTGAACAAAGAGACAAAACGATTTTTTATTTGGCAAAATTGTTTGATTTGTTCAAAATTGTTTGAAATTCATTTTCAACAAGAGGTTGTGGACTTCCCTTGTGAGAAAAAGGAGAAATGGCTGAAGAATTTTAATTGTTTATGTTTTTCGGTTTTTATGGATAATCAAAAAAGTAAAATTGTTTAAAATTGTTTGAAATTCATTTTCAACAAAAACTGTTTGAATTTTCGGCGTTGTTTGAGCCGGTTATTCAAATTTTTAACAGCACTGGTTTTAGGTATAAAAAAATGAAGTTTTTGCTGTTTTGAGTCTTAAGTATAAAGAGATAAAGGATTTTAGGTAACACAACTTGGAGTTTGATTTAATTTTAGGCTTAGAAACGAGATATTTTCAGTAGTTTATGTAAAACTTCAGAAAACCGTGTTCTTTAGGTAATAAAAAGTGACTTCTATGTCATATTGTTGTTCAATTTTGAAGATGTTAAACATATGATTGTTATGACAGATTTTTAAAAATAGATTAAACGATTAACTATCAAAAACACAACATTCTGAGCTGTTTCACGTGTTTTGATAAAGAGCTCTAACGGAAGTTTTGTCGCAACGAAAAAATGAAAATTTCCATGACATTTTGATCTAACTTATGATTTTTTAAATCCTATGGAAATTTCCAACGATAATTTTACAAGTTGTTACCTAAAATTGAAGAAAATTTTTTGTTACCTAATTTGTTACCTAAACTTTATGATATTGATAATTTGTTACCTAAAGGCATATTTTGTTACATAAACTTTTCAAAAATTTAATTTTGTTACCTAAAATTTAATGTTGTTACTTAAAATTCAATTTTATTACTTAAAAAATGTCTCATTACCCAAATTTGCCACTAAACTTAATTTTGAAGTTTTAAACTTGTAGGTATACCCACCAGAACTATGGGAAAACGATCCCTGGGACCAGATGATCGACACCACGGCTTCGGGGATTCTGAAGAGAGTCGAGAGCAGACTCAGCGACTTTGAAATTGTCAAAGACCATCCCAATGGCATGCTCGATGTTCAGATGGAGCTCGTCAACTCTGGCATTCAGTCCATTATTAAGGTAGGCTTGGGAATGGCATTTTTGGTCTGAAAGTTTAGGGAAAATGTTGTAGTAGGTCTAAAATATCATCGACCCTTTTTTTCTAATTAAAGGTATCATAAAATTCTCATTTCTAATTAAAAATGCCATAAAATCCTCATTTCTAATGCAAAATGCCAAAAAATCTGAAAATACCATGTCAATATGACCGTATTTCCAGGATGACGTTAAGAGCATGTTCGACCTCTCTCCAGACCTCCGACGCTACGAATTCACTCAAGACATGTGGAATCGTATAACCGACAAACCCCATCTGAAGGCCCTCTATGCCACTTCAGTAGCCTTCCGTGTCGGAATTCTCTTCCCCGTACGTGTCTCCCTCTACCTCACCTCATTCCTCTACGTCGCCATTTGCTGTATATTGGCATTACTTGTCAACTTTACTGATAAACAAAAAACCGCCATAGCCGTGACGTACTGTCGACTATACACGGCGGGCACAGGTCTTGTAGCCCGCTACCATAATATCGAGCATCGACCGTCACGACCAGGCGTAGCTGTCTCCAACCATCTATCGCCGAATGACATTCAAATCATTTGTGCTGATGTGGACCCGAATCGAGAGTATTTGTACATAGTGACCGGCCAGAAACATACGGGTATCATTTGGGCCATCGAAAGGTTGGTGGAGCAGCTGTGTCCATCGATGTGGTTGGAGAGGACGAACGCTGAGGAGAGGTTGAAGTTTCAACAGGATGTGCTTAGGGTGGCTAGGGTAGGTCTTTGAAAGATTTTATGGTGAAGGAAGGCTTGTTTATTTAAATTTACGGCGTTTTGTGGTGAAAAGAAGGGTGGAATTAGGGTAGGGTGTGTCTTAAAGATTTGTTGGTGATATAGGGGTGGTTTTTTGTTTTCGGTATTGATGAGATGCTTTAGAATAAAATTTTTGTTTTATGGCTTCAGTGGTTGTTTTTCATCAAGTTTTTGTTTTTTTTTTGTGCTTCAGGGGTGTTTTCGTGATTTTTTTTGGTTTTTTTTCTCGAAATTATTTCTATAGCTGTGGCAGGTATACTTAAAACTTTTTATTTTAAAAATTTAAATTATTATTATTGATAAATTTAGGTAACAAAATTAGATTTTAGCTAACAAATTTTAAGTTTCATGAATTCTACGTAACACGCTTAGATTTTAGGTTTAACGTTCAGAAACGAGTGTTTCAGATTGTGATTTAGGGTTTTTATTTTCGATTTGATTAACATAATATATTATATTATTTCAGTCGTCAGGACCAGTACTAATCTTCCCCGAGGGCTATTGTACAAACAACACAAAGGTATTACAATTCAGGAAAGCTGTCTTTGGAGAAAATGTTCAAATTCATCCTGTGGCTTTAAAGTGAGTTTAATTTTGATTTTTTGGCCCTTGTTTTTCAAGATGAAAAAAAAACTTCAAAGAAATAAAACAAACCTTTTTGACTATTTTAACAAAGTCTTAAGGTTTGTCATAAGCTTTTCTATAAGTTTAACATAAAATTTTAAATTTCCAAATTCCAGACAAAACGCACGCTACGGCGACGCTTTCTGGTGGGAAGATAACTTTGGCAAATACCTCATCCGTCTACTAACCTCCTGGGCCACAGTCTACGACATCACCTATTTACCTGCCCAAACTCGACTCCCCGGTGAAACGGCCGAAGAGTTCGCTTCAAGAGTACAACAACTAATAGCCGAGGCCATAGACGTAGACCCATCACCGTACGACGGCGGCGTCTACTACAAGAAACACATGCGCGAGAAATACAAAAAGATCATTCAAGAACAGTGTGCCCAGGAACTAGTGGTCAGCTCACGCCGAAACTCACCCGACCCATACTTGTCATCAGGGCCGGACGAAAAAGTCATGTAATTGTTATATATATATTGTACATGTAAAAATGACCTTAATTATCAATAAAGTAATTATATTGTTTTATACGTAAAAGTGAAAGTTAGAAGTTGGAATTTGGTGTAATTATTACCTATGGTATTGATAAGTTAGGCAAAAATTTTGACACAATTTGATTCATTATTTTTTTCAAAATGGCACATTTACTTCCGCCACCACCACTATCAAAACAATAACTTCGCAGAAGTCGTCAGAATCTACACGATTTGCAAAAAGATTGCAAAGAAATTACATCATCTATTTAATTCTCGCTTGTTCAGATGATTTGGCTTTTATTCCTTTGATTTTTTGAGTCTTTACACTGTGGTCAACATCAGTCTTTAGTGTAATATAGACATTTTTGATCATTTGAAAGTTTAAGTTGATAAATCTTTTAAAAATTTTTTAAAGTTAGTTTTTACAGGTTTTTTAAATACGTTTTTATTTATAGTACAGTGATTCATACCTGGTGCGTGTCATCATGGCACATTAGTTAAAATTTCTAGCAAATCTGTCATTTTATATATTGAAAAAATTATACAAACTAAGTTTTTTATATTTTTTAGGTCGTTGATTTGAGCTTATATTGATAGTTTACCCTATGATAACGCAAAATCTGTTTTTAAATACACGTCGCGATGACGTGTTTTTTGGAATTTCCATAAAATACGTAAGCAAAGCTAAAAGATCAAATAAAATAATAGTAAGATATAGCCAAACAGTAACTAAGAACTAATATTTGTTTCCAAATTTAACATTTTTTCTTGTAAAATACGAAGTTTATACAATTCTAGCATAAAACCCTTTTTGCAACGGAACGCCAAAAGCTAATGTCTTTTTTTGCTGGCCACGGAATGCGGCCATATTTTTTCGCTGCTTCGGCCAAAGGCTTTGGGAACAGCTTTGTGTAAAAAGAGCTTGGGGGTTTTTTGTTTTTCACGTCAAATTCAAGGATTTTTCCGGAAAATAGCCGGTTTTTAGCTAAAATTCGGCCATTTTATATTCTAACTGTTTAGAATTTGATCGTATCTTGGTTTATATTGATTAGTATTGTAGCTTATAGTGTTTTACTGCTTTTTTATATTGTACTAATTGATGTTTATTATTAATATTAGTAGTTCTTTATGAAAATATTTACATAACATTAATTTTCGACTAATTTTATTTAAAAAAAACTTTTTAGGTAACAAAAATTAATTATGAATGTTAAGAATTTTTGGGCTTTTTTAATAAATTAAGTGTTATAACTTGTAAGTTTATAATGTTTTTATATGTTTTACCCCGTATTTTGTTAGTCAAAACATGCCTTTCGATCTTTGTTACCCAAGCCCCCGGTATCTTCAAAAAACAGTATAGTAAACCATCTAATCTTGACGTTGTTCCTCATATAAACAGTACTTTTGGTCTCAAAACAGCCTTCTTTGTATTTTGCTTTGTTATTTCTTCACAACATGATTCCCTGTTTGTCAGTGTAATTTTGTGTTCGATCGTCTAAAACAATATGTGATGGGGAAGGTGTTGTTGTAGATTGTGCGCTTCACATGAAAACTTGGAAACTTGTGGCGATAATGATGGTTGTCAAGGCTGAGCGGGTGCTTTTTGGGTTCCTCTGCTTATTAATGTGTTTACTGATTCGAAGCTGCAATTCAATCAATTTTATCAGTTTGTTTTATTTTGGACCAGACTTTGGGGATTGATTATATTGTAGTAGGGAGGGCTAGACAGGGTTTTGAAGAACTTGTTGTATGTCATGTTTAATGAATAGTGGAAGGCTGATTTTTGTAATTTCGTTTAAAATTAAAATTTCATTTTTAATGAAAATGGCAGGTTTAGTTTGGTCAAGAAGTAGATAGAAACTTTAGAAAATGGACCAGAAAAACCTACAGATTTAAAAAAGGGTTTGATATTAGTATAACATATAATTGTAACAGCAAACTTCAAAACGGCCCTCTCTTTACCACACAGTAAAAGAAGCTAATTAGGATGAAACCCATCAAATCAACAATTTTGCGCAATATTATACTAGGTTCTTTAAGGTACACAGTCTTCACATGAAAATAATGTGGAGTAGGACAGGCGGATGAGATTAACAAGATAGACAAAAACAGTTCAAAGAACATTGTTCTCGGATCTTTTAAGGATTAAATTTTAGGTTTGTGCTATTGCGGTATTTATGGTAAAATCAAAAAGTATATAGAAAACAGAAAATTACTTTACATCTAACGAAAATGAATGTTACTAACCTTTCATCAATTTGGCACTTTTTATGATGAAATATATACTACGACCATCCTGATCAAGCCGAATGTTAGTTTTTGAAAAGCACGTTGAAAAAGGGCTGGGACAGTTACTCATGTTACCTTAAAGCGTGCAGGTTGAGGTTTGAAATATTTTTAAGCTTATAATGGGCTTACTGTCATTATAATGCGATTTGAACAAGATTTAAGGGAACGTTTTTGATCAAAATGAACTGAGCTTTCACTTTTTTCATGATAACTTTGTTCATAAAAGATAATCATGGCTGTAAGCCAATACTAAGCCTTAAAATGTTTCAAACTTTTATCTACACGTTGTGAGGTAACGTGAGTGGCTCTGACTACATTTTTTTCAACGTGATTTTTCAAAAACAATATTTTTGCTTGGTTAGGTGGTTTATGTAGTATCATTTTGCTTACATAAGGTGCTGAATTGAACAAATTGCTATATTCGTAATTTTTGTTAGACGTAAAGTAATTTTCAGTTTTCTATATACTTTTTGATTTTACCATAGAATCGGCAATACCACAAACCTAAAAGTTAAACCATAGAAGATCCGAGAACGATGTTCTTTGAACTGTTTATGCCTATCTTGTTAATCTCATCCACCTGTGCACACTCACACAGTGTTTTGCCGGACCGGACGGACCGAAACAAAATTTTTTGCGGACCGGACCGGACCCAAAATCTTGCGGACCCGGACCGAAGAAAAAGCTCCGGACGGGTCCGGAAAAAAATTTTTTTTTTAATTTGTTAAAACTGCTTTAAAAATTGCAAAGAAAACATATTTTTAAGTGTTTTTAAACGTAGAAAAAGCAATTTTAGCGCTCTTTGCTTTTTTTAAAAATAAAAAAAATTTTTTGCGGATCGGACCGGACCCAAAAATTTTGGGTTTGGACCGGACCGGACCCGAAAATCGCCGGACCGGACCGGTGAAAAACGCTCCGGTCCGGGCAAAACACTGCTCTCACATTATTTTCATGTGAACACCGTTTACCTCAAAGAACCTAGTATAATATTGCGCAGAACTGTCGATTTGATGGGTTTCATCCTCACTCTTGGCCTCTTTTACTGTATGGTAAAAGGAGGCGCCGGTTAGCGACGGAATAGCGCGATTTTGTGATCATGTGAGGAGGGTCATCATTATGATGGATGCGATCCTCTTGTTGTTAATGTTAGGTCTGTCCACTCTTACGGCAGAGACGCAACATCGCATTTGGTGGCGGGTAATGTGGGTTATCATGTGGTAATTTGGAGGGGTGTGGGCAGGGGTTTTTAGTAGAGGTTTTCACTGTATTACCAAATACTGTATAACTATTAACACCTAGTACAATAACTTAATATAACTTTCAATAAAAAGCCATAACATCAATTTTTTCAATAAAAATGTTTTTATCAAAGAAAGTAGTAGCATAAGCCTATATTTAACCCTCTTATCGGAAGCCTGACCATCCCGCCAATTTTTTCTCGAATCTTCAAACTTTCCCTTTAATCATCTACGAAAACAGTTTCTAATCACTTGTTTGTATGTTCAACTACTTAAGAGGGCTCGGTTTGAAAACTTTAATTATTATGGAGTTTGTACGAGTAAGAAAAGGGCAGATCATTGGGTATAGTACATTATACTACTGTTTAATATTATACTACTGTTTTTATGGTAAAATACAGGTTCAAGCAATTCTGGCAACGATAAGATTGGCAAGGGTAGAAGCGAAAAAATTAGGCTTTGTTAAAGCAGGGGTTTCTCTCCGGACCGACTGAGAAAAACTAAAAACAAACTGGATTTAAACGTTGGCCCGAGCCCGTAAAGTCCATTAGAAACTCATGCCCTTCCTACTACTATAACATATCTTCATAAATTCATTGATAAGCTTATAAACCCCTTTTAATACCTAATCTTTAGTTGCTAAAAAGTTTTTAAAACTAGAAACAGCTTTTCGAAGTCACGTGGGGGAGGGGCACTCTCATATAACGAGCATTTTAATCACTTTTATGACGTGACAACGTGATTTCTCCTATTGATATCGTGAGTTTATTACGGTTTTGGTTCGTTTTAGGTATGTCATTCAATTAGACATTAACTCAACCAACTTTGTATTAGTATTGGACGGATTGTTGTGTTCTACTGTTACAGTAATATATTCATAATTCAGTACTACTACTACTACTACTATATTCGTAACATCACAGTACTACTACTAAACCGTTGTACTTAAGATACTGTTATCAAGGTACTATTGAACTACTAATATTAAGTTACCAAAAACAATACTATCAAGGTACCATTAAGCAATAATAACTAGTTCTACATTATTATTGAACTAAATTAATACTATTAACTATTTTTAAGCAATATTTGCTCAATTTTCTTCTCTACAGTACCATAAAACCGCTCTTCCTGGTACATAAATTGTTTTACAGCGCAGTAATCAATTTGCTGTACAAAGTTTTATATAAATAGTTACGTCGTATTCCACACTAAGTAACTAACTACCTTACTTTGATTGTACAAATTCAATATTGTTCCGACTAGAAATTTCTGTAAAATCTTACTTGCTTGGTTATATTAATCATGACTGTTGGAGTGGTATCACAGCAACGTGTTGATGACTTTGGCAACAGCCTTACTAATGAAGAAGGTGAGTACTTTTAGATAAAAAAGGGAATTTTAAGTAGATTTGGGGCTTTTTGTAGAAATGCTTGTTTTAGGTAACAAATTTTAAAAATTTTAACATTTAGGTAACAAATTTTTCAAATCCGGAAATTTAGGTAACAAAAATTAAAATTTAAATATTTGTGGTTATAAAAAGGATATTTCTTACTTTATTAACTAATATTTTATGTTTAGGTGGCATTTTTTCAAATTTCGAAATTTTAGGTTACATTTTTTAAAATTAAAAAATTTTAGGTAATAACTTAAACTTTTTTCAAAAAAATTTTTGGAAGACACTTTATATCAGCAAGGTTCAGACATTAAATATTAATTGACGTACATAACCACACATCAATAATTATCTATCGAGTTATCGCCCAATAATTACAAACTTTTTTCGCTTTTTCTCAAGTTTTCCCCAAATTATCGTTGGTTTAATTGCTTTCTAATGATGTAAACCGTGTTATCACGCTTGTTTTGGCATGTTATCTGTAAATTTGGGCAATAATTTGATGTTTGAAAGAGTTGACAACATCAATTTTTTGTTTTTCGTTTGAGAGTTGAGGAAAAATAGCGAAAAAAATCAAAATTTAGGTAATATTTTAGGAAAATTTTGTTTTTTGAAGTTTTTTTATTAATAGGGCTAGGGCAGTAGAATCATAAGTAAAATGGCAGTGGTTAACTATATTTTTCAAGAAATTTAAACAAGTTTTAATATTTTAGTTGCTTGCACCGTGCAAAGCTTAATTACTCCACGGTGCAGTCACTAAAACTCAATTTTAAAAATATTTTTTGATTTTTAAAACTTTTTGACTCTATCAAAAACTAAAAGGTTGCGCTCAATTTGAACTTGTTTTATACCTAAAATGAAACTTTGAGTTCTAGGTAATCAAAGGTTAAAAAACAAGTGATAAGAGTTTGGTGATAAAAAATGATTTGTTTACAGTTTTCTCATTCAACCGCTTAAAAGTGTATGTTTGGTTTAATTTTCGAGTTGGGTTCGTCTGGAGTACTGTATTTTTTGTTCGCACGGTGCTAGTTGTTTGGTAATTGCACCGTGCAGGCAATTTTAAGTTTTTAAAATTTTGTTAATTAAATTGGCATAAATTTAAGAAAGTTGAAATTGCATAGGTTGTACATGTAATCGAGCGTCTAGGTTGCGAGTTTTATAGTTTCAAAAGTTTTCGGGCGTCTTGCACGATGAAATTTATAAAACTAGACTGCACTGTGCAGTAAATTTTAAATCTTATAAAATCACTCCATGTTTATTTAAGTATGTTGTTAGAAATGAAGTATCATTTAATAAAAATCGTTTTTTCAGAGCAACGCTTTGATTCCTTGCTCGAAATGGCACTACAGCATAATACTGTAGAGGAGTTCAAAACCATCATGTATCATGTAAGTTATGTTATATTTTTTGCAACAAAAATTATTTTCTAGGTTCAGGGCAAGTCAAACTTATTTATAAAATCTTTTTTCATTTACTTTCAAACTTCATCTTAAAAATCCTCAAGATTCTTTAAAAATCACCTAAAACAATATAATTTTAGATGCAAGCTGTTCGTCGCCGCATCGTAGCTTCAATATTGGCTTCGGAACCGGTGCAACGTGAATGGGTAGACTTGTTAAGACACACATATAACGTTTTGAACGACAATAACACAAACAACTTTCAACGGGAAATGATCGCAACCACGGGCAACTTTAGTGTTAATGTTAAGGACGAGATTATTGGCTTGCAGGTGAGCGTTTTGATTTTTTCTTTGGTTTTTAGGTAAAATACGGTCAGAAGAATGACAGAGCTAAATTTTATGGATTTTTGGACGTTATACTTGGTTTACAGACATGAAAAATGACTTTTTAGTCTAATTTGACCTTATTTTAGGTGTAAACCGTGATAAAAATTAATTTTTATTAACTTTTGCAGCAAATTTTAGAGCTAAATCTTAGTAAAAGTATTTTTCTATAAATTTGTTGACCTAACCAAAGATAATCCTTATTAACAATGCCAAATTTGTCTTCAGAAAGACCTGCAATACTTGGAATCCCTGCTCCGACTCCAATCTCAAGGTATCAAAGTAGCGCTGAATCAAGTCGATCTACTCTCGATCCTCCGACCATATCATCCACTATCACCCGACCAGTTCAAAGAAGAGTGCAATAATTGTTTGGCCTTCCTAAAACGCTTCGTAGTACCGGTACCAGACTCGAATGGAACCCTAGTCAAGCCGATCATGATCACCGATTGGGACGGTACTATGAAGGATTACTGTAGTCAATACGCCACGAATTTGCAGCCGATTTATAGTGCCTTAGGGCTGCACCGGTTTGCTCAGGATTGGACTAGACTAACCGCCGTATTGACAGCCGGGCCATTGAGAGGACCTGGCATTCTGGATCTGACTGCTTTGCCAATCGATGGTAACGTCGTGTTCAGTGGAAGTTGGGGAAGAGAGTGGTGGTTGCATGGAAAGAGGGTTGTACATGACGATGGAATACCGTCGGAGGGAAGAGATGCATTGGAGAGGGTCAATGATGAGGTAGGAGAATAATGTTGGTACCTTAATATGGCAGATAATAGGTTTTTAAACTTCGCGGTCAATTTGTCTCGACCTTTTTATTATAATACGCATTTTAATGACAAAATTAATGTATTCCAAATCAAAATTATAATAATGTTATTCAAAATTTACAAGAAAAAAGATATTTTCAGATGAAAACCCTGTTGACATCAGGTGAATACTCTCAATTTGGTCTGGTTGGCAGTGGAGTTCAACGTAAAGTTGATCGACTGACTTTGGGCGTTCAAACAGTTTGTAGACATGTACAACCTGAACTATCAAACAGATATCAAGACGAAATCAAGGAGAGAATGTGCAGAGTCGACCCGGAACATAGGGTAAGTATAATATGATGAAAAGGGGTATCAACGACAAAAATGTCTACTATATTAGCTACTACAATATCGGAAATTGATCAGAATAAGCAGTTTCTCAACAATATGAACATAATTTCTATCAAAACATACAGAAAATGCCATGGGACCAGGGACGTCGCTACGGTTTTTCTCTGGGGGGGTGGGGAGGTCGAAAAATTTTTTTTGGTCCACAGGTAGCTGCTACCTGTGGACCGATTTTTCAAAAAAATTTTTTTTTCGTTTTTCCGCGTACAGGTACCTGTGGATTTTTTTTCGGATCGGCTCTGGGGGGGGGGAATCACCCCCGAACCCCCCCAAACGACGTCCCTGCATGGGACATCTCTGTGTACTATAACATCGAAAAAGTTATTACAATTTCCATGTAATATAGCCATCACACGATTCGATATTAATACCTACTACAACATCAGTAGAACAGAATCCTAACCCCACCCCTCATTTCAGACCCTCCACTTTGACCCCTCGACCGAACTCGAGGTGGAAATCGTGGTACACAACGATGGTACCGTGTGGAACAAAGCCAACGGAGTGGAACGACTGATAAAAACCGTCGACGAGTCACTGTCGACCGGTCGAGTGCTAATTTGTGGCGACACTTCAAGTGACCTGCCAATGGTACAACATGCAATACAATCCAATCCTCAAGTAAGTTTATTCCGACACATAATCTACTCCTTCTTCTCTTCTTCCTTCTTCTCCTCATCCTTCTTTTCGTCTTCTTTCTTCTCTTCCTTCTTTTCTTCTTCCTTCTGAAAATGGAAAAGTTAGATTTTAGGTAACAAATTTGAAAATTTTTTGTTTCAAAAGTAAAATTTAAGGTTTTAGAGGATATAATAAAAAGGTTTAGAGTAAAAACCACAAAAAATTATTAGGTACAAACGCCGTATTTTAAATTCCAAACTAATTTTTTTGCTATTTTCGGCGATTCGATCGTTTTTTTGGTCAAAAACCGAAAAATATATGATTTTTTTTGGTTTTTACAATCTCACGAGTTTTATTTTAAATTTCAAGAACTAATTTACTCAAGTTGTATCTGAAAACGCTCATCTTGTGATGAAAACGCCGACTGTCTTCAAGCGGATTCGAACCTGCGCGGATTTTGAAATTTAAAAAATGCGTTTTCTTGTAATCATATCAAAAAGTTGTCAATTACAAAAATGATTCTAATGACTTGAAACGTTTGTTTTAAACTTTTATGGTTTTCTAAAACTTTCATGGTTATTAATTTTGGCGTTATGACAAAATTTCTTTTTCTTTCCTTTTTGCACGGTGCGGTCGGTTTTCGTATTGTTTGATCGGCTTTTTGACTATCTTATCAAGCAAAGATAAATTTAAATTTTTCAAGTCTAGAAACAGTAATTCAACATTAACCCACCTTCTCCTCCTTCTTTTCCTCTTTTTTCTCCTCATCCTTCTTCTCTTCCTTCTTGTCTTCCTTCTTTTCATCATCCTTCTTCTCCTCCTTCTTGTCGTCCTTCTTGTCGGCGTCGCCGTCCTTCTTAAAATCGACAAACAGTCGTTTTGTGCCGTCGGCTTCGCCCTTGTGCTCGGACCACGCAGCACGAGCGGCCTTCTTCTCGTCCGGCGACTTTATGTAGTATACGGCAAAGTAGTGCTTGGAGCTTTCCGGAACCGATTTGCCCGAATTGAACACGAGCTGAAACATAGGTTTTGTGAATTAGGTAGTAAAAAGCGTTGGTTTTAAGAATTATATGATTTATAGGGTGGTAATAGTGGCTGAGTAAAGTAAAAAAAATTCAAAAAATTTACCAAAAATTTGAAAAACTCAATGAAAAAGACTGCAAATGCCCGCGGAACTTCAAAAGATGGCCATCAAAGCCCTCAAATGCCAAAAAAAGACTGATACATGCCCGCAAGATAACAACAAAAACCGTAGAAGCTTTAAAAATAGAAGAAACGATAACCACAAAAGAAAAAAAAATGCCCGCAAAACCCCAAAATTAGCGAAAAATCCGAAAAAAAAACCCTAAAAATTTGCCAAATCGAAAAAAAACTCACCGCGACACTGACAGATTCATTGCCTTTCAAATCGCCGACCGGTGGTCGGATTCGGAACATCTCGTTGGACGTGCACTTGACCTTGAATGCAATCTTGTCGCTCTTGGGGTTTGTGATCTTGAGAGTGACGTGAGCCGGCTCTTCGCCCAGCTTTTTGCCCACAAACACAATCTTCTCGGCCGGCTCCAGCTTCAGGTCAAATTCTGGCATCGTTGCTCGAAATTAGTGATAAACCTGAAAGAGGGTTAGTGAGAAAGCTAAAAGGCAGTTAGTGATAGACCTACAAGAGAATTAATGATCAGCTTGAAGTTTTGCATAAGGTTAAAAATGGCATAAGATTTGAAAAATGGGGTTGAAATGAAAGAAGTACTAGATACCTACACCTTTTTTAGTTCTCTAGACTTTTTGACCAAAGAAAAGTTATGAAAATGCTCTAACCTACAAGATTACGTCACTTAAACACTACATAAAAGAGTGGTCAAAAAGTAAATAGAACTACAAACTCCCCCTAAAGCACAAAATACAAGAAATACGTCGAAGAACGACCGCATAAAGCAACCTACCGTTTGGGAAGAAAAGCCGAAGTTTGGAAGCAAACCGACCGACCGCAATGCTTTCGAGAAACCGACTGAACGCGAAATTTGAATAAAAATTCGGCGAAAAAGTACAATTTTGAGTTTATGTAAATTTTGGTGACAAGACATTGTTTTTTGGAATGAAAAGGGTTTTGAAAGTAAAAATTTTTTACTTTGTTCAGAAAGTATAGAGAAAGAGTTACTGCGGTAAAAAAATTTAGAGAAAATACAAGTTGCTCCAAAAATATAGAGAATAGTCTGAAGTGATCAGTGCAGGGCAGTATTGAACAGGGAGAGGGGTGAGACGGGAGAGAATCTACTAGCAAACAATTGGTTGAAGAAAGTTGTGGTACCCAGTGTAGCTTTTTTGAAAAAATATAAATACAGTGGAACTCCTGTATAACGAATCGCTCGGGAACTTGAAATTTGTTCATTATAAAGGGGTTACGTTATAGAGGGGTTTTAAATGCACTATGTAGTGGTTAAAATTTGTTCGTTGTACGGAAATTTCGTTATAGAGAAGTTCGTTATACAGGAGTTCCACTGTATTGGCGCAAGTTCTAAATATTTTAGATATGACGTATTTTACCTTACATTACTCTTCTGTTATTCACCATCATTTCTTTTTTCACTTTTAATTTATATTCACTATGATATTTATTAGGTTGTTCAAACAATTCTGCGTCTTCTAACCCCGTAAGTCTGCTTTGAGAGGGGGAACAGGATTATTTTAACAACCTAATACTTATCATAACTTTTTTTTATTTCTATTTATCATGCTTTATATTCACCATGGTATTTGTACCAGACTTACTTAAACCTCTATTTTATTATATTAACCATGCCTTTTTCAGAACGTAATGAGTATATTCGTGGGCTCCAAACCCGAAGTTCAACAGAAGGTGCGGTTGATGATTCCGAACCCAGAGAATGTGTGTTTCGTATCTTGTCCCGATGTTATTCATGCCGCCATCGCGCTTTTACTGCGGGAATCTACTGCGTCGTTGTAAATTGGTTTACTTTTTCGTTTTCTACCGGTATATTTTTCGATTGGTCTACCCAAATTCCGCTTTTTCGTATCTTATGTTGTTAACAACTAACTAGTTATACTACTCGATTACTATAGATATAACCAGTTATACCATGAACGTTGTTGTAAATGTAACTAGTTATACCATCAATACTGTTGTAAATATTAGGTTGTTCAAGTAATCCTGTGCCCTTTCAAAGTAAATTATTCTGGTTATGGGGCCAGAATTACCTGAACAACCTAATATACCGAGTATGTCATCTGATATAGGCGTGCTAGTTATACTACAGCCAATATCGGTGTAGATATACCATTTATACCGCAGCAAATATGGTGTAGATGTACTAGTTATACCACCTATGTCATTAGAGTTATATCCCTCATGTTACTATCAATATTATTGTCGATAGAACCAGTTATACTAACGCAACATAACTGTAGATTAACAAGTTATAACATACCCAATATTACCACAAACTAACTGGTTACACTACCCCCAATATTACTACGGATTCACTATGTACTCTTTCTTATAACAGTAAATTATTGTATCATTGTAAGGAAATAAACTTCAAATATTGTGCTTCGAATGTCATTTTACTTTTGGACCACTCTAATCTGGAGATATGGCATGATAAGGTAGGTAATTGCCATAACCAGCGACGTCGCTGGTCATATCATATCCCCAGAAAGTTATCCTTGTTCCTTATAACAGGATATGACTTTAAAAGCTTATATGAGAACTCTTTACATAAATTTTGATCCAACGAAACCTGTGACAATATACCTAACGACAAAAATGTAAAACATTTACTGGACCCGAAGTATAATATCGAAAAATCACAGGAATGTTGTAAAATTGTAAATGCTGTAAAGTATAGAGTTCTGTAATATAGAGTATGTTTTCAAACTGACAATATCATCAGCTACTACCTATGATACATAGATAACAAGAGAATGACAGAAGATATGACCAGAAATTTGAAATAATGTTGACCATCTAAATTACAATTAGATGATTAAAGATTATGTTAACCATCCGCAATACTATTAGGTTGTTCAAATAATTATGTGCCCCCACCTCCAAAATTTTCTGAGAGAAATGGCACAGAATTATTTGAACAAGCTAACAACAGAAGAATTAAAGACAATGTTAACCGCCCTCAATACTATCAGATGATTAAAGACAACGTTAACCATCCCCAATACTATCAGATAAAACCAACATTAAAGCTCCAATAAGCCCAAATTCAAGAAATCTCTCGTCTGACATTCTTCATAAAGTTCTGAAGCTGACTTTCGGTGAAATTCATAAAGCTGGCTGCCCGATTATATTCAACATAGTCACCTGATTGCACTGTGTCACTATATACGGCATTCAATATCTCAGCTGCAGCTCTGTCTGGAGTTCTGAAATTGAGCCGTTATTTAAACTATACTACGCTCATAATATGGCATAAATTTCATTATTATCAGCTTGCTATCCCGCTGAATTTTAGCCATTGAAGCGTGACAGCAATCGTGATTATACTGCGTACCTCTAGTAAACATACTAGTCTCTCTATTGAAAGAAGTCAACCAAAATGTTACCTCAAAATAAAGGGCAGAATGTTGTTGATCAAAGCCTTAGCCGGTCCAAACACATATCTGTACAGGCCTCCTGGTACTACTCCTGGATGAATACTGAACACTCGAAGTTTGGAATGTTCGTCAGCTAGTACTTGAGCGAGACCACAACAATAGAGGTTGACGGCTAATTTGGAGTCGGCATAGGACTTGTAGCCGTTGATGTATTCGCAAAAGGCGTGATCTGAAGGCAGTCTTATATTGTTTTGTTCTTTTATGCAAATTATATTACCCTATATTTAAGATCTTTTAAAAAATCCTCATTTACAATGCGAAATTTCATACTGCTTAAAAATCCATTTTAACATCAACTATGTCAACTATGCCATACAAAACATAATAAAGCGAATACAATTCCTAGCACAATACCTATACAAAGCTCAAAATTAACCATTTCTATCACAATATTCATAAACAACCTTTACAATCCCTAATAACACCACTTTAATAAGCAATAAACCTACCACTCTCCACAAAGATATCGCTAGTATCACCAAGACGACTCGTCGATGAAGACACAAAAACTGCATTTGGTCGAGAACTCTTCTCCATTAATGGCCTCAACTTTTCCAAAAGTTTAGCATGAGACAACAAATTGATTACAAAGTGCGGATCTTTTGAGTTTTTCTTCTGAAATGCCGGTTTATAATACATAACCGTTGTAACTACATAGCTTTTGGAATGGCATAAGTTTGTTCGACAAATGAGTAAAAATGTGAAACTTTGTGTAACTTTAGATTATGTGTTTAATCAACCAACACAATATAAAATTCTTTTTGAAATACGCCATAATCAAAGTGAATTTTCAACTTTTGTCATAACCAGGGACGTCGTTTGGGGGAGGGGTAGAGGGGGGGGTACCCCCTCCCCCAGAGCCAATCCGAAAAAAATTCCACAGGTATGTACCTGTACGTGCAAAAACGAAAAATAAAAATTTTGAAAAATCGGTCCACAGGTAGGACCTGTGGACGAAAAATTTTTTTGCGACCTCCCCCCCCAGAGAAAATCCGTAGCGACGTCCCTGGTCATAACAATCTTTGAAAAAATCTTTGACAAAAAACAAAGACCCCGGAAAAAAGTGCCACTAAAATAAGTGACAAACTTAAAGCATTTTTGACTTTGTTAGGTGCCTGCATAAATAGATCAACATCACTCAAACTTTCATGACTCTAACTATATTTTGAAAAAACAAGCAATAAGATAGGTAATATAATTCATACAGGTCTTCCAGTCATCTAAAATCCAAAGAAACAAACAAAAACTTACATCTAAAGGAGCATGCAACATCACTCCAGCCACAAATACAGCCAAGTCCAAGTTTGACAGATTCATTTCGTCTAACTCAACCAACGCCTTTTTCAAAGACTCATCATGCAGTAAATCACATTGAATGAACCGTAATTGATCAGGATTTGTTAGCACTAAATCCGGAGCTTTGATTCCAAGAGCTATCACTTCATATCCAAGGTTTAAAAGATGTTCTGTTACCTAAAATAATGTTGTTGTTCAATCTTGGTAACTTTAAAGACTTTTCGTGTACAAAAGATACTTTTTCTAAATAAAATACTTTATATACTTGTTTTATAAAGTTTGTAGAGTATATAAAAAGCTTTAAATTTCCAAGAACAGCTTTAAATTTTTTTCCGAACTTCTTCCCAAACCTACATGGATTCCAATAGTTCCATCAGCTCCAGTAACCAGCGCGAACTTTGGCCCCTTTGTTTCCACATCTTCAGTTTGTACTTTCTTCTTCCAACTGATAAACTTTTCGGTAAACGCAGAATCGCAGAAAAAGTCCAGTAAAAGCTCGATTATACAACAATATACAGCCAAGATGTAGGTCAAAATTATTACCAAGATGGGCCAAAACTCTCTTTTCGACTTTTCCATTTTGCCTTCCGGAAAAATTTAAAAAAGATTTTCAAAAAATAATTTTTATTTTTAGAAAACGAAGTGTCACTATTGACTTTTAGAGAGAAACTTTGACACTTCGTTACGCGTAAGCTAGTAAACCAATCAAATTGAAAGTTTGAAACTACAAATTACAAAATGTTAACTTTAATTTATTTAAAGCCTTGCTTTTTTTTAACACTACGTCAAAATTTATGTTTACTTGAAGTTTTTCATTAACAGTAACACATAACGGATGTTGTCCTCTATTCTTTATCATAACTTTTTTGAAAATACAGTGAGGTACGTAAAATTTGGTGACAATGCAGGTTATCAAGTTGCTAAACTAACACAATAAATTAAACTTTTTATTTCCCGGTATTTTCAGAGTTACAACGATTTTACTGTGAATATACTCTAATACTAAAAATCCAGACCGCTTTTAGTTTTCCAGCCATAAATTTAAACAAACTGTTTATATTCTAATTAAACCTTTAAAAATTTGTTCCCCATCAATTACAATAACATTTGTCCAAGTTTATTCAACAAATATTGCACAAAGCATCAAAAACCTACAACAACATAAAATCACAAAGAATAAACCCTATGTTTTGTCCAGTTTCGAGGTATTAAAGAAACCATATAACTCCAAATTAAACAAAAAAAAACAGTTCTGAGTATCATTAAAATCCATTCAAACAAACAATGGCACTATTCTTCATTGGCTTCAAATTCGATTTCCACCAAATAGCGTAGTTTTACTTGTTCTCTCGCGTAGACAATATATTCATTGTACATCAGATCATAGTCATCTGGGTTTTCTTTTTCGATGATTTTGCCGAGAGGCACCTTTACTTTGATTCCGTCGATTTTTCTAAAATTTTATTAATTATAATAATATTGGCCGTCTAAACAATATATACATAAATGTATCCACCATAGAAAAAAGCACCAAAACTCACAAAAATTCGCATTTTTTGGAGTCAGGTTCCATTTGACCAATACCTTTTGTGCTACTTATGCCTTCCGGCATCTTTGAAGCTTCATACTTTGCAGTTTTTAATTCTTGAGAAGTTCCTAACGCCACTTGTGACAGTAATAAAAAGCCAGTCTCTCCATGTTTGGCGTCACAATAATTGGCTGATTTTGAAGCACAATCAGCAAAGTATATTCCTTTTCCAAACATATGACCGGTCTGAAAAGTATATAACACTGTATTTTAAGAAATTAGAACATGTTATTCAAAGATTTATAGTTTCGTATTCAAGGCTGAAAATTTTCAAATTGCACAGTGCACTGCACCCGAAACGCAAACAATGTCTTTTTAGTGATTCGTTATCGAATGGTTTTCCGATAACTTGTTTCATTTCGTTTTCGTTTCTTTTTTTATTTTTCGGTCGGTTTTTTCTCTTACAAGCTCGATTTTGAGACTTATTGTGCTTTATTGTCTAATAAATAGCTAAAATTTGATCTTATGGCAACATTGATCAAATTATTTTTGGGTTATAAGAGTTAATTCTACGATTTTAACCATAAAATACTTTGTTTCTTGTTGTCTGTTACAGAAAAAGTTTAATCGACCTTTGGTATGTATTTTATATTATTCTTTTCACTTTTCAGGGGCAGATTAAATGAAGAAGAACAAAATGTTGCATAATTTAAATGGCTAAAGACATATTTCTGCACAAACATGTTTTTGTTACCTAAATTCAGATAAGGTTAATACATATCTTCAAAGGAAGTAAATTTACTCAAAAAATATATAATGTTTTACAAAATATATGCTTATTAACCTAATTTAAACTCTTTGTTACCTAAAATAAAGAAATAATAAGTTTTATTGCCTAAAAGAAATTTTGTTGAACCAATATGGCGCGGCCTTACGAAAACGAAATGCCACATTTATGTTTTTTTATTTTTTTCTTTTGCGTTCGGGTGCAGTGCAGTGCAAAACAAGAAAAAAAAGAAAATCAAAACTTAAAAAAGACTTACAATTGGAGCTTCTGGCGGAGCAATTTGAAGCCCTTTCAACAATATTCCAAACCAGTTCAGCAGCCTAGACCCATGCCATAACAATTGACTAAAATTTTTAGAAGATCAATCAAAATGAGACAAAACTCTTACTGATTATCAATATCACTTCTGAATCCGCCTTCTTTCTCCAGCTCAAACACATTCTTCAGCTTCATTTTGTAGCCTTTGTGAGTTGGTCCATGAGTATTTTTCAAATATTTTTCGATTGTTTTATAGGCTTTCACACTCTTGGCCAATGGTTTTAGGCCACAATTCAAGCGCTGATAATTTCTGTCAGATGGATTGACCTTTTCAATTTGTTTCTTCGTGTTTTCTACTGTAACTTCGGTTTGTACCAGGGCTTCTAATAAGCTTAGCTCGTCCTTAATGTCTTCAAATTCTCGGAGAGATGGTGGTTGGGCCATTCTGTAAATTTTTGTGATAATTTTAGGTAGTAAGTCGTTATAAACAGCTCAGTTATAAGCCAAAAACCCACTTGAACCTGCCATAATCAAAAAATGCAGCAAAAACTGCCTAAAAACTATCTTTTCAAAATAAACTCCTTGTAAAAAGCTTACCCAAAACAATGCGGTATCTTAGTGTAGTAATCACTGACCAAAGCATGAAACTCCGTTGCAAAAGTTTTGGTATTAATCTTCTTCTCGATTTGGCTCAACAACTTGTATCCAATCTTAATCTGCTCTTTGGTTATACATCCTGAAAAACAATTTTTAAACATTTATTAAGCTATTCATCATAAAAAAGAATTGCCATTTTTATCAATGCCACCCGAAAAATAACTTTCAAACTATTTTTCACTGCCATTCCTTACCCAATGGAGTTCTATTCGTGTCAAAATTCAATCGTTTCAAATGTTTTTCCATTGCTTTCAAATCCGATATCAAGTCGATGACACTTTTCACTTTCGGATCTAACGTGCAAGGTACTGCTTCATCCTCAATATCATCTCGTCGTTCTTCTTCATCCTGTCGAGAATAATCAACCGGTATCAAATCGTATTTACCCGGACGTTTTTCGAATTTTTCTCCAAACTTGTTTGACGTTTTGGCATGATATTTGGCTTCGAATTCGGATTTCGCTCTATCCAATGTTAAGGCTTCGAGCTTTGTTTGGCCCTAAAGTAACTTTTTTAGAGTTAAATAGCAAAATTTTAGTTGGATAACGTAGAAAAGACTTTAAACTAACTTAAAAATTTAAAATCAAGAAAGACAGATAAAATAACTTACTTTATATCCAACTCTTCCCCATCTATACCACAAGTTGTATTGCTTTGGAGACTTTTCGCTTTCCAACACTTGTAACAAGTAAAATTTGTTGTTGTTCTGTGCTATATTAGTCTGAAAACATCAATCACAACCTTTACTTTTATAGAATCAAAACAGAAAGCTATAGACACAATCAAAACATCATTTTTTAATAGAACACCTTCATCTTTATACCTATGATTACACTTTAACATAGAAACCATACTTCCGCCTGAATTTTCACATCAAAACTATTAATCCGTCTGAACTTTCACACCAGAAGCATCGCCTTGACTTAAAAAATTATCTTGTTGTCTAAAAATCAAAGAAAACATAATAAAATCTTACCTGATTCAGCAAAGCACTATAAATAAGTCCGTTTTCTTGATAAACAACAAATCCTAGAGATGGACATTCTGAATCGACTTTGATCACTTTTGGCACTGAAATTCCACGATTTATGAAGCACAGATAATAAATAACATTTTAAAATTATTAAGAGCACATAAAACGTTATGAATTATATAAATACAACATAATATAAAAAATACATATTTTATACCTTAAAACCAGCCTATTTTAAAATAACTTACACTTTTCGTACCTAAAATAACAATTCTAATACCCAAAAGTAGACTTTAATAATAACTTACAAACAATCTTCGACTTCTTGGCCACAACCTTTTCAAATTTAGCCTTCTTGGCTACATACTCATCGTTTTCCTTGTTATCTTCAACAACAACCTTCTTTTTTGCTCGACTTCTTAGGTTTGGCATTTTAAACCTGGACTTCTGAAACAATGAAACTGTAAAATATTGTGAAAACTAAAATTTAATAAATATTTTCTTGTATTCCACAAAAATATTTTTGTTTTTTTTTCAAATAATTATTTTGGCGCCAAGAACATAAGGCTTCGTTAGTCAACAATACTAACATAAAATTAAGAATTTTTAAAAGCATGCAGTATATAAAAAATAATAACTATCTTTCACAAAGATATGTAATTTGATTAAAAAACAGCGTAAAATTGTAAACTACGTAGACATGAAAAACGGGCCGGCCTTGAGCAAAATTTAGATCGGGCCGGGCTTGAAAATTGGGCCCGGCCCGGCCCGTTTCTCATGTCTAAAACTACGAAACAAACACTTAGCATACCACTTGGTCTCACGACGAAAACGCTTTGCGAAAATAATTCGTTTGAAAAATAATTTTTTCTGAATATTTTAAAATAAAATAATTCTAAAATATCTCGATAAATTTTAAAAGTCTAACTTATTTTACATTTATTTATTGAAATGACATCGCTTATCGAAGCTAAAGGCTATAAAATAGACAAACAAATTGGCAAAGGAGGTTTTGGTGTGGTTTATAAGGCATTTGACAAGTATAATAAGGCTGTAGCCTTGAAACAAAGCAATATTAAAGTAAGTATTTATGGTTTATATTTTTCTTTTATTTTTTCTTGTTTTAATGGATTTTAGGGTGTTGTAAAGGATGTTTCAAAGGAGAACATTATAGATTTTGCATATGATTTAAAGCTTATTTTAGTTTATTTTAGAATGGCAAAGAAAAAGGACTGGATTTAAAAGCCGAAGCTAGGTTTATGAGGATATTGAGCGAGGGAAAAGATTCAGAACGACACTATTTTGTCAAGTACATTGATTCGTTTGAAGATGGCGAAAACTTTGTACTTGTTATGGAATACATCGAAAATGGCAGTTTATACGAGTTCGTCAGGAAGGAACCGTTAAGTTTGGACGCTGGTAAGTATTATTGTTATGTTTTTTTTTTGGAATTTTAGAAGCGGTATACATTTATTTATTGACTTAGAAAACAGGAGATGAACGTTTTGGGTTAGCATGCGTTAACCTACGTTGTTATATGTTAATACCTGAAGGTACCGAAAAAAGTGTTTAGATATAAATTTAAGGTTTGTCAACAACATAAACTAATGCAGTTCACGGTTTTTAGTTTAAGCAATTTAAGTGTTAAGTTTGTTATTAAAAAGTTAAAACAATTTTTGTGTTTTTGATATATCTATTATAAGTATAACATGGGCATACGTTATGTTAAATGAAGAAATATAAAATTTATTTGTTTTGGATTGTAAAAGAGTTTATGAACTTGGTTTTTGTAATATTTGGGATTCGTTGAGCTGTTCTGTAAAAAGTTACAGCAGGTTTAGGTAACAACATTTCGATATTTTATTATTAATTTTTGTGGTGAATAAGGGTTTCATCACGTTTTTAAATGATGTGTTTTAATATTAATCAGCTTTTACTGTCTTTTTTCAGCAATATACGTGACTTTACAAATAATAGTGGCAGTACAATATATGCACGACAAGGAGATAATGCACCGAGATTTGTCGCCGGGGAATATATTGGTGGTTCCTCGATCGAATAGCAGATCCAAGTTTCTACCTAAAATCTGTGATTTCGGATTGGCCAAACAGTTGCCACGTTCTAAGGAAAAGAACTTTACTGTGTGTGGTACGCCGCAATTTCAGGATTTGTAAGACTATAACAATATTTTACACTTTTTAAAAAGATTTTGAATTTTGTTTAAAATTTTTATTTGTGGTGATCTTCTGATGCGTTTTTGTGTAAAAACAGCCTTCTAAAGAAACTTTCAACACCTCATTTGAAAACCTATGTTACAGTGAACACATGAAGAAAGGTTACGGACCAGAAATAGACTATTCATCAGTTGGTGCTCTTTTCTACTACATGCTTACCCAAAAGCCGATACAGAATAAAGTGGCATCAGTTAACGATATACGAGCCAAAATTGACAATGAAGCAGCAGTCAATTGGATTTGTCAGTTGGTAATGAAAGATGACAAATATGAACGAGAGTTTGGCATAAAGAAGACTTTGACTACGCCTGAAGGTAGGTTTAGAACGATTTTTTTTATAAAAATAGGATTTTTTGTTGTTTCAGCTAACACAATGAGATTTTTTGGTTTTTAGGTAACAATATTTGATTTTTTAGATGTTTAAATAATAAAATATGTTTTAGTTATTTTAGGTAACAAGATATGTTTTAGTTATTTTAGGTAACAAAAAATTATTTTTTTGGATGTTTTTAGATATTAGAATGCAGCTGAAGGCGATAGATTGCCGAGACAAAAGTATGCCACGCAGTTCAATCTCAAGTCGAATACGCTCCACTAGTCGTACAATACGAGAAAAGGAGAACATAGAGAACAGGGATTACCATGAATACAGGAGAGATCAATATTCAGATACACAACGGTTTAGAAATGATCATGAAAACAGAGGAAGATCGATGGAACGCAGAGATTATGGAGTGTGCAGAGAAAGAGGGAACCAGAGAATTGAGGTCAAAAGTAATGGTCAGGATTATAGGGAAGGATATGTTAGACAGGTAAGAGTGTTATTATAATGTCATTTTTAATATTTATTTTTTCAGCCAGAACGTCGAAGATCGTCATCAAGACAAACCGACTCCTATAGGCGATTAGATAGCCTTCAATTACCGACCAATGTAGAAACTCGAAGAGAACGACGCAACTCAGTACGGACGATACCAGTAGCTGAAGCTGAACTATCACGTAAGCCAAAGTCAGCGCCAGGACAGAAAGTGACACCATGGCCATTGGCTCACAATATGAATGATCTGTCGGAGGTTAATGTTGTCTTTGCTGAACCGGGAAGGGTAAGAGTATAAAATTTGGATTTTTTGTAATGTTATTGTAGAGAGTAGTTTCACAATCAATTTTTTGAAAATTATGGTTTTATTAGGTTGTTCAAGTAATTTTGGGTTCTTAATCTATATTCTTCACTATAATCTTGACTTTACTCTTAACCTCACAATTGTCTGTTCTCTGATTCCCTCTTTCTCTGCACACAGAAAGAGGGGATCATAGAATTTGTGTGTAATATTTGGTTGTTCACTTAAAGTTGCCCTCTTAGTTTAACATACAAAAAAAATAATTAAAAAACTTTTTTTATTTTTCAGGTACTCCTAACAAAAGAAGGCTCATTATGTACAATAACGATAGAAGTTCACAATTCAGATGAAGTGATAACAAAGATAGTAAAACTCAACAACGCCGGCGAATCCTCACAAAACCTGAACGTATACGAAGTCGAAGGCCGACACAAAAAACGCACCATAAACGACCCACCAGTACCAGTAGGACCAAGAACCAAAAGTGTACTATCAAGTCGGGAGTTGGACAAATCGCCAGAGTTAAAAACGATCTATGACAAGTGTAACAAGTTCGTGTTATGGTGCAGGAATCGACAAGCACGATGTCAGTTCATAGACAACGTGAACAAGGTATACGGGGATGTGAAGATAAATGGCAGAGTGGAGATACGGTGGAATGACAGAACGATCGAGGTGGACAGAACAAAGGAGGACCTGATCTTGGAGTCGGTCAAGGGCGGGAAGTTTACTTCGGGTAGGTTATTTATGATTGGTGGATTATGAGGCTTTCAATCGGTGATTTAGGTAACAAAATTTTCAAAAAAGTGATTTTAGGTAACATTTTTTCTCAAAAAATTATTGTTAGGAAAGGCTCATAACGAGCGTTTGACATTACAGTAGAGTATTTACACAAAAAATACTCCTTTCATAAAATGACCAATTTTCAGGTGAATATGCCTACCTACGACAAGTCGGGCGAGATCTTTTGAACAAAGACCGCAGAGCACAAAAGTACAAAAACAGTTTACAGTACAATCGAAATCAGGAAGCTGTGTGAGTTGGCAAGATTTCCGGCTTCAAGTGATCTCAACCTTCTAAACAATCACGGTTTAGAATTTGTCAAAAAGCTCCTGATGCCATTTTCAACGAAACATTGAAGAGATATCACTGATTTTAATGCGCATCATTGTTAACTGATGGTAATTTGTATATACAACTTGTCCATAAAACGTTATATTGTATTCTTTTTGTTACTTTAATGATCCTTACAAGGAAAGTTCCCGACCTGCCCCACTTTGAGTGACTTGAAGCTTTTCATTTAGAAAGATCAAGTAAATACAAGATTTTTAGCAAATTTCTAAATTGCGCTTTCTAGGCAATCTCGAGAAAATTGAGATCAAAAAATTACATTTTGAATTCCCCGCTAAACTGGCATTCTCAAAACCCAAAAGCGCGAGCTAAAATTTTTTATGGGTACTATTGGTGGTACAAAGAATTCATATAAAAATTTTGAGCTGATTCTGGGCGTGGCAGGTTTGGTACTTTTCCTGTTAGTAAAACAGTTGGTGACTTTTTAAAAATTTAAAAATTCTGCCATAAAAATAATAATAAAAATTGAAATTTTGAATCAAACGAGTTTTGCTTACAGCACGATAACATTTATTAAACTTTAAAAAAACAATTTTAACAATAAAACAAACAATTAAAATTACAAAAACATATACAACATAATCTCAAAAAATATATTAGCCACAGATTGTGAAAATTAAAGAACCGAGATTACAATACACGGAATTGCAATACCTATGAGATCAAAAAATACAAAACAAAGAAATATCTAAAAATGCAAGATGAGGCATTGATTTAAAAAAAAATTAAAAATTTAGTAGAACTCCACTTCCAAAAGAAAAGCCATTCTGACTTGAGACTGGTCGTAGACAACGTATTCGTTGTACTGAAGGGTATATTGATCAGGTGATGGTCTTCGGACCAATTTTCCGGTTGGTACAAGTAAATCTCTCTCACCATAACATCTGAATACAAAAATTTTAAAACTATCATAAAAGTAAAATGTGGAAATTAGAATATGTAAACTGTCGTATCTTTGAATTAAAATATAGGGCCCTTTCATGTCTATTTGACAAGACCTTTAAGCTTTAGAAACATACAGCTGTGCATCATACGAAGCAAATGTATGTTTTCCCATGCCCGTAACACTGTGATATTCATTTTGTAGCTGTGTAGCAGAGTAGTCACCTTTAATCAGGTTCTTGCTCTTTCCCAATGCCACAAGACATAACATCAAATAGCCAGTACCACCCCGTGGAACGTGACAGTACTGCGCAGCCTTAGTCGAGCAATCAGAAAAGTAAATTCCTTTACCAAACATGTGGCCGCTCTGAAAAATGCTTTTCGTAGTCAGTAAGAGGTGAAAGTAGTCTTTTTTCATATTTTTAACAATTTTTTAATTCACCGAAGAAAAAGGAATAAAGATGTCCTATAAATATATATTACAACATACCATTGGAGCTTCAGGCGGAGCTTTGTTCAAAGAACACTGTAAGATAGCACTGTAGCTTGTGGTCTTGGAGCCGTGCCACAGAACCATTCTGAAAAACAAATAATTTTTAATTTTTTAAAACCTTTTAAAACAAACTATTGTACCACTACAAGTTGCCCCTCTATATATTCCAATTATAAGTCACTGTAATTTCAATAACAAAAAAAACCTACTCATTGCCCATGTACGGATTGTATCCTTCTTTCTTGTTAACACGGAAGATATTTCTCAATTTCAACGAAAAACCGTGATCTCCTTGACTGTTCAACAAGTAGTTCTCCAAAATCTGGTGCACGCGACTGTTCCGGTCCAGAAGTTCGATTTCACATTGAGATTTCGACAGTAATTGGCTCGCTTTATCGCCTTAACTCTGGTAGGCTTGTTGAAGTACCATAGCCACGTATAGATTCTTCAATAACCCGGCTTCGCGTTCAATGAAGGCTCGGTCAATGAAACGAGTATCTGGGGGTCTGGAAGTCGAAGAAAATATTAAAAAGCGATGCAAACTTGATTATTTTACAATTTTTAAGGTTTTCTTGTAAAAATAAAAAATGTTTTCTAGAAAGGCCCGCAATTTTTTGGTTTTTAGACTATTTCAAACTAACGTAACTTTGCGAGCAATCATCATATCAACATAAAAAATTTACGGTAATCTTGGGATAGTTCTGAAATAGTCATGGAGTGTGGATTGAAATGCTAGGCTGCGAATGTCTCCTCTCAAGACATATTGTTCAACTTGAGTTAGATGTTGATAACCTTTCATGATAAAGTCTTTTGTCAGACAATCTGAAAAATAATGCCGAATTTCACATAACTCAATGTTACACGTAACTTAATGTTAACATATAAAGTCCTATCAAAACTAGTTTCAAAAACATCAATTTTTTCAAAAATGAGAAAAATTTAAACAAAAACCGCACAATTTATGAAAATATTATATATACAGGTGTAACTGCAACGTTTAATGCCAAAGTTGGTAAATTGACTCCGAAACAATTCACTTTCCTTTAAAACAAGCGTCGACACTTACGCACAGGGTATTCATTAACATCGAAATTCATAGCCAAAAGTTCTCGCTTTATTTTGTCCATGTCACCAATGTTTTCCATCAGCCGTCTGACATCATTTGTTAAAGTAGCCATTGTAGGCTCGAATCTTAAAATGTTATTTTCTTGACATGAAGCATTTTTATTATGCTATTCATATTTCCTACATTTACATCAGTTTTAAAAATATTGATTTTTTCATTCAATTTTTGGAAAAAAAAAGAACTCTTTTTTACCATAATGCAAGATACAGTAACAATCATACTATAAACAATTAATCAATTATGGTGCTGGAATAAGTCTTTTTAAAAGCTACTATACAGAAAATATTTAAATACGGCTTGCAACTTAGAAAATCATCCTCAAAACTTAAACCTTTGCCGACTATTTGTCAGCCAAACTGAGAAGTTGAATGGGCAACTATCGTTACCCAAGCGACTGATCAGGAACAGGGGCATCCCTGCCTTTTGTATTCGGCCGGCCTTGTTTCTCATATCATCGACTGCCTCTTCAAGAGGGTTCGATGTCTCGCTGAAACGTTGTAAGTATTATAAAAAGCGGGAAGAGAATTCTAGGAGAATGCATTTTCGGACTTTACGAGGAGGAACGTTATTAAAAATACATTATGATGTAAAGTCCTAAAAGATTGATACTGGAAAGCTAGGGTTATACTTATAGCTTATAGTTACTATCAAGTAAAATAAATTAAAAGTTTTTTCAAAAAAAAAAGAACGTATACCAAATATAATTACGTAGACGCCGACCGATCGGCAGCTAAAAGGCGAAGAGACGATCCGAATACAAATGTGGAAGGAAGCTGATCTGTTGGCGCTCTTATCGAGGCTTTGATTAGCCAATTTGGCCAATTCTGCTTTAATTTGAGTTTAATTTGAGAAAGAACACTGTGAATTCAACTAATTCATATAAATTAGGCGTAAACAAACACTTGACTTAAAACTATTTTTGCGTCAACTCTTCCTGTTTTCTAATTTTTTCTTTTTTTTTGCAAATTTAGGTTTTTTGCCTTCAACATGGTCTATCGCAAGTACAAAGCGTTGAAACAATGGGGCAAGGTGAACACTTTGTTGTTCAAGCAGATGCTAACGGCTAGGAACAAACGATCAGCGCCTTTATTTGAAGTTCCTGAGGCATTGGTTGAGAAAGGCATAGAAGTGCATGATCCAAACGATCGAAACTTTCTCAAGCCCAAGGAAGACTTTCAGGTCAACCATCCAGCTTTTCGAGAGCCTACAATCAAGGTATTGTTTTAATTTTATTCTTTATGAGTTTAGATACAATAAATCAACTCATAAGTTGTATTTTACTTTGATAGAAAAGGTTAATAAACTGTAATAAACTGTAATATCGGAAAGCTTGACGATTGAAGTTAAAAGTGCATTCTGAGACGAGGTTGTCAAGATTCTTAAAAAGGTTTCTATTTATTATCCTTAAAGCTTATTTCTTGTTCAGGATCATCCACTATACAAAAATCAACGAGCGTTTTTGTTCGAAGGAAACAACCCCTTCTCTGATGGTGTAGATCAGGCTTGTGCTTTGATTGGAGCGACAAAGCCAAAGTCGTTTACGGAGGAGTTGTTGAAGGATAAAATGACGTTTCCGGAAGATTTGGAAGAGCGTGTGAAGGATGGTATTATGTGTGGAGAAAGATACGATCCAACCTTGGTGCGCTTGGAGAAATGGCACGATCCGATCATCTTCTGGACTATTGGCCAAAGATTTTATGGTACTCCCGTGGAGAAGAGAAGGTATAATTTTTTACCAATAGTTTTTTATGGTTTAGGATGGTTTTTTGGGTTTGAAAAGGTCTTTTTGACAAAGAGTATTTGAAAAGTTGGAAAAAATTTCGTTTCTGTTTAAATGGCAGGTATAAGTGCCTAAAAAATATTTATTTTTAATGGTTAATTTTTTAGTCAAATAATCTTGGAGCAGTTTTACCGCCAAATCTTGTTACTATCGCCAAAGGGACATTTCTCTGAAGACAATGTGTAAGTTTATTATGTTATTTTAGGTTTTTGTTTTTTTGTTTAGTGTTCTGTTTAAAAAAGGTTGAACTTACTTTTTTTGTAGTTATATTTATGTTTTTAAAGCATTACTGATGGTTTTTCAAGATTTTTTTTGCAGCGCCGACTACAACCAGTCGATAAGTGCCTACCTACCAGCTGATCTCTTTGGAGCTGCCATGCCAGCTGTTTTTCGATTAATTGCACCAACACTGATCCAAAGGTCAGTACCAGTACCATTAGTAGCAACAATAGATCAAGTTGAAGCTTCAAAGACGGAAATTGTACCTGATATATATCCAATCTCACCACTGATTGATTTAACAAAGGGCAAGATATATAATGATACCACTGTGGTGCCGAGGGGCATTCTGGATCTTCATCTTGATACTGTGTTCTTGACTCAACCTTTGAGACAGAAATATCCTTGGACTACGTAGGTTTTGAGCGGTTTTTTTAGGATAATATTGATATTTTAGGGATTTCTGAAGGTTATTGGGATAAAATTGACTTTTAGGTAATAATTTGTGCATTTTTCATGTAAAATACAACTTTTTTAATACTTTAGGTAATACATTTTGATTTTAGATATAAAAAAGGCACGAAAATGATATATTAGGTAACAAAATATTTTTAGAAATTAAAAATTTTTTAAATAATATTGTTGTAGTGAACAAAACGCAGCAAATGCCATAACTTCGGCATTTATGTTGGCATTGGCCCAAGCTCACCGGCATGGACAAACCGACAAATTGGCCAAGCCAATTGTGGCCAAAGCGGTTCAACTGGATCGTGGAAATGTTGATTTGGCAGTGGTTCAGTTGAACAACTTGGATTTGAATGACACTGAAGGCGTGAAGAACATGGTTTGGCTGGAGAAAGGTGGGTAATATTGGGATATCTTGTAGTTTTATGTTACTATAGGGTATACGCTCGGATAATATTAGTTTATAAGACTTAAAATGACATTATGTGGACTGGCTTTTGAAAAAATTCTGAATATTTTAGCTCTACCCTTGTACAAGCCAGTAAAACACATTGAAAATCTGGAGAAATTGGACAATGTTAACGTGGAAACATTCAAAAAGATGGCCAACTTGCTGTTATACTGATGTTCGAAAGCTATTTTTTGTTATTTTAGGTTGTTTTTGTTGAATAAATTTTGAAAAATGTGAACTTCAGGTATTATTTGATGTTTATGTTGTGTTCCTTGCAACTTTTAACTATTTTTTGTTATGGTTAATTTTAATTTGTTAATGGTGTATGTTGCTACACAAAATTTTTGAGACACCGTATGTCTCAGTTTTTATACCTTTTTAAATAACATATTTTAACATTTTTAAAAGTTTTATTGACTAGAAAGTTGAGAATTTTAATTTTACAATCTAGTTTCAGCTAATGTCAAAACCAAATGTCATATTTGGAGCCAAAACAGCCATACACTGGCCTTTCAGAGCATTCATCCCAACTTTTCGGAGGAATAATACCTACTTATGGCAATTCAAACCTGCCATATGTAACACAACATAACTACGCTTTGTATCGGAAACAACTTTTATTAGCATCACATTGTCTTGGACTACCAGGACCATTAATTCAAATTGAAGCTGATGATGATGAACATCGGTTAAGACGGCTGGTACGAAGAGAAGTGGCTAGTCCGAAGAGTTTTGAACTGGAAAATCGGAATTTGATGGTTTGTCAACAGGACAGTGTAAATGGTTACTGTAATTTTGCTGGAAATGAAAATTATATTTAATTTTTTTCATAATTTTTAAAAATTTTTAAGTTTTTAAAAAATTTCAAAGCTTCATACTTAAAATAATAAATATTATCCAACGACAAAAAGATATTAAACTACTTAATAAACCAAAAGAACTTTTTCAGAATCAATCAACAGTAAAGTTATGGACCGTAGACGACAATTCGACCAACAAAAACCTACTACAATATGAGCTAAAGTATGAAATACCACCGAATATCCAAAAGCCAACCAAGTTTTTAAATATTGGAGATGTTCAACCTATAAAACAAATCAAATTGCCAGCTCAACCAGTAGAATTGGGACGATATGATAAAGATACCCCCGATATATTATTCATAAGAGATGTTGCTGGACTTAAACTGGCCAAATGTCATGATGATAAGGATATTGAGGTAAAATGATTTATGTATCTGCGGCTGGATTAATTTTTGAAGCTTTTTTTAGTTTTGGCAGTTTGAACTTTGTTTTGGTTCAAAAGTTTTGGGCCTTTTTGCACAGTGTATCCATTTTTGAGGGACTGCACTGTGCAGACCTTCAAGGTCTTTAAGTCAATATAACTGTTGTATAATCAAATTATAAAAGGTTATGTTAGTATAAAAATGTTAACTAATACTTTGAAAAGTTAGAAAACAGCATTTTAGGTAACAAACATATTAAACTACAAAGTAAGTTCCTACTGCAAGATACCCTACATGGATGAGATTGCCATAACAGATGAAAATCGAAATGTCTTTTTTGGTGACATCAAAGAGCAGGTGAATATGAGCAGAATTAAAAGTGATGAACCTATCAGGCTGGTAAGTTTTGTCATACCTTACTTTGAAAGGGCTAAAATACGACTTTTTGCGCTATTTTTGGATATAAAAATGCCATTTTTAGCTATAAATCATGACATTATGATGCCTAAAAATCAATTTCCAGATATGCCCAACCGACTGCCCAGCCGAACTTATGTTAGCCGCAAAAACCAAGATTTATCAATCTGATTTTCGAACCTCCACCAAGTACATCGAACCCATATTCAACTTGGACGTTGATGCCAAAACGTCAATATTGAACTTGAGTCAAGAACGAATAGACTTCCTAACGGGGCGAGAGATCATCAATCATTTTCGACCGGTCGATACAACAAAAGAACTTTATATGGTTACGGGAATTCAAAAAATACACCTGTTTGATCGTCGAATGCCAAATCAGACCATATTATCCATGGCGCATTTTGATATGGATGGCGGGGATTATGCTCAAATTGTAGGTTTTACTCTGTGAATGATTGGAAATTGACATGTAAAGGACTAAAAGCTTGATATTGATAAGGAAATCACAGTTTTTATTCAGAAGTTGTCTTAAAGTTTTTGAAATTTTAAATTTGCCCGCTTTTCGGCAACTTTTGGCGTTGTGTTTTAAAGATGTTTTTAGGTTTAAATTGGGATACTGAATGACAAGAAAAGTTTAATTTGATCCTATTTTCTTTTTTTAACTAAAAATTGTTTAAAATTTGTAATTGCGCACTTTTGGCAGTTTTTGGCATTGTGTTTTTTGGACATTTTTAGGTAACAAATGATACGATAACATACTTTTTAAAGCTTTTAAGCCTAAAAATTAGTCTTTTAAACCTAAAATTTTAGTTTTAAAGATTTTTTAAAATTTAACCGTTTTAAAATTCAAATTTTAGTCCGATCCTTTATACGACCCTACCTCCAACCTTCAAATCTACAACTACTTAGCATTAAACCATTCAATAAGGCCATCAATATCATACTGGCCGATTGGATTCAACCAAACTGAGCAAATTTGCTCTTCAATGGGACCATTAACTACTGTAACATCGCCAGAATCTATCATAAATTACTGTAAAAACCACTTCACATCTTCTCCACAACTGTCCGAGTTCGAAACGGACGAAATTCCAAAAGTACCACACGCTTTTTACTGTCAAATCATGGATGACAGCCGAGCTGTGGTGTTCAGCCAACAGAATACTGGTCAGATATGGGTGAATGATATCATAGTAAGTGGATGTGAACAAGATTCTGAAGAATATAAGGCAATTGTTGATGATAGGGAGGTGAATGATGGGAGAGTAAGGCAGGTCAAGGTGTTTTTGGAAGATCACTCGGTGGTAGATGAACTGACGAAGAAGATGAGCGAGGACTTGGTCATGGAGAAGGAGGAGATCATGAAGGTAAGACGAGGTTTGGAAGGGAAAAGATGGATTTTGGAGAGAGAGAATCGATCAAAAATTGATAGAAGATGGACGTGTTAATCTATACTTTATTTAGCGGTCAAAAAGTCAGTGGAAACCCTTAAGTTCTCAAAGTTTTCACTGAAAAACAAGTTTTTTTCACTAAAAATTCGATTTTTACTCTTATAATTAGTCAAAACTTGATGATTTGAACGAAAAATCTTTTGCAGGTAGACCGATCAGAAGCCAGTGGCCAAATCATGGCCAAATACGATCACTGGCTAGAGAAATACGACAAAAATCCTCCAGAATTGCTAACGTTGGACGATGTTCTCCATTCAGATGTCGAGCCAATGACCGAAGATCTTGCCAAACTTAAACTAATCAAAGAAGCCAAATCCGAAGGCCATCTTTTGTCTAATGTGATTCTGAAGACCGTGAAGAAGGCCAACGATGCTTGGGAAGAGAAATACTGTCAGAATATTGATCGTATTATCGATATCAATGAAAAGAAGCCAAAGATTCTGAAGAGCCAGAAAATAGAGCAGAAAGTGTTGGATTTCGAGGCGAATGACAGAGGAGATTATACTGGATGCGGAGAATTCGATAATGATGAAGACGATTGAAGTATAAGAGAGAAAATAACGCGGGTGTAACTGAAACGAGTATTATTTTATGAGTAATATAATTTGAAATGGTCTTAATACCAATGTTTTGTAAATAAATTGATGAACTTGTTAAAATTTATATAATAAATGTCCCAAAGGTCAAAATTGTTAAGATTTTGAAAAATACGTTATTTTCCATCTTACCATAGCTTTTCAGCGGTATTTTTGCGTCAACTTTCTCTCTTTTTCTATTTTAGCGTCAAGTTTTTCCCCAAAAATTATGTTTTCTGAAAATTAAAAATATTGTAGAAGAACGCGAATATTACCCACAAAACCAAATAAATTCAGCACATTTCTGTAATATCAACAATGGATCCTTGTGAACCTTCTACATCACAAAAAACGTAAGTTAGCTCATGTTTTCATCGATTATTCCACGTTTAGATATGCGACATTAACAACGGTCGAACCGACTTTTGTTCACATTGAACCGATAGATGTTGCGGCCCAAAGTATAGAGCATACTGAAGGAAATGGATTTGAAAATGAAGAATTGGAGAATGTCTTTGATAACGTCAACGATATAGCCCAAATGGGAGAACTTGAAACGGTAAATATTAAGTCAAGCATTAAAATGTTGTGATGAACTTTGTTTGTATTATAAATTTTTGTCGAAAGTAGGTAGAAACTTGGGATTTTAGGGGCATGTACAACTTTTTATGCTTTAAAAAACTTCCTTCAGCAAATTTTAAAATTTTTAATAGATAAACTCTAAGAAACCCATTGTTTTTTTTGCAGATGCAACTTCAAGGAAAGCCAGAAGAGGATGAAAGATATCATACAGCCTATCTAAAACGTATCGAGACCATTCGTGATGTTATAGAAGAGAAACCCATTTCAGAAGCAAAGGATTGGAACACGGCTGATTTGGGTGCTCTATACTTTCGACTTCGACATTCGAATTGGAATGAATATAGTGTACAAAATTGCCTGAGTGTATTCGATAATACAAAGGCGGAAGAGATCGCTGCCATCATAGATTCGTTGAAAGAAGTTGTTTTAGAGGCTGAAGAGTTGAGAATTCCTTGGAAATCTGTCATTGGAAAGGAAGATTTGTTAAACGAAAGGACTAAAGGCAAGTTTTTTTGAATTTTTGTTTGTGTTTTAGGTATTGAAATTGATGTTTATATCATTGGCGTCAAACGGAAGGTATAATAACATCAAATTCTTGTAGATATGAAAGGAAACGAAGAAAAAGCCTTATCACGCATCCGAGATCTGACTAAAATGATGTCGATCAAGAAGAAGACTCCGTTTATGATGTCAGAAGTTTTGGCCAATGCCATTTCCGAGCTGAAAAGTGAGAAAAAAGCTCAGAAAAGGAATGCCAAAGGAGATGATGCGAATGCTGTCAGGCTATCAGAAGATATCTTATCACCTGCTTGTGAACATACTGGAAAAGTCAAGTATGAGGCCATCTACGACTGGCTGGAGAACTTGAGCTTGATCAAGTCGACTAATAAGCTCAGAGCGTAAGTTTAAAGTGTAAAACTCTACCTTACAGTAGCTTCCAAAATCTAAAACACGCTAATTTCAGGACAGAAAGCGCTGTAGTCCTAAAAATAATGGACGAAATGCAGGAAATGGTCGATAATTCCTTCAACGACCATGCCGACTTCCTAACTCAATTCTTTTCCGACCTAACCGACCAGTCGGCAACAGATCTGTCTTGGGTGGAAATGCCAGAATCAGATCAACTGGCTCAACAATATTGGAACTTTTTGAATTTGCCCGAGGATTTCTTCGATTTGTCACAATATATTAACCAGGAGGGGCATGGTGCTAAGGTGAAGGATGAGGGTAATGATGAGGATGTAGACGTGGTTAATATGGAGGTGGCAGAGGATGTTATTGTAGAGTAGTTGGGAGATGGGGGAATGGTTTGAGAAGTAACCGAGAATAGAAGATGATTTTATAAGTAATCGGGTTGTTTTATGTTGTAGTTAATGTAAAATTGTATTTTTTATTGTTATTTATTGTAAAATACGACTGATTATTCTGAACGGATTTAAAAAAATATAGGAGTATTTTGAATAAGAAAAATAATTAAAAAGTGGCTTAAACCATCTAAAACAACAAGAAATAAGAGGTCAATGACGAAAAATTCTTTTGTAACGTGATATTATAGTAGAATATCGCTTGTTACCGCAAAATATTGTATTTTAATTCACGTTACGTTACATATTATACACTACTACACATTACTGTAAAAATATTATTATTCACTTTATGTACACCGATCGGTAAGACAAGTGGTTTTGACGCCATTTTCTCCGATTCTGAATCCGATTACACAGCCTTTTAGTGTGGCTCCAGATGCTACAGGACAACATTTTTGATGGGCATCACAACCTTTGATATCGGATTCTAACAACGGTGTTGGGACGTGGGTTCTGGGGGTTTCTTCTGTATTCTGAAGGGCATCGTGATGAGAGATGGGATTCTGAAGGCTGTTTTGAGAAGGGTTCTGATTCTGAAGAGTAGTGGGAATAGAAGAAGGATTCTGAAGGCCTTTGTGATGAGAGCTGGTATTCTGAAGACTATCGTGAAGCAATTTCGGATTTTGAAGTCTACTTTCAAGTGAATTCTGACCCTGTAAGCCACCGTACATTGTCTCTGGGCTCTGTAGCTCACGGTGAAGCCTACTTTGGTCTTGTAAGTTCACTGAAGGTTCTAACCTCAACTTATGACTGTTTTCACCATCGGATTCTGGATTCAACGGTAATTTTCTGATGTTCAGGCCTCGTTTCGCACCATTGTTTGTGAATTCAGTACCAGAAGGAATAAAAATGTCGGCTTTTGGTACACCCTTTGGTACTTTTGATACCATACTATTACTTTTTTTGCCTTCTGGAGTTTTCTGTTCAGAAGCTGATCCTCTTGGTGCCCTTTGATCAAAAGCTCTTCCTTCTGGAGCACTTTGATCAAAGACCGAACCCCTTGGTACCCCATTCTCACCAATACCTCCATCTGGTAGTCTACCAACACTGTATGGCCCTTTAACAATATCCAATCGACTAGGATCATCCCTATTGAACTGAATATGATCTACATCACCTTTGAAGCCACGAATCTCTCTATTGGCTTCACGTTCGGCTTCGGATTGAGCTTGTTGAAAGAGTTGAAGCTCTGCCGACTGTAGCCCACTTAACTTGAGGTCTTCTGGCTTCAAGTCTCCTAGGAATGGAGTTTCTTCTTGAGTTTGTTGATCTACTTGTTGTTGATGAAGATGATCTTGATCTGAATTTTGTTCATGAAGGTTTTCTTGATCTACAAGTTGTTCATGACCATTTTGATGATTAAAATGTCCTCCGCGTTGAGCTACATCTTGTCTATGATGATTTACATCTTGTGTACGATGATTTTTAGTTTGTTCGTTCGAATTCAGATTCCCGGTTAATCCAGCGTGACGATGTGCTTCTTCTGGGCGTATCTTCTTTATATTCGAGTGAATATTGAAGATGTTTGGTTGGGGGTTGATTATACCTAAAACATCACAATATTAGAGCTTCAAAAAAGTTTTTTTTCAAAACTAAACATTTTTTAAATTTTCAAATCCAGCAGATCCATTAATTCTTTCGCTTTTGAAAATTTTTTAAAGATAATCACCGTAACATACCATCATCTTCATCCGGAGTCCCAACATGTCGACTTTGGTATGGTGGGCCAAAATAACTGACTTCCTCTTGATTACTGTAGTCATTATCACCAAATAGACTTCGTTCTCCTTGCTCAGATCGTCGTATGTCGGACTGAACGTGTTGCCCCGCTTCTTCGAAGGTCTGGGCTACTGGCTTTGGGTCTAAAAGGATTTTTTGATTTCAAAATACAAGGTTGTTCAAAAAGTAATGAGCTATGATCATATTATATTTGGTTGTTCAAATAATTCTGAGCCTCTTTAGATCGTTCAAATAATTCTGTGCCCCTAACCCCGAAAATTTGGTTTTTAGAAGGAGCACAGAATTATTTGAACAACCTAATATTTAAAAACTGAAAATTTTTAAATCGGTCAAAAAGTACGTAGAAAAAATCTTTTAAAATTAATTTTTAAACGATGTGGTCGAAAAGTCCGTAGAAAATAGATATCTGTACTCTTTTACACCCATATTAGCTGTTTTCACCAACTTTTTGACCGAAAAAGATAAAAAATCTACTATAATATACTGCCCCAAACGTACCATGTTCACCTTGAAGCAACTCCAACTCATCATTGAAGGATTCCGAAGATATACAAGGCACTCTTTCTTGATTCGAATCACAGTTTGAGCAGTTCCTAGACCTTGTTCTGGTCAAAGACCAATCACAATCACTCCATTCGGTCCAATCATGTTGTACATCGTCTCGCTGCCAGCCTGAATTTGAATTATTGATAATCTTTAATATATTTCAACTAAAAATGATTACTTTTTTAAAAAAAATGACATTTTAGGCTTTATTCAACCCTTTTTAGGCCTAAAAATGATTTTTTTAAATTTCCAATTTTGTTATGTAAAATAATGTTTTTTTCCCAAAATTTACAAACTTTTGGTCGTATTTTCCATTTCTAAGTTCAAAATGGTCTTTCTTTTCATTTTTCAACCAGTTGATAATTTGTTTCACTTTTCTACCGGTCGGACTTCCACCAATCCTCTTGCCATTCAAATGGCAACCACTAAAAGATCGGCCAAGAAAATAAAAGCAGGACCGACTAAAGTAAGTTTGTCTCATACTATAAGTTGATACTGTTATAAACTGCCACATTATTTATAGAAATCGACATTTTATTTTTGTTATCATTTCTTTCAGGACGAAATCGGAGACACCCCAGCCGACTTTATAGCCGTGGCAGCTCGAGTCACTTCTTCATCAGCACGGCACGTTCAGTTCGAATCCGTAATGAATACGTCCCGTCTAGCGATGACCGCCTTCATGGAGCTACGCGACAAAGACGACGGTCGACTACCAGTACCAGTCTTGGACAAGAAGCGAATCAAGTTGAGTACGAAGATATCCGGAGACAAAGACTTTTACAACGCCACCTATCTGTCGCTGAACAACGAGGACTACATCATAGCACAAGGACCACACAAGGACAATGTGGGACAGATGTGGCGGATGGTGTACCAGGACGGCTGTCAGTTGGTGGTGTGCACGGTGGATGAGAAGTCGTTCTCAGACTCCGATCGTGCCAAAGTTTTCAACTTCTTCCCCTCAGGCGAAGGCAAAAGCGTACAGTTCTTGGGATCACGCTACACCGTGAAGTGCAACAAGAAGCAGGATCAAAAAGGTTTCGTCATCTACGATCTGACATTAACATCCACCGATCAGTACGAACGAAATGAAGAAGCCGAGAAGGAAGGAGATGATAAGACAAGATCAATAACTTTGATTCATGTTTATGATTGGAAGAACGATCAATGGCCGAATTTGGACATGCTAGCCACCGTGCTAAAGGCGACCTGGGAGGCGGAACAAAAGATTGTGAAGAATGTCAGTGATGAATATATACCACCGGTCGTTTTTGTGGGACATCATGGAGTCAACCGGTAGGTTATTGAAGTGTTTTTAAAATTTTTAAATTTGCCAAAGTTAAAACCAAAAAATTCAAAAATTTTTCTTTCAGCTCATGCGCAATGTGGGTGATGTTAATGACATCAAAGCAGTGCGAACGCCGCGATTCGTTCGATATCGACCAAATAATGAAGCAGCTGGTTCGAGTACGACCTGGTGCTTTCAACGATAGAGCGACGTTTTTTGTCACGTACGCTATGGCATTCAAACTGGCTATGAGTAGTGGTTGGATGACCAGTGAGGTGAGAAACAATATTATTTTTGAGATTTAAAGTTTTGAAATGGTAAAAAACGTTTGGAATATGATGGAAAATAGAAACAGGATTAGTTACAACCTATTTTTGTTTTGTCGGTCTATAAGTTTAGGGAAAACGGCACGGTGCAATGATTTTTGGCTTGAGAAGCAGAAAAATTTTAAAATATAAGGCTGTTCAAAAAATTCTGCGCCCCTTGGAAAACAAATTCTTGGAGTGAGAGGCACAGAATTATGTAAACATCTATATATTAAGTTGTTCAAAAAATTCTGAGCCATCTTTCAAAGCAAATCTTCGGGATTAGGTGGCGTAGAACTTTTTAAACAACCTGATATACTTTGCACAGTGCAAAAGTGTCATATCTTTTTTGAGAAAACTTTTGAAAATATGATTCTTGTGATAGTAGAAGACTACATAATCAATAAAATTTTAATTTTTTCATTTTCAGGAAGGAAAACAACGAGTATCGGATATTCAAGACGGCTACAAGAAGTTGGCCAAATAATTGTAGCAAATGATACAAACCTATGTCATAACATATGTATATTAAATAAACATTGTCGTTTTTGATTTGGATCACTGTATTTTTTACTTTTGTTACTGTAGCTTCTCATTTTTTAATTTTTTTTTGATTTTCAAAAATTTTCATCAAAAATCATGGTTAATATCGATATAAATAATGGTTAACACCCTTGTATACGTTTATATGTAAACCTTTTTTACACAGTAAAACATTTTTTAACATTTACTTACTATTGCCAATCGTATTTCCAAAACAATGAGGCATTTCCAAGTAATCGACCAGCTCCTTCCTCTCTGGAACATAGACATCAGGTCTTTGTATCCGAGTGAAGCGACTCAAATAACAATTCTCGGAAGGCCAATCAAAGAAGTAAGAGATAGCTCGACATTCAAAGTTGTGGCGACGCTGAAAGTTAACAAAAATGATATATTTCATTTAGTAAATCTCACAAAATACAGTAGAACCCCTGTATATGATATAACTTAACCTTCGGCACCCCCCCCACGAATATAGAAGCCAAATTAATTAAAGTAACGAAACTTACCTTAGCTGTGATACACTGTCTAATACAGTCGATTTGAGTAGCTGTGGTCACTACTGTTCCAGTACCAATAGCTCGCTTATCCAAGGTATGTTGAGGTATACGGTGGATAACATCATCGCATGATATTGGAAGTTCTGACGCTAAAAACGTAATAACTTTTACTTTAGTAAAGACAGTATTCTGCTATAGTTAAAACCAGCACTTTACTGAAGTAGAAAAAGGTAATTTACTATAGCTAAATACCATATTTTACCCGCAATAGCTCTGTTTCCATAAAACTTCCCAAAATACCGTATTTTACACAAAAAATGACATTTTTCTTACCATTCATACAGTATTTTTCAAAATAAACCGAGTTGGGATCTGGATGATAGTTGAGGTCTCCATTGGGTGATATCACTTCGCCGTATATACTACATTTGCCATTTGACCGGTCGAAAACAGCTGATTTACAACCTCTGGAGAAGCGGGTACCGTCCAGGTGCTAAAATTTTGAATTTTAAGATTTTCCTTACCATGCGATCCCATAGGCCGAGTCGTAATAAAGGCCCCAAGAGCTCAGCTTTGGTCCCACAACGAAAGATTGTGGCACAAACCAAGCCCCGCCCCTTTACAGGGCCATTTCCCAACTCACCGCATTCATCCTACAGACCTGAAGACACATTTCAGGATTGTCCAACTGAACCGTAGTAACTGCAACAGCATCAATCAACTTGATCCCTTCGATCAACTGAACTCTGGCCTTGTTACCATCAGCACAGTCCGGAGTCTCAGGTATGACAACCTGTACTGGACCCGGATTCCGATGACTCGGCGTCTTTAAAGCTCCATTTTCAGAATTAAAGGATTCTATAGCTCCTACGAACTCATCATGTGCACCATGGATCAGGCCTTCTTTTATCGACAACTTGCAATCTTCATCGACCAATGTGTAGGTATAGCCGGGGGAGGAGACTAACGAGGGGCTGCAGTAAGAGGTTACCGATTCACCGTTTCTGAAAGGTGGAGAGTGGTTAGATATTGATATGAATTATGATAAAAATGATTTTTAACGTGATTTTACGTAAAAGAAAGATGAATATGGCCTGTGATATTATCCATGATCTCTATTTTTACGTTTATTACCTAAAATTTTTTGTTCTTCAAAATACAAAGTAAGACAGCCTTCTGTACGCTCTCAATGACGTATTTTACCACAATTAACTGATTTCTCCACCAAAATCAATCTCTTATTATTTAAAAACCAAAAAATCCTCACAAAAACCTACTAAAATATCCAAAACCTGTTAAATGCCCAAAAAAGCCTCAGAACCATTAAAAACTCACGGTAAAGTCCTCAGAGAATCACGGAAAATGTCGTCAAAGTTTGTCGCCGCCCGTTTGAATATTCTTTTGACGTGCCCAACGGTTGTTTTAGTGATCTCATTGTAGCGCTTGTGTCTGAAGCCTTGTTCACGATCGTTGAACGGATTCCGAGGCTGACTGTTTTGGTTATCAACCTGAAAAGGCTTTTCTTGTGATTTTGTAAAATTTTTATTAATTTTTGAAAAAGTTAGACGAAGTGTCACAATATTATTGGATTTGTGGACGAAGCGTCACAAAAATATTGGAAAACTGTGTTAACACAAAAAATTTAAAAAAACATAATTTTTAAGTTTGTTTATACGATTCAATACAAATTTAACTTTTTTTTCACTCTTTTTTTATGTTGTACTACAGCCCTATCAACTTATATTATACACCCTCCATCAACTCACATGAAACACATCACAACCAGAAGTGGCCGAATCAAATTGAAAGCTCTTGCACTGCACAGTATCACAAAGCTGTTGACATTCGTCCTCACTAGTCTCAGTACGACGTTCAATCGGCTCAGCACAGATTAGTTTTTGATTTTCGAACTTTTGCAAACAATCGTTACCTCCAGAAGTCACTGGCGAATCGTCTTTTTGCTCCGAAAACTGGTGATTATTGGGTGATAAGCGGGTACGACTAGCTGCATATGGTACTTGGGGTTGTTGTTGATAATAATAGTACTGGGTTGGCGGTGGGGCATAGTATTGGGGCGTGGTAAACGCTGGGAAACAGGCTAGAAGTTGGAAAAATAAGTCAATATAGGGAAAAATAGAATATTTTAAAGAGATTTGATCAAAAAATACTATTCAAATTCAATATTATTATCTGAAAACTAAGTAAAACATAGAAAAGAGTCTTATCTTACCTTTTGTTAAAGGAATTACCAGTATAATTGATATGAACAAAGATATGGCTTTTAATCGGGCCATGGGTAATATGAAATGTCTATGTTAATATAATTTTTTGTTCAATATCACAAAAACCTTTTAGAAATAGTTTCAAAAACTTATTGTAATATAATTGTATATGAATAGAGCGTAAAATAAGGTTACAGTAGTCTGTTACAGTCTTAGTAAGGTTTAGTTATAGTGGGTTTTATCCAGAATATTTTAGAAAACTTAGCTTTTTTTGATAAAAGCCTTTGTAAAGGTAGAAAAAAAAATAAAAATTGTACAAATTTAGAATTTGAAATATAAATTTTAAACTTTAAAAAATTAAGATTTCAAAGTTTTAGCCTATCAATTCACCAATAAAACTCCAAAAAGTGCCGATTCAATGTTAAAAGTCGGCACAAAACTTCTTAATACGCAGCAAGTTGTGAATAAAAGGGAAAAGCGCCCAGTCCGGTTCGGGTTTAGTTTCGGGCCGCTGGACTGGAACCGAGAAATCCCGTCCCCATGGGCTGAGCGGCTTAAATCGCCTCCGGCATTCGCAGAACCGGCAATCAAACGAATTTCGAACAGATTATGAGTCGGTTTTATAATCGACTGCACAAGGTTTAAGGCATAGACAAAGGAATCGAAAAATAGGCTTAAAATGGAAAGGATTTTTAAAATTTTAAAAGTTTTAAAATTTTATAGTTTTTACTTTTTTACTTTTTGAAATTTGAAAAATATTGATTTTACTATCAAAATCCATGGTGCAGCCTTGTTAGTGCAAAACTGTAATCTCTAATTAAAAAAAAATAAAAAGTTTATTAACAACCAAAGCTAAGCCTAAAAGTTCACAGAGATATCCATAGTGCCAAATGGTACATTGGGTTCACCAGCCATTCCTGGTGGTGGGGTTGCTGGGCCAAACGAGTACGATGACATACCTCGTCTTTGTAGTCTTGTGGGCCCATCAAACTTTCGTGGAGGAGTTCTGTCGATTAACCAGGAAGTAGTGGCGCTTAGTAGTACTGACAGTAATAATATTGTGAACAGTAGCTTCATTTGAATTTAGAGAGCTTTGGTAGTACGCTATAGTAGATACAATGATTTTCAATGAAAATATAAGAGTAGAGTAAATAAGATGATTTACAGTAGATACGGTGATTTACAGTAATATGTTATAGTCTTATAGATACGATAATTTATAGTGGATATAGGTAGTATTTTTGTGTAAATTGGAAGGTTATTTAGGTAGTAATGACGAGTACGTAGTAGAATACAGTACTCAACAATAATGATTAAAAAGTTTTAGAAATACTCTTTAGAACATATAAAAGTATCTAAAAGCTACTGTATTTCAAAAACTGTAACAGTTTTTACAAAAAACTTGATCACAGCTGATCTACTACAATATAACAATGCCAATCTTTATCAAAACAACCAATTCAATAAATTATAGCTCTTCAAAATAAATTTTATTCCCAACAATAACAATAGACGGACGGTAAAACCGTTGAACGTGCGTTATCAACAAATTAAATTACCTTAGGGGCTAGCTTGGTATGTTGTAATAGTAGTTTGATATATAATTACGGAAGCTTGGAAAACTTTTAAAAATCACGTAAAAAAAGTAAATTATGAGTTTACCCAGTAATCACTGTATGTTGTAATAGCGTTTGCAGGTTTTAATAACTTAATATTGATTTATGTTGTTGTAGTTAATAACAGCATAGTAAGCGTAAACAGCAAATTAGACAAATCGGTTTTGAAAGTTTTTGAGAAAAACAAACAATCAGAAGTTATTTTAGGCAAAATAGGCTTAAGGCTGTTTGTGGAAAATGGCAATTAAATACATGAAAGTAATGATTTTGCACTTGCTATAAAGTTTTTTTTAAAGTTGAACTTTATTCTAGTCTTACTGTAATCTTATTTTGAACCTTTTTGAACTCTAAGCTAGTTCTTTTGTAGTCTATTCTGTTCTTGCCTTAACCCGCTTATTAGTCTACCATAGCCATACTGTACCTTGATCGTATCTCGCCAAGAGTTATTCTGTTCTTACACTAGCCTTAGTCTTGCCTTAACCTTTAGTCTTAGTTTTAGTATTAGACTTAGCTCTAGTCTTAGCTTTAACCTTACCATTTGCTTCAGCTTTTGCCGTACTTTTAGCGTTAGAATTACTCTAGACTTACTTTTTTGTAACATTATCCGAGCTTATTATCTCTCATAGTAAGCTAGGATAACGTTACAGCTTTATCTCTCATAGCTACCTCACCTCTTTTATAGCTCTATCATAACCCACCTCTACGGTAGCCTAACTTTACCCGTATTATCGTCTTACCTCAGCTCTGTTCTAGTTTTTCCTTAGAAATACTATAGTCAATTGTAACGTTGCTTTACTTTAGCTTACAGTTAACTGTAGTTTAACTTACTCTACTTCTGTCTTACCATGGCTTTACCTGTTACTACCGCATCTCTATGAAAGCCATAAGCGCCAAAAATAATTTCCTCCACGTTCTATCGTTTAGTACCATTACCCTTAGCAGCTTAATTTTAAATTCAAAAAACAACAAAATTTTTATAAAAATTTATTAAAAAAAGATATCTAAAGCTATTTATTATGCCAATTCAAAGTTTGTACAATGACAACTACAATTTTTTAATAATGTATCGATCTCAACATCACTCTTCTATTGTGTCTTTCCATCTTTCCAGTCTCTTTATTAATCGAAATCGTCGGCAGTTTGCCAGGTCCAAATACATATTCAAATGTGCCACTTTGTTGAGCATCCGTTGGACCTTCATCACTGTCGTCACGTCGACGCACATGTGGTCGACCCAATGCCAAAGTTATAAATAAAATACAAAAAATGGCTGTTAACAACTTCATAATGAACAAAAGGTGATAGAGTGATTGACAGTGTTTTCCACCGTCTTTTTAAAGTGCTGCATGTTGTAATTGGAAATTGCTTGAAATAAGCTTTTGGAGAATACTTTGCTTGTTTTGAACAACTTAAAATCTTAATGAACAGTTTAACACGGAACAAAGGTTGTTCAAAGTAAGCCTTGAATTGATGAATGACGTCAATGGTAACGTTAAGCGAAAAATGATTAGCATTAACATTATCAGTAACCTTACATATTGTTATTTAGTATTAGTTTTAGCCTTATCTTCAGCCTGAGCTAGAGCCTGAGCTAGAGCTAGAGCTAGAACCTGAGTTTGTGTTTAATTTTAAGCCAGAGCCTCGCAAAATATTAGATGGTTCAAATAATTATATGCCTCGTAACACGAAAAATTTGCATTGAAGCACTCAGAATTACTTGAACTACCTAATATCAATTGGAAGACCAAGAAGCGCTGATCTATTTAACATTATAACTATTTGCAAGCATCAATTAGACCAACACTACTAATTCCCGATGGAACGACATTATCATCATTTGCTCTTCACAAAGAAAGTTCCAGATCTGCTCCGCTCTGATTGACTTCAAAAGTTTTATATAGAAAGATCATGAAAATATAAGGTCTTCAGCAAAGTACTAAATTGCGCCTTCAAGGAAATCTCGAAAAATCTAGCTTAAAAAATTACGTTTTGAATTTTTCGCCAAATTGGCATTGTGTTTCAAGCTTATAATCTTGCCAAATTAATTAGTAGAAAGCCTTTAAATGTATCAACATGTTTAAATTTGTAAACGTAGCTAGTCTGAAAGGTCAAAAATTGTGCTTGAAACACAATGCCAAACTTTCCAAATTGGCGGAAAACCCGAATATTTCGAAATTAAAAACTCAAAAGTGCGAGTTAAAATTGTTTTACGTACTATTGATGGTACAAAAAATTCATATAAAAATTTTGAGCAGGATCTGAGCGGATCAGGTTGGGTATTTTCCTTGTAAGTAAGATATGTTATAAATATAGCATGATCTATGTCTACGTGAACTGTAAGAAGCCAATGTCTAGAATTTATTTAATAAATCAGTGAACAAGACACCAACTATAGGTACTTTAGCTCATCATCACGTTATTTTAACTTGATTTACTATGTAATGATCGTATTTACTTGGGAAATCACCATCAGCTGTTTACTATATAAGTCTGCGCTTTACTTAAAAATGACTTCTTAATATTATATTAGCTAGACCTTGCTCTTAAGTTAATGTATATTAACTAACAGCTATCTTAACATCTTTTTATTATAAACTTACTACTACAATATGTCATATCTACCACTTATCTTATGTTTACTCTTGGTTGCACCAACACTATCTCGTCCTCAAGGGGATGGCACAGCCACGGGCTCAGTAGTCAGCCAAATGGGTGGAGGAGCAGCGGCCGATCCGATAGCAGCTGCAGCCAGTCCTGTGGCAGCGGCTAGTCCGTTAGCTGCTCCTGTAGCACCAGCTGTTGCACCGGCAGTTGCGCCAGTCGCTCCGGTTGTTGGACTTTGAAGCTTTGTTAATCATTGAATATTATACTTGTTATTGTAAAGCAATGTGTTATATTGTACCATAATACGACTTTTACTTACAGAATAAATTTATTTACATGACTATTTACAGTACAATTAATAAAAGTTTTAAATATTACAATAATTAGGTAAAACAACGTTATATTGGCTTGTTCAATTAATTCTGAGCTACCGTCACACCAAATTTTTGTGGTTAACTGGCTCAGAGTTATTTGAAAAACTTGATATTAACTATATTCACATAAAGTAGTACTCTATCAACCATAGTAGTACTATATTAATCATATTACTCGTCTTTATACAACAAAGCTTCCAGCAGCTGGTGCAGCAACAGCTCCAGTGCCAGTATAACCAGCAGCGCCAGTACCAGTATAACCAGTCGATGCTGCACTACTATAGCCAGCCGATCCAGTAGCCGGATATGAAGCTCCACTATAAGCTGGACTAGCCGCAGCTGCACTAGTACCACTAGCAGCTACAGGACTTGCTGCGACTGGACTAGCTACAGCTGGTGTGGCGGCTGGAGTGGCTACAGGAGCTGTAGCTGCGGCTGGGGCCGCTGGTACAGCTGCAGCAACTGGAGCCGCTGGTGCCACTGGTCCACCTGCCATGTTGCCTAAGATGGTACCAGAAATGCTGCCATCGGCTAGTTGAGGGCGAGAATAGGCTTGGGCAATGAAGAGAGTAGATAGGAGCAGTGAGAGGTAAAATGACATGTTGTAGTAGGTTTAGCTTAGACTTTGGAGTAAAATAGTACTGCTAAGAGTAGTACTAGTGCTTTGATGAAAGTTGAAACTAATTTACGACAAGAATTAGTACACTAGCAGGGTGATGTTGTACTGTGTTACAGTATGACAAAACTTTTAGTAGAAGTATCTCAAAAGTACAGTACGAAGTTGCAGTATCAATAGCTGTCAATAACACTAAAACTGACTTTAACAACTACACATTAAACCATGGTTTATATACCCAGCTGTAGCCAACTGTTTTGGTAAACAAAGCACAAAGTCTAGAAGGCAAGGTGAATATTTCATTTTAAGACATTAAGAAACCCGCAGCTCGTCGATCACCAATTACCAGCGATTTTGCTGTAAAACCGTGTCAAAGTGGTGTTCTACTTGTTTTCCTTGATTTATTTTTATCCTCGAAATTAAATTTTAAAAACAAAAATTTTGAAATTGTACTTTGTTGTGGCGATGAAGCAAAGATGTTGATTAGAAGGCAGTCAAGTGTTAATAAAGTTACATTTTAGAGATCAGGGTTTTAGGGGATAACAGTGAAGATTTGCCTGTAGAACAACTTACTGGAAAAGTACCCTACCCGCCCCGCTCAGAAACAGCTCAAAATTTTCATATGAGTTCTTTGTAACACCAATAGTACTCATAAGAAATTTTAGCTCGCGCTTTTGAGCTTTAAATTTGAATTATTTTGGTTTGCCGCTAATTTGGCAAATTTGGCATTGTGTTTCAAGCACTTTTTTCGACCTTCCAGCAAAGCTACACATACAAATTTAAAATATAGATTCATTTAAAGGTATTCTACTAGTATATCAAAGAAAAACTCTTAAAAGTCAAAAGAGAGGTTTCTTTCACAAAAAACGTAATAACCATATGTATACAGAACCCTGTTTATGACTCTCGATAAACTATTTATAACTCTTATTAAAAATTACATGGACGTTATGACATATTGGTTATAAAGACAACGTTAGACCAGTCTCTTAAGCATCATGCTAGAGGTTTGACTATAGTACGGTGTTGATAGTATGACACCCACTTTATAATGTAATCTTTCTCAACAGCCTTTGTAATAAAATTTCTATTAAAAAGCACATAGATACTACGACACCCTGCTTATAATGACACGTTAATCCAGTCCCTTGAGTGTCATATACTGGTCAAACTTCAAAACTGCTGTTTCTGTTCTCGGTGATGTAAAAAGCTACACAAATACTTAAGAGATTTAATTGTATATGATTAATAAGTATTGATATAATGCGCTAGTTGCTTCTACAACAAGTACTTCTTTAGTGTTAAATCTTGAGTATGTAAAATGCTCTTTAGACCGAATTAATCTTTAAAGCAAACTATGTTTATATACGTTTCTACGTATCCATAAAAAGATTTACAACTGACCGTTTGACACGACATTTTGTCATAAAAATGTTGTCATTGGCCACACATTCTTTTGTTGTCATGTCTTTTATTGAGTAATTTATAGATTGAAAACTATTATACTTTTTCTAAATTCGATTTAGTACTGTCTTATATTTACATCATCCTTCTGTAAAAAAAGTTTAAATTTGGTCAGAGCTAGGCAGGTCAGACATTTTCCTAGTAAGCTTAGATTACACCTAGTGTAAGATGAACCTGGCTTAATTTGTTGCCTATCTTAGCTTATTCTTACAAATTGTTAGCTTCGATAATAATATTTCTGCAGAATAGATTGTTTGAAGAAAGATAAATTATTTTTTTAAAGCTTTTATCTTTCCACTATGATATTCCGCTCATTTCCTGTTTTTCCTTTGTTTGTCAATGAAATATGAATAATATAAGCGATCTGGGCCGATCATATGGAAATTGTTTATTTAAATTTTTCAATTATTTCTGGAATTTTCATCATGCTTTCAAATAAGATTTTTAAATTGAAAAATACAAATTGTATTTTTGACTTTTGTACTGTAGCGTTTTACTAAAGTGACGTTTTATAAGGTATAACAAAAGAAGGGGACTGTATGGATTAGAGCTATAGTGGCGGCAATAAAAAATGGGACACGACGGTTGTAAGTATAACTTTCTTGAAGCCAAAAGAGTAAAGCTTAAAATTTTTGTGTTTTTACAATATTGTTTTTGGCAACAAAATTGCAAAAAAAAAATTTTTTTTTTTGTTGATTCAAAAAAGTTACAGTAATTCTACCGTACCCTGTACTTCCAAAGTATTTGCATAAATTTTTTAAAAAAATTGAAGATGTACGTTTTATAGAGCATAAAAAGTTGTACAAGTTCAGAAAGTTATATCTTTCAATTGTTTTTTGTTAATGAGGTAAGAGCATTAAAAATGTTCAAAAACTAAAAAGTTCGATTCCGCTTGAAAATCGGAGGTTTTTTTTAAATTTTAAAAATCTGTAACTCTTTTACTATTGGAGAAAGAATATGAAAACTTTCTGATCTTGTACAACTTTTTATGCTCTATAAAACGTACATTTCCGATTTTTAAAAAATTTTTTTTTCAACTACTTTGGATGTACAGGGTACGGTAGAATTACTGTAACTTTTTTGAATCAACAAGAAAAAAACATTGTTTTTTGCAATTTCGTTGCCAAAAACAATATTGTAAAAACACAAAAATTTTAAGCTTTACTCTTTTGGCTTCAAGAAAGTTATACTTACAACCGTCGTGTCCCATTTTTTATTGCCGCCACTGTAAAACTACAGTTAATGTTACAATAAAGCAAAGCCTAAGGCTAAAGCTAAGGCTCAGGCCTATTGTATATTTTATTAATTGCTGTTCAAATACCCGTACGTCTATGAAAAGAAGACCGTTTGTATATTTACGATCAAATTACAAAACTTGGCGTGAAGGTCATTTGCTCTATGGCCACGGACCAATTTCCAAATGACCGGCTTCAAAACATGTTTTTTCTTTTGGTTATTGTACGTTTGCATAAACTAGTTTGTTTTGATAAAATTTATTTTTAAAAAATGAAGGCAGCTTCTGTAAATTTAGAGCTAGGCAGGCGAAACGAGGGAGGGGGGGACTACAATACCTTGCCTTGCCTTGCCCTGCCTTGCCTTGCCTTGCCTTGCCTTGCCTTTCCTTGCCTTGCCTGGTCAAATCTTGTCTTGCCCTTCTTTACCTTGCCCCATCCTACCGCATTCTGCCCTAATCTACTCTAGCTTTTCAAACCAGAGCCCATTTCACCTTACTCTATCTCATCTTGTCTTATCTATTCTACCTTACTTTATCCTATTTTACCCTACTCCACCCTATCCGGCCTACCTTTCGTTTCTACCTTCTACCTCCCCCTCTAGCAAAATAATTTTCTTTAAATTTAAAAATAACTTTAAACCATCTAAAATTCATTAAGGATATAATGAATAATCTCGGAAGCATCTCTTTATCACTGTTAAAAAAGCGACGCTGACTCATTTCCAATTCCTCCGACTGTTTCCTTGTCTCATACAGCTTTCGATCTCTTTTCGAACGTTTTGATTGTCTTTTCGAATTGAAATTGCTTTTTCAAAAGTAAAGTTGTTATAAGTCAAAATTTAGATCAAGAAACTTGTCATGTTTAGAAAGTTGCAAAAAATAGGTAATTTATAATGTTTTTGGTTGGAAAAAATTGATTTTTTAGGAGAAAAAAAGGCATTTCTTGGTATTTTATGTGTATGGTTGTATAAAGTAAAATATTGTTATAGTTACTATAAAAAGTAAGAATTCGTGTATGTTTTTGTATAATATGTTAAAAATTTTACAAGTTTTTTGTTAGGAGGGGCGTGAAAGTGGAGGGGAAAAGTAGCTTTTTATATTTTGAACTCTAATATTTCGGTGTAAAAATAATTTTTAAAACTTTTTTTTATGTTTATAAGGGTATAAGTACTATGATCTTTGCTTGTTTACACGTAGATTTATGTCTGCTAAGTCAATATGTATATGTATGTTAATATCGATCAACGCAATTTTGAGTTCTTGATTATGTTTTTTACAGTGAATAATGTGGTTTTACTTTACTTACTTGAGTAGGCTAGGACTAAACTAGGGCAAGTTGCACCCTGCTTTGTTGGCCTGGATTAATCTTGATCTACGCTAGACTAAAGCTGGGTCTAGGGAAAGACCCGGGCAAGGATGTAACTGATTGTGAGGCTAGGGCTGAAGCTGAGACTGGGTTAGGGCTTGGGATATTGCTAGAGTTAGACCTAGTAAAGCTAAAACTAGGATTCAAGTTAAACCTAAGGCTAAGGTAGAGTAGGGTAAGGTAGGGTAGAGTAGGGTAGGGTAGGGTAGGGTGGGTAGGGTAGGTAGAGCTAAAACTGAAGCTACAGCTGGAAATTAAAAGCATAGTATATAAAAACATATTCTCAACTTACTATGTCTTACAATAATCTAGTATCCCGCTGATCAGCGTCGTATAGCCCAACATGACCATTTGTATTGTGTTTCGGAACCTCACCTCGAACCTTTTATGTTTGTCTCGAATTAGAAGCGCAATCTTCTTTTGCTGTCTAACCGCTTTCTCCGATCGCCGCGCTCTCTCGTCGTTTTAAACTCTTGCGGAATTTTTTGCTTTTTATTTTTGAGAGGGGTGTTTTGAGCCATAACCAAAACTATTTCTGTCGTTTAGTGGAATGAATGGGATCCGTGTGGTTCATCAAGACATTCTCAAGTTCAACGACTCACAAGGATTGACTAATATCGTGTCTTTTATCAAGAATAAGGTAGGTTTTCGAGGGTTTTTGGATTGGAAATGAACTTTTTAAACATTTTTTGGTATGAAAAATGATATAAAAGGGTATTTCATAGCCTTAAAGTGGTAGTTAGAGACTTTTTAAGGCAAAAAATGTTGTTGTCAATAACAAATGTGGCTTTTGCCAAGCTTTTTTAGGGTTTAAATAAGGTTTTTGGCTCTAAATCTAAAGTAATATAAGCTCTTCTAGCTCCAAAATCTTCTGTTTTTACCTTAAAAACACCTAAAAAGTGGTAAAACTTGCTATAGTTAATATAAAATATTTATTATTATGTTGTTCAAATAATTCTGAGCCTCTTTCAAAGCAAATTTTTAAATTTGGGAGGCACAGATTTATATGAATAACCCAATACTTTGATGTTTCTTATAACGAAAGTATGGTATAGTTTTAGTTTTTTAGGTTGTTCAAATAATTCTGTGCTCTCTTTCATAACAAAGTTAGGGGCGCAGAATTATATGAACAACCTTTTATTTTATTTTTGGGGTTATAAAGTCAGGTTAAAGTTTAAAATAAAGATATTTCGCTTGTCATAAGAATGACGAAGATGAGTCAAAACAAGAATGATGGGTAATGACGTGGTTTTTAGCGGAAATTGGCGGTTAAAGTTAATTGAACAACAAGGTTAGTCTAAAAAAGTCATAGCTAACAACTGTAAAAGTTAGGGAATAGTGAGAATAGTAAAAGTAATACACTTTGGGAAACTATTTTTTTGAAAATTATAAAAATAAAAGAGACTTGTTTTGATGTTGTTATTTTCGTATGTTTAGTAATACAACAATACGATTACAAGAGTCCTATATTGTGTTATGTACACTATTTGAACAAAGAAAATAATTCTTTTTTTTGCTGTGATAAATGATGACTAAACAACAAAAAACTTGGATTATGCAACAACTACAATACAGAATTTAAATTTTGTTAAAGGTTTACTTAAAAAAAGGCCCGACACATTTCTACTGTAGGCATAGTGATCTGTATGTACTGTACGGAGATATAAACAAGCCTGTCTTAAAAAAATTTTGTTAAAAACCGCGTTATTACAACCATCACAAAAGTGCTGTACAGAAAACATAAATCTTTAATTTTTTGTAAAATACGACTAAATTAACTTTTTCAGCGCAAATTCAGTGAACATGGTTACAAATGTGGAGAAGTTTATGTCATGCCTCCGTTCAATGGTGAATGTGTAGTGCTATGTGTTCATGGTCAAGTGCCATTTCTGGAAGTGTATGCTCGAAAGATAGATGTGGAGAAACATGAACCAATAAGATTGATTGACCTTCTTGATACTGATGTTCATATTGTGGATTCTTGTACTTTTGAATTGAAGAAAGTTGGTCAGAAAAGGTGGAAGTTGAGGGCTGAGAACAGGTAAGTAGGATTTTATTATCATTGACAGTATGACTTTTTTGGGCATTTGGAGATATGTACGGAGATGGCAGTTATTGTTGTAGGTATGACAAGATAGGGATAGGGTAGTGCACAAGCGGAGATATGGTTAAGTTGTGTTATAGCTAGAGTACGGAGATGATATATAAGGCTATTGTACGTAAGGCAGGTTTGGGGTGGGCATGTAAAAGCAGGAATAGGACAAGGATAAAGCTTGGGTAAGGCTATGTTAGTAAGTAGGGTAGAGCAGATATATTTTAGGATAGGATAAGGTAGGGAGAAGAAAAGGCTTCCGTACGGGTGAGGTAGGGTCAGACAGAGTAAAGTAGGGTAGGGTATAGGGTAAGGTATGGTATGGCAGGGTATTATAGGGTATGATAGGAAATGATAGGGTAGGCTGACTAATATGTCATATGCACAACCACTCTCTACCCCATACTTTCTAAATAAACACAGTTTTTCAGTTTAAAGCGTGACAAATGGATTGACTGTATAAAAGAGATACAAACGTCTTGTGAATCAGAGTTGTGTTTCGATGATACAGATACCCAAATAGTCACACAGGACTTTAGGACACTCTTATCACACAACTTATCCCAATCACAACATAACCTATCCTCACCATCACTGACCTCCCCATCTTCACCACCCAACTCATCTACGTTACCACGATCATCAGCTCCAAGAGAACGAAGGGATTCAGCTGAATCTAACTTGTATTCTGCTGATCCAGTCAGGAAGTCTCAGCCAATGCCAGTCCCTAGTAGTCCGCCCATGTTGATTCCATCACGGTCTTTTAATGAAGACTTCTTGAGGCAAAGTCCACGATCTGTTAGTTCTGTGCGAAGTCTACCGGCTACTAGTTCTCCACGGACTGTTAGAAGTGAGTTACTGGTTTTGAAGTTGTTTTAGTCAAGGTTTATAGATTATATTGTAGTAGGTAAATTAAGATTATATTATAGTAGATAGGTCAAGAAAATGTGAAAGAAGATAAATTTATATTATAGTAGTCTGATAAAAAAATTGTTCTAGCTTTCAACTCACGTTAAATTCACGTTTGTGTAATTAAACCCCACTCTTTTCCGTTAAATATCTGTGAGCTAAATTAGTTCAAAGTTGTTTTTTAAACGGCCGAAACGTTACTTTGAAAGCTTTAAATAGAGTAAAATTAGAAAAAGTTTAAACGTCCTCTTCTCTGGTCATAAAAACCTTCTCGGAACATTTTAACGTATTTTGACAGTTTTTACGTCAAATTCCTTAACCCAATTTACTATGGACGTGTTGTTTACGTAAGGACGTAGACTTGAAGTGAACAGTACAGTAAGGAAAGAAGGGGGGGGGGAGTAAAGGAAGGGGTATAGGGGGGGGAGGGGTGAGGGACCGTCCTGGCGAGCTTTTTTTGAGGTTCGGTACGGCCCGGCGCGTCTAATTTTTTTTTCTTTTTTTTCCGGCCCAGACCGGACTTTGTTTCACACCGGACGGTACGGGGAAAACACTGATGGGGGGGGGGAGGGTATTGTAGAACATGTAAGGGAAAGGTCGAAGCTGGGGCTGGAACTGGTGTTTCGGTTAAAGCCGGGGTTTGTGCTGAAACTGGAGCTGAAGTTGGGGCTGGGTTGAGCTAGGGCTCTGGCTAGGGCTTTGGGTTAAGGCTCTGAGTTAGGGCTGTGAGCTAGGGATGTGGACTGGTGCTCTAGGCTAGGGCTCTGAGATAGGGCTGCGAGCTAGGGCTCTGGGCTAGGGCTAGAATAAGATAGAGCTCTGTAGCTTTAAAAATGTATTCAACTTTTAAACTTTGATTTTTTCGACTGGTCAAGTAACTTTTTTTAAATATTTAAATATTTTCATTTTTTAAATTTAAAGACCCCATACCCCTAAAAAAACCTCCGATCTCTTCCCGTGTTGATTAGATTGGCCTATAAAATCGAATTAAGCCTAAATCGAATCCCCTTTTTAGCCCGAAGAACAATATTGGACATGCCTATCAGTTCGCCCGGCCATAGTACGACCACTTTAAATAGTCCATCCCAAGCCTTCAGTTGTCCACAATCGCCAGCGCCAAACTTTGGTCGATTTGAGTTCGGCAAGCCAAAGAAGTATCCATTGGACAAGCCTATACCTTTGCCAAGTCTACCAGAGATCCATACTGATAGTGGGGTCGAGATGGTGGAGACCAGCAATGAGGTGGGGGTTTTGTAATGCTAGGGGGTGATTTTGAAGGGTAACAATGTTTTTTTTATTGTAAAATACGCCATTCTGCAAAAAAATTGCTTATTTCACGTTTAAAAAAGTCTTGTCGTCATTTCTCATGCAATTCAGTAGTAAAAAACGACGAAACTTTTTCAAAGCTTCAATACTATTATGTAATCACTAAACCGTTATCAGCTACTTATCTTAATGTTATTTCAGTTCAAATCGAATAGAAATTCGAATTCTTCGAATTCGAATCGAGATTCTATGAATTCAAAAGGATCAAATCAAGAAAATGATCCATCTGAAGTCAAGGGTGACATTTATGGATACTACGGTTTACTGAAGTCACCTGGACTGAACAATAATCAAATTTATGACAATACACTATCAGAAATTACTAATGACAATACGAAACAAGTCAATTTAGTACTGTCATTTTGTACTGAAAGCTTGAAGTTGGTCAAGGCTTTTGGGAAGATATGGTAAGTCTTACTTTGTCGTGCATTACCGTACTGTACTCTAGCTTGCACTGCCTTGCTATTCCTTGCCTTGCCCTTCCCTACTCTAGCTAACTTTGCCCTATCCTACTCTACCCTTATTACTTCAAAAACCCTTTTAGTTTTACAGTAGCCTTACCGTAGACCTTGTTCCATCCCTACTCTATTTTACTTCACCAATTTTTAAAATAATTTAAAATTTCAGGATAGTAGGTTGGGAGACGAAGCTTCAGCGTATGGTTGGAGGTACCCTTCATTATGGTGATCATCTTGTAGCTATAAATGGGAAACCAGTCAACTCAACTTCTGACCTGATGGACCTTTTTCATGGTTGTCCCGCTGGAATTCCGGTAAGGCATTTTTAAATTTATTATTCAAAATATCCTTCCTAATTTTTTTTTCAAAGTTTAACCCCTGTTGATTTTCGGAAAAAAAATTTTTGGATTTTTTTGAACTTACCACACCCACCTTGCCTTACTTATAGTGTTTGTACGTTTTATAGTACAAATATGGTTTTCACTCTCATTTTAATTTCAAAATTGAATAAAAACACAATGGAACTCCTTTATAACGAATTGCTCGAGGATTTAAAAGTTGTTCATTATAAAGTAGTTTTGGCATGATGGAGTAGACATGAGGAACGGGCCGGGCCTACATGTTCAGGCCCAGCCTACCTTAATTTGGGTCAAGACCGGCCCGTTCTTCATGTTTCTGATGGAGTTTTAAATGCATTGTGTAGAGTTAGCCGGGGATTCAAAAGTCATTCGTTATACAGTACTCTCTCTATATAAGCAACCCGAAGGGCCCGACATTTTGTGTTGACTATAAGGGGTGTTGTCTTTACAGAGAGACTTTTTAGTGCAAATTGACTTGGTGAGGCCAAATTTCTTATTTACTATAAGAAGAGTTGCTTATACAGATGGTTCACTGTATAGAGACCACTGTGCAAAGTTTTCTTTATACAGGATATTTGTTATACAGGGCTTCGTACTGTAAGCCTAAAAGACCAATTTTTGAGCATTCTCTAAACTTCCTTGTTTATTTTTCTGTGAAAAACATGATTATATTACCACTTTTTGTCTCATCTCTACATAATTATATTACTTTTTAGACTTAGCCAAGTTTTAAAAAGAGTAATGTTCTTGGATTTTTAACTAAAAATTTTTTTTTTTCATAAAAAAACTTAAAAAATTGATGTTAATTTTTAAAAAATAGTCAAAAATTTCAAAAATTGGTAATAAAATTAAGTGTTCTGCTCTACTCTACCCTATCCAACCCTAATAATTGGGTCTCAAAAGCCATTCAATAACTACAAAAATTTTTTATATCAGCTTGGAAAGCCCTAAAGAAATTGAAAAAAAAAACCAGAAAAACCCCTTAAATTTTAGAGATTTCTAGTATAAAATCGAAAAAAAAATTAAAAAACTAAAACTAAAAAAATATTTTCAGGTCCGTCTAACAATCAGTCCAACGCCATTTGGCCAAGCTTTCGTCCTCCGAAAACCAAACCGTGGCAATCTGCCTTTAGGCATTGAACTCTACAAAAATAAGAATCGAATCGAGATGATCAAGCCAGGGTCAGTAGCTTCGATGGCTGGATTACCCGCTAATACCAAGAGTTTTTTGATTCCGGAAGAAGAGGTACCGTCGATCATTACTGAAGTTGAGCATCATCCGTTGGATCCCAGTTCGAAGGATTCTGAAGCGCTACAGAAGATGAATTCGATACCTCCGGGGCAGGCTTTCACTGTCATTATTCATCCCAGGGACTTTGTTAAGACTTTGAAGGCTCAGTCTAATAGTGTAAAGTAAGGAATGGGGCTTATTGTAGCAATGAACTATATTATAGTAGTCTCATACTTATAAACCACACGTAAAATAATCTCTTACCTTTACATTACGCTCTTACTTACTATAATATAGCGCTAAGTAGTATATTACCTTGTTTATCCATATTTTATAGTAGGATTATACTTAACAACAAACTTAAAATAGGCTCTTACTTGAAACCACACATACATTACATTCTTACTTATCACTAAATGTATAGTACATTATATTTTACTCAGTATTACTTGATGCTACCGATCTTACTAACCTTATACTGAAGTTATTGATCTTATCATCCCTACCTTATACTTACTAAATATGTACTTAAAAACACTAAGTATTGTAATTTTTTAGACTTAAAATCGACTCAAATTCTTTTGTGATATATCCCATGTTATTACTCTATTCATACCATACGTTACAGGTGATTATTATAGTATCAACCTATGTTACAGCTGCTTATTTTACATTGTTAGTCATAATATCCTGTTTTTGCTTACTAATCATTTGTTTTTCGATCTCTACGCCATTTTATTTGTTACGGGTTTAATAAACTTAGGAATTTAAATTTGGTATTCGATTTCAGTGGAAAATTTTCCCCTGCCTCACATTACCGTGTTTTACTCTACCACGCCCTAACATATTCTAGCCTACTATAGCGGTAAAATATGTTACCCTACCCTATCTTACTCGACCTTATCAGACCCTACCTTAACCTACACTACATTAATATTACTCATTTTTATGAGTAATCAACCACTATAAAGCCAAATATTATGACAAACAAACTACCACACACCTTACCAAACTACCATGATCGATATGCTATTTGCCCATGACATATTATGTATATATTTACCCAAAAAAACCGCGCCGTTTAAAGGCTTTAGCCGGTAGCCGATGGAAACGTGACACAAATGCTAATGATATGAACAAACAGAAGTGGACAATGCGAAAAGTCTTCGGGAAGGGTCATCCACTCACACGTCAGGTCACGCACTTCCACCGGCCGCAGCAAAGAGGTTTGTACTGTACCAGTTCGTGTTGCGCGCTCGGAAAAATACCTCAAGCGGGTTAGTTATAGTAGGGAAACCTAAACTTTGAATAGCTTTTTGATTGAGCGTTGGGTGGCCGGGCTGACTTGGTGCAGATACCACAAGGTATTCGGCTATTTCTTGGAATATTTTCGGAAAATATTGTTGTAGGTTAAATAATATAAAGGATATTAGAGATATTTATCTATTTCTAAAGTTATTTTAAACAAGGCTACTACGATACTTAAAAATTAAGTTTTTGGGTTCAAAAAGCCTACTACAATATAATTTTTGACACATTTGGCTATAAAAAACGTTGTATTTAATTTTATCTACTACAATATTCGGCAAAGTAAATAAAAATCCACCTAATAACTATTTCTACGTTCATATCAAACATTAACAAGTAATTTGGACTTTTACGCTTTGTAAAATTTAAGTCTAAAGCAACAGCATCTACTACAAGGTCCCTTGATTTTTTTTGATGAAAATCTAAGATGAAGCCCCTAATATTACTACTCATATTATCTACTGTAAATTGTCAAAACTATTACTATTACTACCCGTACCCACAACGACAACGACAGACGTACTATCCAGTACGAACTAATTGTATGAACAGATGTGTACCTAACACAAGATATCGTTGGACCTATCGACCGCAGCCCATTAGTAAGTCTCTCAGATTTTACTAAAATGTTTAAAAGTATAAATTTAGGTATATAATTTTTCAGATATTCATATACCGTTGGTATCCCGCCCCAACCCCAACATTCCACTAAAACCCATGCCCTCGCCCCAGCCCATAGTACCGCTCACTAGAGGTACCCTATCTCCAGCAACCTACCCAACAACTACCACAACTCAAACTACAACAACAACTACTCCACCAACTCCACCTCCACTTATCTCAACGACTCCAGAACTACCAACTCCACCTCCATACACTGGAACTTATGCGCCGCGAATCGAAGTTACCACGGTATTCATGAGGCCATCGAAGAAGCCGGAAGTTGAAGGGTTACCGTTTATACCAGGTAAGACTATTCTTGATTGAAAATATAGAAAAATTGTTTTTAAAATTGGCGGGATTTTTGAATTTGAAGCTTCGCGGCGAAACTAAAATAAAATTATCGCGAAAAATTCTTCGCAACTCTTCTTCATGGTTAATATTCTCGATGGTTTTGCTTGATTTCTTCGTAAATTTATATTGTAAATGTTGTCTACACGTTGGAAAAACTTATTACTTTGCAAATTCTTATAGACTTTCTGAAAATCTACACTTTTATGTTGTTAACGCCTATTTTCCCATAAAATTTCGAGAAATTCTGCTATTTTCATGCTAAAACAGTGTCAAAAGTGGAGTTCAATCGCTATTGGTAAGCATTTTTAAAATATTTTTGTTGCTTTAGGTAAAGAAAAAGGTATTTTTTCAAATCCGATTCCTTTCATTGTGTTTTGAGCGTTATTCCTCCGGTTTAGCCCATCCATATTATTTTAGGTTAATCTATGGAGAACGATTTCGAATTCGGACATGTTTTGAAGCTAAAACATAACTAAAAAAGACATCAACTTGTTGAAATAGTCTTCTGTTCAGCTAAAATAATAAAAATATTATGTAAAACGACATACCAATCGACTTTTCATCTTATTTTAGCTTGAAAATGGCAGAATTCCTCGAATTTTTATTGAAAAATAGGCTTTAACAACACAAAAGTGTAAATTTTTAAAATGTATGGAAGAATTGAAAAAGTATAAGGGTTGACAAATTGTAGACAACCTTTTCAATATAAATTTACAAAGAAGTCCAGCAAAACCACCGAGAATATTAACCATGAAGAAGAGTTGCAAAGATTTTTTTTGGTTTTGCGGCGGTGGAAAATACAAATTCTATAATACCTTCTTCTAATTCTATATATTTTTTAATCCCTGAAATGACATTCTTTTTCAGATTCCGCAGACAAACAGAATCCATGTCCAAATGGTCGACCGTTAACGAATGAATATAATGCTCCGATGACATGTAACTTTATGGTGAAGCCGAATGGTGGATGTCCTGAAGATTATTGGTGTCATACTGGAGCTTCCTTCGCTGCCACTACTTGTTGTCCTATCATTAGATTTGGTAAAATACGTTTTTCTGAATTAGTGGGTTTATTATGTACTATTGTAGGGGGAAGTAGGGTAGGGTACGGTATGCTACGGTAGGGTAGGGTAAACTAACGTAGGGATAAGATGATTTAAAGTGGAAAATGTTATCACTATGAGTATTTTCTCAAAAATTACAGTAGTTTTTTAGAAGACAGATGTAAAATGCCGAAAGTAAATGGAGAAGGTGAAGATCTGATTCCACGTTGGTATTACGACCATCTCGATGGAGTTTGTAAGCGTTTCCTTTACAAAGGATTGAAAGGAAATGCCAACAACTTTATCACAAACGTTCAATGTAGTGAAGCTTGCGAAGGATCTCAAGGTAACTTCATTTTGAAGCCATCTCTTGCCTATAATAATAACTCTTATATCTTACATATACGATGATTATGCTATACTATACTTTCCAGAAAACCTCCGTGCAACAGGATTTGTAAATCCATGTGCGGTAGGCACTCCAGCCAAGCTAAGAGATGGCAGTGTTCAAACCTGTACTCCAACCGACGAAACTCATTCGGTTTGTCCGACCGGTTACTTCTGTCATATCGGTGATACTAAGAATGTGTGTTGTGAAAAGACCTCCAGTAAGTTTGTAAAACACGACTACATAAAAATCTTTTAATAAAAAAACAATTTTAAAAAAAATTGTTTTAGGTAACAAAATTTCAAAAAATTTAATTTTGATTATAAAATTTGAAAAAAGTTTTTATTACCTAAAATAAGATCCTTTACCTCTCTTTAGACACTGACCGATGCCACCTGCCATTAGCGACTGGAACAGGTTCGGCCGAGTTGAGACGTTTCTACTACAACCCAATTGCCAAAAGATGTATCGAGTTTTTGTACAAAGGAATTGCTGGCAACGAGAACAACTTTTTGACTTATAATGACTGCAAAAAGCAGTGCTTACGTGAGTTTATGAAATTTCTTAAATTTTGTTTTGTCATACCTTATTATACACTACTTTACAGGCCTACTGTATTATGTTTTATCTTTTTCTATTATATTTTGTCTTACTCTATTATAACCTATCTAAGTGTACTCTAAAATACCCTCCTTTACTATAGTCTATTCTAATTTACTCTGGCTTAATTGCTCTATTCTACCCTACTCTTCTCTCTCTTACTCTACCGTATTCTACCCTGCTTTAATCTAACTTACTCGATCCTACGCTACCCTACCCTAGCTTATTCTACTTTTCCCTACATAACGATATTTTACTCTAACTCACCTTATTCTATCTTATCTTACTCTATAAACTCTACCCTACCTTATCCTACTCTTGCAGGCTTCAACAACCCCTGCCCATCCTCATTCGACCATGGTGAGCGCAAGGAATGTTCTCCTTTATCAAATCTCTGTGAGAAGGGAGAGTGGTGCCATATTGGGTCGAATGCTGAGACTACTGCATGTTGTCCTGGCGCCATCGCTGATCCATGTAAACTACCATTGGATCATGGAGAAGGTAGTGAGACAATCACAAGATGGTACTCTGACCCATCTGACAAGTCGTGTAATAATGAATGTAAACCTTTTGTTTACCGCGGAGTTAAAGGGAATCAAAATAACTTTGTCACTAAGGAGGCGTGTGAGGAGAAGTGCAAGAGTAAGTTAACTTGATTGTTGACAGCCTACTGTGGTTCAATATTATCCAAGTTTATTAAAAATGAGCGTATTTTACATTACCTAACCAAACAAAAATAGTGCTACAACTAGAATACAGTAACCGCTTAATAGCAGAGTGTCTTGTTTGCAGCCGAGTGCACTAACCCGTGTTCGAGTGGGGATTTGTTGTTGTCGTCGGTGGATGGGAAGCCAAGACAGTGCAGTCCGACCGACCTGTGTCCGAATGGCTACTGGTGTCATGTGGGGCTGGTCCCTGACACCACCGTCTGTTGTTCCGCTGGTAAGAGTTTTTTGTGGGATTTTTAAGGCCTTCATAGGGGATTAGAAAGTTTTATCGTTTTTGATTGTGGAAAGAGGTGTAAATTAACGACAAAACTTTTTTTTAAAGTTTAATAGGTTTTTTTATGTTGAAATTGTCTTACAGGGGAAAAATTTATGGGGGGGGGGTAAAAAAAATTTTTGGGCGGGGTAAAAAAATTTAGGGGCGGGGTAGCTTCCAAAAATATTTTTTAGGGATAGGAGAAAAATATTTTTTTAAAGGCGGGGTAAAAAAGTATTTTTGGGAGGGTGAGGGGTTAAAAAAATTTTTTTATAACATTTGAAAATGTTAACTTTACTGTAAGTATAATTATTGCCTGTCTTTCAGTAAAACAACCTTGCGACTTGCCAATGGTGGAAGGCTTTGGAGAAGCCATGCTGACTCGTTGGTACTATAACAAAAGGACTCGACAGTGCATCAGCTTTATTTATCGAGGAATCGGAGGAAATCAGGTAGGTTTATAAATTGACGGGCCTTTTCGAACGCCGTATTTTACATTTTTTTTATTTTTAATAGGTGGTATTTTACTTTATTTTTAGCTAAAAAATTAAAAAGACTATATTGTTTTACAAACAACTACACTACCGCCACCGTATTTTACCATTTCATCTTAAGACCTTAACTTTATGAACTCAAGTACCACTTATATGCCATTTTACATAATATACGTCTATTTTCAGAACAACTTTTTAACCCAAGATGACTGCCGCGCGGCTTGCCCAGCCTTTGACAATCCTTGTGGCACTGGTCAGCCATTACTGGTCAATCATAAGCCAAAGATTTGTAGTCCAAACCAAAGATGTCCTGGCACTCATTATTGCCACATTGGGGAGAGTAGTTTGAACTATTGTTGTCCTAAAAGTAAGGTTATTTTACTGAGTTTTTACGTTTACTATGAGACTATTGACTTTTACTTTATCGATGGAGGGAACCGGCCCATTGTTTGGCCCTTAGGGCCTTGGTTTGGGGCCCGGCCAAATGTCATAAAGGCCTGATTTATATTTAAAAATGGCATTGGATCTTCATTTCTAATGAAAAATGTCATAAAATTCTTATTTCTAATGTAAAATGTCATAAAATTCTTATTTCTAATGAAAAATGTCCTAGAAGTATATTTTTTCAATTTGAAACCAAAAAATTTAAATTTCAGACGGCAACCCCTGTGATCAACCCCTAGCCGTGGGCCAAGGCCAAGCCAACTTCAAACGCTTCTTCTACGACCAAGAGACGCGCCAATGCCAAGAGTTCACTTATCATGGCTCCAAGGGCAATGCCAACAACTATCTGACGCTGGAGGACTGTCGGATCGTCTGTCAAGGTGTTTTAACGTTTCATAGCTAATCTCACTTAAAAACACCAGCCACCTTACTCGCTAACCCTCCGCTTTTGTTGCTTTTGCTGTTCATTAAACACTTACTGTAACCTTTGTCATCTTACTGCTTTTTAATGGTTTTGCCGCCTTAGGGAAAGTATTTTTTAAATTTTTGAAGTTTTTTTAAATTAAAATTTTTTGAATTAAATATTTTTCGTATTTTACAAAAAATTTGTTTCAAAAACTTTCTTTCCAACCAATTTAAATCAAAACACAATTTAAAAAACGTATTTTACCTTAACAATATCCAGCTTCCGAAAACCCATGCCCTGAGGGAGACCCGCTTCAAGACCCAATCAGTCGGGAGCCGCTGATCTGTGGAGGACCTCAGGAGTGTCCCAGTGGGTTCTGGTGCCATGTTGGAGGATCACCCAACACTACAAATTGTTGTCCAGGCTGTGAGTTATGTTACAGTAGGCCAATCTTTGAAAGGGAGCATAATGTGTATCCTCTTAAAATACAATAAAACACCTTTACCACGCCCATTTTTAGCCCGAAAACCCTGCGATTTGGAGACGAATGAAGGTCAAGGAACGTTACGATTGGAACGTTGGACATTCGACGGAACGGCTCAAATGTGCCGCCGTTTTTACTACAAAGGAACCAAAGGCAACTCCAACAACTTTTTGAGTCGGGATGCTTGTCGACAGGCTTGTCCTGGTAAGTTAGGTTAAGTGGCATTGTCATGGATGGGCGAGGGTGTTTAATAACTCTAATAGAAGGGAGGAAGATGGTTTTCTTGGCATGGAGAAGGAAAAAGGCGTTGGAAGGGGGGGGGGTGTTGAATTCAAATTTTTTAAATGACATTTTCGATATGACATCACTTCTAAAATGATTAAAATTGGTCACAACTAAACCTATTTTAGAAGCCAACCCATGCCTAACCGGAGAGCCTCTTCTCAATTCAACCGGTAATCGACTGACTTGTGAACCGACCGAAAAGTTCACCGGATGTCCAGCTAGCCACTTCTGTCATCCCGGATCCAACACCGATAGTCAAGTGTGCTGTCCTCGAGGTGAGGTTGACATATGTGAACAAGGAGTTCAAGAAGGGCATGGCAAAGAAAGTCTGAGGAGATTCTACTTCGATCCTTCTGAATCCGTCTGCCGTGAATTCACGTTTCGAGGCGGCAAAGGGAACGAGAACAACTTTGTCAGCAAATCCGCTTGTGAAGATGTTTGTCCTGGTAAGTATCAAACGGTCCTCAAAAACATATTTTACGATCCTCTATCGTCTTGTCTATTCAACTGTAACCGATGTTTTAGCCCACAGAAGCTACTGTCCTCACGGTCAGCCTCAAACCGACCCCCACTCCAAGAAGCCTATACCTTGTGGAATATTGAAAAGCTGTTCCATCGGCTTCGTATGTCATATGAGTGTCGAATATAGAGTCAGTGTGTGTTGCGAGGTAAGTTTTGACAATTTCCTTTAAAATTTTAATTTTTTCAAAAAAAATTTGAAGCTTGGCCCCTGTGGCTAAAATAAGATTTTTTAATTTTTATTGAAGAAGATAAACGTATGCCATTTTAAATAACATTAGAAATATTAAATAAGTAATAACAAAATAAAACAAAATTGAAATTTAACTTAAAATTTAAAAACTTCCCTTTAGAACCCAGCCAATTTCTGCACCGCCCCACGAGACCCCGGTCATTGTAACGGAACCGAAATCCGATACGGCTATAACGCCCTCACCGACACCTGTGTCGAATATAAGTACTCCGGGTGTGGTGGAACGCTGAACAACTTTAAAACAATGGAACAGTGCACACAAATATGCTGCAAGGAATATCGACATTGACCGATCTCTCATGAACAATATAATTGATTGTTGAACAAATAAACATTTACTTTATTGATCATTTATGTACAAAACTTAACAAGAAGACACGGAAACATCTTTTAACAACAATCTACACACTTTAGAAAAGTTAAAACAATTTAAAATTAACAAATACAAGTTATTCTTCCGAAAAATCCTGATCCGATAGAGCCTTCAGATCAAATCCCATGTCCACCAAGTCGCGGTCTCCTTCCAGCTCCAATAACTTTCCAGTAGCTTCCTTAATCTCTTTCCTTGTCTCCTCAATCAGCTTATCCAACTTTTGAGCATCATCATTCAAAGATTTGAGAGCAAACTCATTCGGATACTCTACCATAAGATCGTTGCAAATACAAATAAAATTCTCCTTCTTCCCGCTAGATTTCTCGTCTCTCTTGATGGCATGATAAGACTCACGTAATTTAGAACGCTTATTGTCCATATCAACAACAGAACGTCGAAGACTGACGATTTTCTGGCCAAGTTCTTGAACTTCTGTCAGTTTTCGCACAATATCTGCTCCGATTTCAGCATTTGGCTCCAGGAATGACATTCTTTTTAAACTAAAAATAAAATAATATTAAGAAAATACGAAATTACCTTCTATTTTAATTTTTACTCCCTGAAATTGTAAATTTGTCGAAATTTTACGAAATAAAAAAATAATATAAAGAATAACACTTGGCACGTCGTTTTTGGCGTCAAGTTTTTCTGTGAACGAAGAAAATAAAATATCGTAAAATTTCGGCCATCAATCTTACTTTACTGATCATTTCAAGTACGTTTCTTCATTATACTTTTAAAAATTTGTTTAATAATATACGTATGATAGGTTGGAACGTTTCGTGATTCATATTTAAGTTAAAACGTGATTTTCCTCGTGGTTCTTATCACTTCAACTTCGAAAGCTGGTCACTTTTGCAAGGGAGGAGTTCCTTTTCCGAACTCCAGACATTTTTTATTGTTTCAAAGGGGGGCGTTAATGGTTTTGAAGATGTTCGAGAGCTATATTATCATGTTCGTTATGCACTTTTTCGAATTTAATATCTATTTTTATGGCCCATATACCAACTCGTCTACTATAACATCGTTTCTTGAGATTTTCATAATAAATATTCTGTGGAAGATGCTTGTAATTAATGTCAAAACACGAGTTGTGGTTATGTTTTTTCTGTTTTGAAATTTTGCCTTGTTTACCTTGTTTTAATAACGCTAATTCACGGAATATTCTCCTGTAGTTAGCTGGCTACAATAATGGTTTAATTAAAAAACTAGGTTTAATGATGCAATTGTCAGGTCATGTTGTGTCAACAGCTGACAGAGATATTAATAATGGTTTACCTAGATTATGGTTTCAAAATTTTGTTGATTTAGTTTCAAAAGTTCTCGGACATTTGAAATTCTCGTGCAATTAGGGCGTTTCCACTGTGCAGAAGGTCTAAAGATTTTTTGATGGATTTAAAATTAAATTTTGTTTTACAAAGTGAAGACAATATCTTATATTACGTTGTTTTTAAGATAATTTTCTAAAAATTATGACCAAGTTTACGTATGACACGTGTTAAAAACTGTCTTCATTAATATACTGTTGACCGTATGCCTGACTGTTATGTCTTATCATTTCTTTATCAATTTAATTCTGTAATGGTCTTTTTAGGTCTTATTTTGCAAGAATATTGTGTACTGAGATTCTTTTGTTATAGTAAACATTAAAACGTTGTTGATAAGATTTTTGAAATTTTAACTTTTGCTCATTTTTGAAATCTTGTGATAAGAATATTTCTTTTGTTTTAACAACGTTGGTGGGCTATTACAGCTAATTTTGTGACAGATTTATCAATTTGGACTCTTGAGTTTCATATTTTTTCAATTTTGAAAATTTAATTTTTTTTGAATTTTTTGACATGTGTTGAAATTTGTGTACAACATGTTTTGTACAAAAAATCAGTTTCAGACAAGATGTTCCGGCCGAGTGGTCGGATTTTGGGATTGGTCAGAAGTTTAGCCACAAGTTCAGTTCAGAATGCCAAGATTAAGGTGCAGAACCCTGTAGTGGATCTGGATGGAGATGAAATGACTAGGATTATATGGCAGGAGATTAAGGATAAGGTGAGTTATCTACTTTTTATTATTTTTTAAAGCGATTTTTTAAATGTTACAGTAATCTTTGAAAAAGGTTATAAACTTACCGTGTAAAACTGCTTTTTTGCCATAACTTTTCTAAAATTAATTAATTTTAATTATTTTTTATTTCAGTTGATTCTGCCATACCTCGAAATCGATATCAAGTACTATGATCTCGGCCTACCCAACAGAGACGCGACCAATGATGAAGTGACAGTAGAAGCGGCCAAAGCTATCCAAAAGTACAATGTCGGGATAAAATGTGCCACAATCACGCCGGATAAAGCTAGAGTAGAGGAGTTCAAGTTGAAACAGATGTGGAAGAGTCCCAACGGTACCATCAGAAACATTTTGGGTGGTACTGTGTTCAGAGAGCCGATTATTTGCAAGAATGTGCCAAGGTTGGTCACTGGATGGGTCAAACCAATCATTATTGGTCGGCATGCTCACGCTGATATAGTAAGTTGTTGTTATTAATAATTATGTTAATATTGGCTTGTTTTTTGTTGTTGTGGTTTTATAAATTCGCTTTTGAATCAAAGACAGCCAATGTGATTATATAAAGCATCTACTACAATTACATTTTCAGTACAAAGCCATAGACTTTGTTGTCCCAGAAGCCGGCAAGGTTGAACTGGTGTATACTCCATCTAATGGAGGGGAGAAGACCTCTTATGAAGTGTTCGCCTATCCCGGACCGGGAGTATCGCTAGCCATGTACAATACTGATGAGAGTATCCGCAACTTTGCCGTTTCTTCATTCGAATACGCCTTGAGGAGGAAGTACCCTTTGTATTTGAGGTAAGTGTGATTTATTTTGAAGCTCAGGGGTCTGACTTGATGTTGTCTTTGCCTGTTTAAGAAGTTTAAGCAGTAATCACAAGGTCAACAATTTTAACACAGATATATATGTTATTCATGGCATATGCTTATAATATCTAAGTGAAAACGTGTATCTTATGAGTTATATATAAGACCTTGCAAACTTTTATCTTTTTGTACTAAAACAACTAATTTTCAGCACCAAAAACACGATTCTGAAGAGATACGATGGCAGATTCAAGGACATCTTCCAAGAGATCTACGAGCAAGACTTCCGGGCCAAGTACGAAGCTGCGGGTATCTGGTACGAGCATAGACTGATCGACGACATGGTAGCTCAAGTAATGAAATCAGAAGGCGGCTTCGTGTGGGCATGCAAGAACTACGACGGTGATGTTCAGTCGGACTCTGTGGCGCAAGGCTACGGATCGCTCGGATTGATGACTTCAGTTCTACTATGTCCGGATGGAAAGACTGTAGAAGCTGAAGCAGCTCATGGTACGGTCACGAGACACTACAGATTCCATCAGAAGGGACAAGAGACTTCTACGAATCCTATTGGTATGTTTTGATTGATATTAATATAAGTTGTATTAAGTTGATTGTGCAAATGATTGTTTTTGTGTTAATATAGACATAATATATTAATTATGTAGGTATAAAACTTAATTTTATTGAACATACTAAACTTATATGATATTTTCAGCTTCCATCTTCGCCTGGACCAGAGGCTTGGCTCACCGTGCCCACTTGGACAACAACAACGAATTGGCTGTGTTTTCGGAGAATCTTGAGAAGGTTTGTATCGAGACGATTGAGCAAGGCTTGATGACCAAGGACTTGGCCATCTGCGTGAAGGGTACCACTAACGTCGACCGGTGCGATTACTTGAACACTTTTGAGTTCATGGACAAACTGGCTGAGAATCTGGCCAAGAAACAAAGCTCGTAAATATGATTTCAATAGCATTTCTAACATTAAACTTGTAAAAACATTGATGGAGGGTTGGCTATGGTTAAGATGTTATAAGAAGCATGTAAAGTATTTTTTTGTCTATCATTATACAAGGGAAAGTGGAACTCCCGAGCTAAGGTCAAGGCTTATATTATACTATATGAAAGAACGGAAAAAGTTATGTTATATACTCATTACCAGGGCCGGGCGGAGACTTTTGGTCTGGGGGCAGGGGTCCAAAAAAACCGGCACAGGTAGCTCTACCTGTGATTTTTTGCGAATTTTTTTTTCCAAAAAATCCACAGGGGGAACACGTTCAAATTTTTTCGAAAATTTTTTTTCTGGGGTTGGGGGTACCCCCCCTCGCGCCCGGCCCTGCTCATTACAGTTAGTTCAGCGGCCCATACGACCTTTAGTCCTATTAGAAGTTAAAAATTAATGTTACTTTTATATGTATGTGTACGCAGAGATATTATATATTATACTTTATTTATAAAAAGTAGTAGCATAACTACTATAACTAGTTTAAATATAGTGTCACGTTTTAGATATCTTTGTATGATAATGTCATCAGATATAAGTGGTTTATTGTTCGTGCGATTGGTAACAGTTATTGCCGTATTTGCACCAATGGTTTCGCGCAAACCTTCGGCATTTTTGTACATCGCTTGGTTTGATTACCTGAAATATAAAGGTAAGTAAAGATTAAACTGAAAGACAAGGGTAAAATTAGAAAAAAAAGTTTAAAAAACAAGTCAAAAGACTATCAAGATATTGCGAAGTTGCGCATCGATTAAATATTGGTTAATATAAGAATGGGAATATATTATAATAATTTTAAAAAACTTACAAAAACGCTTTTGGCACTAATTTGAACGTTTTTCTTAACGTGGTTTTCAATTTGCCCTTTTTTGTGAATCTGCTTGAAAATTGGTAGTCTAGGCAGATTAGCAGCGTGACTAGGACAATCAAGAATTTGATAGCGATCTTGAAATTCATTTGTGTCTAAACCTTGGAGGATTATACTTTCGAGCTGGTCTATCGGGATGTCATGTCCTAGGTTGTCTGCTGGCACTTTTGGAGCTTGTACTGAGCCAGTTTGTGGGAAATTAGTTTTTGGGCTAGTGTTGGATTCGTCGGTGGTGTTAGTAGTAGAACAGTTGGCGTTACTAGTACTGTTGCAGTCAATGGTAATAGTCGGGCTAGAGTTGGTAGAACGGCTAATCGGGCTGGATCTTGTACTACATGATTCAGCGGTGCTGTAGGAAGCCTGATCGTTTAATGATTTGGGTAGCTCGTTCACAAAGTTGACAGGCAAAGAGTAGACTGCCTGGATCATCGGTTGGTCGTAAAACTGTTGACCATAAACTTGTTGGCCTTGATATTGTTGATCATAGTAGTGTTGATCAAAACATTGTTGGCCATAGAGTTGTTGACCATAGTATTGTTGGCTATAGAATTTGGCAGCAAGTTCGGTAAATGACACCATGATGTTATTTGTAGGTTGAGCAGTTATAAAAACTGTGGACCGTCGATGAGAGTTGTAGAATAAGATAATGAATTGAAAACTTGAGCTTTTTTATTGCTTTACTTTCGCTGCTTATTCTATCGGTAGACATTGATATATATATTTAAAAATTAGTGCTAAATTTGGACTTCTAATGCGCACTGATTTTGTATGTCGAATAGGGTTTTTGGGGCTTTGTAAGGATCGTAAAAGGGTTTTTTATGAGTGATATGTAATGAAAAGATTACATAACTCCTGTATACCAAATCTCTTTTATAACAAACAAATTTTAAATCCCCAAGTGATTCGTTACACAAGAGTTCCACTGTATGTGTTTATTTTAAAAATTCAAAATTTCATCAAATATTTGAAAAATATGGCTTCCGACGACGGATCTCGCGCGACCAGCTGCGTTATAGCAACAATAAATGTTTATGTCTACTATAATATAAATAGACTTTGCGTGTTACTTTAATATCGCAAGACGGGTGGGGGAAGCCGGAGGGGCGAGCGGCCTCGAGTCCTTTGGCCTCTTTTTTCCGCTTTTCTGGCCTCACAAAAATCGTTTTTTCACGAGGAAAAAAAGTTTTTTTTCGGATCCGCGATTTCCCGAAGCTCCCCAATGTTCCTCCAAATTCTGTGTGGGTTCGAAATCTCTCCGTTGTCTCGTGTTGTTCTATGTCTCTTTCTCGTTTTCAACGTGTTTGAATAACATTACTTGACTCCCGAACCCTCTTTTTTACTATATTATTTGCTGCGATTAAGACTTTCTTTTTTGGGTTGGGGGGAAAGGAAGGGTGGGTAAGGGTTTAGTATGTATTGGAAGGTATAAATGTGATTTTTGAACTTTGTGGACAAAAAGTTTTTTTCGGAAAAAAATTTACAGGGGGCACCAAGTTCAATATTTTTCATAAATTTTTGTGAACTGGGTTTTGGGAGGGGTGGGAAAGAAGAAAAATTATTAGTATAGTGGGGTGTTTTAAAAGTTCAACTTTGTGATTTAAAAATTTGGCAAAAATTAAAAAAAAAAATTTTTGAAAAATCAGCACAAAATCGGTACTTTTTTCAAAAAGTAACCCTTTATCTCATAAAAAGATCCTCAAAGACAAGCCTAAAGCAAAAAATGTCAAAATTCAATTTATTTTTGGCTAAACCTTCCATTGTTGTTAAAACAAAGTGAACCGTTTGCTAATCAGTATGACCTTTATTTGCTCACAGTGGAGGAACATCACGTTGTGTTGTTTCCTGTGTTTACTATACGTTTTCTACTTCAAATTGAGTTTTGAAAATATGGTTTTTAAAAAGTCATAACTTTATTTTTTATTTTTTTTTGACTTTGCAAAGAGGAGTTTATAACTTTTTGAAGGAAGTTGTTTGAGAAAAGTGGTTCAACTCGATTTTTTTTTCATTTTTAAGGGATTTAGGGGTGGTTTTTGTTGATTTTAAGAAGGTAGTAAGTTAGTTTAAAGCTTCTCAATTTATATTCTTTTAGTTTTACTCAATTTGTATTTCATTCAATTTGACACTACAAAACACGGTAAAACAAGCTTTCAAATAGTCCAAATTTTAAATTTTTAGCGTTGTCCCAAACAATTTTTAAAATTTTTAAGCTTCTTGTCAATTGTCATTGAAAATTGAAGAGAATTTTTAAAAAACAGACGTTTTTTCATTACTTTTTTAAATTTAATCTGCTGTCCAGATATCGAATCTCTCTTTAGCGGCTAAAAACAAAGCTAAATATTGTTTATTTAATGACGTTTTTTATCTGTTTGTCGTGTCTTTATACAATTTTTGTAAAGTGATAACTAAAAATAGAACTTTTGGGATTTGGGTGTCTAAAAATAATGGCAAAAAGTTCTTAATAAACCAATTTTTAAATATTTTTTTAACTTTTTAATGTAAAATACGGAAGGTGGTACTCAAAGGGCAATTATTCAACCTGCTTTTCTCAGAATCAGCTCGAAATTGATAAATGAGTTTATTGTACCACCAATTGTACTCATACAAAATTTTTTCTCGCGCTTTTAAGTTTTAATTTTTAAATATTTGAGTTTTCCGCGAATTTGGCGTTGTGTTTCAAGCACTTTTTTCGACTTACTAGATAAGCTACGCTTATAACTATAAAAATGTAAAGTCATTTAAAGGTTTTCTACTGGCATATCAAAGAAAAATGATTAAATCAAAAATACAACTGTTGTTTATATAAAACAAAATAGTGTTTCTTACCCCTTACTATAATCTAACGTTCACTGAAGTAAAACGCTTGTTTTTACAGGTTAAATTGGGCATGCGAATAACTTAAAAAAGTAACGAGACATTAAAAGTTTCCCCTCGAATGACTATGTTCCTTTCTAATTACAAAGTGAAATAATTATGCGCACTCACGTTACTGCTTTATTGCTTGTTGGATATGTTGTTTTACTCGTCTTTTATGAATAGGGGATTTGGATTGACATCGATAGTATGTTTTTGGTAAAGAATCGTATTTGATATTGATATTATGATTTGGAATGATCTTATAAGCTTGCTTTCATTATACCTTAGTTCCTAGCTCTAGCTATAGCCCTAGGCTAAACTCAAGCGTCGGCCTTAGCCTTTGTCTTAGCCTAGGCCATAGCCTAACTTTCTTTTGTTTTCAGTTTGTCTTAATCTTGTTATATTCAAATCTTGCTTTAAGCTTACTATTACTCGTTAAACCCTTTTTGAACTATACCTGCCTAATCTTCCTCATCAAACCCAGACGAAATCTCTGTTTTGAAACCTTGATGAATCCATAAAAGAGCGTTGCGAGCAGAAAACAAATCCTAAACCTGCAATTTAGCTAAACAAAAAACATGTTGCGCAACGACCGGTTTCTCGCGACGTGAGAAGGCAGATGCCGAATGAGGTCACTGGGTGATACCAGCTCACGATGAAGCTCGCGACGTCTTAATCTTTGCGCGCGAGTGGATTTAACAGGATGATGTCTTCTGGATCTTTTTGTTTCTATGTTTTGCTTTTTTAGAGTAAAATTACAATATTTGGAAGGGTTGTAACATATGGTTACCATGGTTAATGTTTTGAATAAAATATTACAGAGTAACTTTGTTACAGTAGGCTGTGCCGAAAAGAGAGTTAAAAAATTTTTTACAGGTGTTTATGAATTGAAATTTGGACTTAAAGTTAAAAAAAAATATGTGAAAGTCCTGGAGCAGGGGTATAGATACTGCATAGTAGTGGTACGATAGAGCAGGGAAGACAAAGCACCGTAAGATTAGACTAAGTTAAATAGTATAGGGTAGGGTAGGGTAGGGTAGGGTAGGGTAGGGTAGGGTAGGGTAGGGCAGAGCAGGGCAAGGCAAGGCAAGGCAAGGCAAGGCAAGGCAAGGCAAGGCAAGGCAAGGCAAGGCAAGGCAAGGCAAGGCAAGTGAACAACACGCTTATAAAATTTAAAAAATAATTTTTTTGTTTTTTAATCACCATTCCTTCTTTTTCTGGTGTATATGTTACAATAAAGTAATTTCTAATTTACCATACCAGGGTGGGGTGGGCAATGAATTAAAATACGAAATGACTGTGAGTGTATTGCTTTGTCTTCGCTTTATGTTAAAAATAAATTACGAATACGTTACGAGCGTTTCTTTTCTTATGGAACGGGCTCGTTTCCTTTTCATATTACTATTTTAATTTTGGGGGTATTGTTAAAGAAGTTTTGCGTTGAAAGTTATTTGGGCATAACTAGAACTATAATATACTTTAAAAGACAAAAAAAATTTTTTTTTGGATGTGTTATGGATGGGGGGGGGGAAGCTTTTTAAAAAATTATGTTTAAAGACTCCCCCCCCTTCTCACATAGAAAAACCGCTGATAATCCACTTCCTACTTACCCTTAACAAACCTTTCTGCAGTAAATAGTTAAATTCTACTTTTTATTTTTGTTTTTCTCTTTTTTGGGTAAACAAGCGTTTGAAAAGTTTTGTTCTTTGTTCCGGGAGTTAAGACTGCTTTAATTATACAGGTATTTTTTTGGGTTTACTTGACTTTTATGTTATACAGTGGTAACATAAGGTTACCTAGGTGTTTTACTGTGGTATTTCGAGAGCTCGGCTTGATGAAAAGATGAAAGGGAGGTCTTGGTGGGAGGGTAGGGTAAATTTTTTTTCGGTTTGGGGTGGATTTTTATCTTTTTTTAAATTTTTTAAGGAGAATGGTGGGTAGGGTAAAAAACTTTTTTTTGTGTTTGGGGTGGATTTTTAGAGGTTTTAAAAAAATTTTAAGGAAGAAGAAGGGCAGGGTAAAATTTGTTTTTGGTTTTGGGGTAGATTTCTGTTTTTTTTTAAATGTTTTGAAGGGTGGAAGCTCCCCCTCCCTTCTCTTTCTTAAAAACCCGCGCCCTTTCGAATTTGTATCAAATAATTTTTTCCAAATCCACTTGATACCTAAATGATTTAAAATTTTAGTTTTCAGCTCCCCACCTCATAATAATATGATCTAAAATAATAAAACCCAAATATTTGCATAATGAGCAAGATGTATAATTTGGAGGACGAGGAGATGTCGTTGCGCGCTGCAATCGCTCAACGCGGCCCTCGTGCTGGCCTTAAGGGTCCTCGACCGCCGACCTCACCTCCGCCGGAAATCGACCCCACTGTGCCCAGCAGCTCGGACTTCATGTCACGCTCGCTACGCAATGAATCTGGAAGCAGTTTGGGGAGCAGTGATGATGGATTGAAATATGGTAAGGTTATCTACAATTGGTAGGGTAGGGTAGGATCGGGTAGGGTAGGGTAGGTTAAATTAGAGTAGGGTACGTTATAGTGAAGTTGGATATGGTAGGGTAGAGTTGAGTAACATCAAATTAAAATGTCATATTGTTCCAGAACGACACTCAATATCTCCAAAGCTAGCAGACATCTCACTGAATGGCAAGAACCCATTCATGACTGTACCATGGCATGTAATGTACTCAATCTTCCAGAATCTAGAGCTACGGGATCGGATACGAGCTTCTATGGTCTGTAAACGATGGAATCACTTATTGACTGACGGTCGATTTCCATTGGAAGACCTGTCGGTTATAAATTTATTTGAATATGAAATTTTAAATGAAAAAATGGAAAAGAACATTCAGAGTGGTGGAAAGTAAGTTTTTGCGGCTTTAAAATTTTGGGTTAGGATTTTCAAAAATTAAAAAAAAATTGGTTTTTTCAAAAAAAAATATTAAAAATAGGTAAAAAAGGCTACAAAATTACAAAAAAGCAACATTTTCATTTACTTCAGAGTAGAATTCGTGCAATTAAACGACACAGAAGATCTAAGGAGTATATTCTTGCACTGTGACACGCCCTACGCTGTAAAAATATGGTACAGTCGACTGGATTTCTTGGAAAGTGTTTTGGGTACGTTTTCTTATTTTATTTTTTGTGTTTAGATAGCCTTTGGCAAGGGAAATTTCATTTAAAAAATTTGTGACATTTCGCTACGTTTTCCAATAATTGGCGGAGGTAAAATACGAAATCCGTTGTAAGCTCTAACATTGCCGTTTTAAAATTATGTGACATTTCGTTAAATGTCGAAAGTTACATAAACAAACTTAAAAAACAGTTTTCTTCATTAAAATTGCTTTTTGTCCGTTTAAATTTAAACTAAAATGCTAGATAAAAGGTAGGGTAGAGTAAGTTAGGTCGCATATGGCTATTTTTCATTTTCCCATAATTTCTTTGACACTTCGTCAAAATCAAAGTTTTAACAAAAACCAGCCTAAAATGCAAAATATTTCAGAAAAGCTATCAGAATGCAATGTAAAGCTAAAATCCCTGGACATCTACCCCTACCAAGAATACGTCGGCCTGTCTTTGGTTCACGAGTACCTGCCTGATCTCAAAAGTATTGGCATGAGACCTCATTCTCAAGGTCACTTCTTCAAAGGCATGTCATTGCCACATTTTCCAAAATTTCGTCAGCTAGCTAGCCTAACTCTCGACTCTTTTTTCCTGGAGGAAACAGCCGAATTTCCTGCTGGACTAACTACGTTGGACTGGCAGTCGAGGACCGAGAGTACCATATCTGGCTTCCTCGACCGGTTGAAGAGCCTGAAACTATTGAACCGGCTTATCATGACTCACAACACCTTTTCGGCTCTCAGTTTTCTGAAATTGCTCGAGGCTATCGGGGCTTGGAACATGTCGAACCTACAGTATCTGGCGTTTAAACTGTCGACTTTTTGGCTGGACGGTCGAATTCGGAATCACTTTGTCAAAATGACCAACATCTTGAGGACGTTGAAGTTGTTGAGGCTAGAACTGTGCTATGGAGACGTGCAGAGCTTTCTCAATATTATGATGGAGTTGACTGGGTATGTCACTATTTTTTAATTTTTAATTTTAAAAATTTTTTAAACTTTTTTACCATCTAATGATTAAAATTTTAGCCCAGAGCTATCAGTAGTATGCCTGACAGTCCTACCCCGCCGCATGGAATTCCCTCTCTACAAGGTGATCGAAATGTCATCTGAATTTGCAGTTCGTGGCATCAGTCTTCACTTGGGGATAATGCAACCAAGTAGTCCTGACAAAGAGAAGAATCGAGAAGAAGAACAAGGAGAGTTCCTGACTATTGAAGAAGAAGCAATGGCAAGACATTACGAAAGTTTCTGCAAGGTTTTGTCTGTTTTGGATGTGTCATTTGTGAACAATGTTAATATGTTGTCCAATCTGTTGATATCGTCTAGCTTTAATAACCTGACGGAGATCAAATTTATCGAATGTGATGCTACTACTGATCAAATTTTGATGAGAATAGCTATGGTAAGATAATAATAAGTCTTACCCTACCCTAGTTTACCCTACCCTATCCAATGATACCATTCACCTCATATTGACTTATATTAACCTTGATACCCACCTTTACAGAGCTGTCCAAACCTACAACGTCTAAGCCTCCTATCCTGCCACGCATGCACAATAGAAGGTATGAGGCATTTTGTCGAGTGTTTCCATGCCCGCAAATCAGAAGTGTTAACGATAAACTGGCAGAAGGATCAAGAACATGATGGGCGATCAGCTGTCACCGACTTCTATGTTGATTTGACTACGAATCATCGTGGTTTACTGGAAGATGTGTCGATCAAAAGCTACCGAAAACAGTTCAGAGTTAGAGTGGGAGAACAGATTATTATTTGGACTAACGAAAAGGCACTTTATATTCAAGTAAGTTGCTCAAAAGGGAGGAGAAGGCAAGGATAATATAGTTTTTGATGGTAAAATACGGTTTTTGAAAAGGGGTATGTCGAAAGAATGAAGTAAGAGGGCTAGGGGTAGGGGAAAATGTTTTGAGAACATATTTTTTTGCGATTTTGCCAAATATAACGAAATGTCACAAAGTTATTGGAAAAAAAGAACGAAGTGTCACAAAATGTATCGTAAATCAAATTTTTATGTAAAATACAAAGTCTCGATTAAGTATAATATATTATTAATTATAGCATGCTTTAATTACACTTTAAAAAACGATTTTAAAATAATGTTCAATTGTAACGAAATGTCACGTAATTTATCGACAGAGTAAATATTATTTTGTGTAGAAATACAAAATTACAAATTTATAACCAAATGCCACGATTTTTATTGATTTTAACTCAATTATTACCTATTTTCAGGACTTTGACAGTTTCGACCGTAACCGCTTCCTGGGTATCGTATCTCCACCATACGAAAGAAATGAAGAAACTGATGACTCTGATAACAGTATGATTATAGAACAACACAATAGTTCATCGTCTGTAGAGGATAGTCCTCCTTCTAGTCCTTAGTAGTTCTTGTAGATAATATATAATGTCATACTGACTTTTTCTAACGTATTTTAGTCAAAGATAACATGTTTTTTGGTACTTTTTTTTATTATATATGGCTAATGTTATCGTATTTTACTACACAAAGCATTCTTTGGCTTATCCTATTGAATTAGTGCTATATAGTACATTTTTGCAGCAGTACTACTTATTAAGTTTTAGAAAGTAATGCTATTTAGTACGTTTAAACACATGTTGGTTTAATGGTGACAGTACTGTTTAGTATGTCTGTAACATATTGCTATATAGAACATGTTTGGAGCAGTACTATTAAGTTGTTCAACTAATTCTGTGTCCCTCATAGAAGTAAATTTTCAGGTTTAGAGGGCGCAGGATTATTTAAACAATGTACTAGTTCGTCCGTTCGCAGAAGTAGTGCTATATAGTACTTCAGATCAAAAAAATATGTTTGTAATGCTAAAATACGATAAATTCTTTTTAAATATGACATTATATTACATGTCAAGTAGCATTTGTATAGTTAATGAAAACGCGTTAAATATAGTCTTTAACTCTGTAACATCAAGCTTCATATTTTGTCTTTCAATTTTACGTATAATCCTGGTGATTTCACAGTGTACATTGTATTTTGTTGCTATTGTGCCATTTGAATAAACAAATTAGTTTAAAGTTTATTCGTATTTTACCATATGAGTAAAGAGTTATGAGTAATCAAAGCTGAACATTGAATTTCAAAACCAAAAATTAAAATTTTGTTACCTAAACTTCCTATAAAACTCACAGAAAAACTTAAAAACAGTCTAAAAGCTGGTAGAAAATATATAAAACGGTCGAAAAATTATTGCAAAGCTCTAAAAATTATCAAAAATACCACTTTATTACCTAAAATTGCCAAATATTATTTATTTTTTCTTTAATTTTTATTTTCAAATTTCAATTTTACCGCCTTTTTGCCTCCAGGATTCATCAATTTCGAAGACAAACATGAACTTTGACCTTTGCTGATTTCTCCGGCCGAAGTCTCGTTTTGGCGCGCGAAATCGTGATGAAATCACGCCTTTGGCCATGAAAATCATCTATCTTTGGGGGTATAAAAGGCGGGGATTTCAGGTTTGATCCTCATTTGATGTTGCTTTTCTTATTTGGGCTAGTGTTTTGAGAGTTGGAGGTTTATTTCTGGGGTGTTTTTACTTTTTTCTCTGATTTTTTACAGTTTTTACTGTTTTCTTTATTTTTCTTGGAGTTTTTCCAGGTTTTTCTGGTTATTTCTTGACCGTTTTTAATTTTTTCTTGAGGTTTAGGTAATAAACTAGTACTTTTTTTTGACATTTTTCAGTTTCAAGACTATTTTGAACTTTTTCTAGTTATTTTATACTATTTTTGGTGATGTTTATAAATTTAAGTAACAAATTTGTAATTTCTTGGCTTTTAAATTTTTTTAGTTATTTTTTGGCTTTTTCTTGAGGTTTAGGTAATGAGCCAGCAATTCTTGGACCTTTTTCTAGTAATCTTTGACTATTTTTAGTAATTTTATAAGATTTTAGGTAACAAACTAGTGGTTTCTTGATAATTTTTGACCTTTTATGCCAATTTTTGACTTTTCTTGAAATTTAGGTATGAAGCCAGCTATTTTTTGGCCTTTTTGAGATTTTTCTAGTGATTTCTTGACCGTTCTTCTCTTTTTCTAGTTACTTTCTGACCGTTTTTGATGTTTTCTATTGGGAAGATGAGGTAATTCCCCCTCGGCTTTTTGTATTGTTAAGTCGATGAGAAGTACCTCACCTGTCTGATGGCTAAACTGTTTTATGTTCTAAATTTAGTCTTTTAGTACTATCTTTTGATGCTATATTATCCTACAATATTTTTAACGCTACTGTATATTCTACAGTATTTTTAATGCTACTCTACAGTATTTTTATATCTATGCTTATTGTCACTTGAGTATACCTTGGTGGTTGTGGTTTTGACAAATCACCGGGGATATTCGAGCGATGATGAATGGATTCTGGCTTTTACTTGGCCGTGCCTACGATATTCTATAGATTTCTATAGTATTTTACTACTCATTGGTACCATATCTACCCTATATTTACTAATTGGTACCGTTTTTACCTTGGTACTATTTACTTTTTTAGTACTAGTATCATTCAATCTTATTTTACAAGATTTCTGGTATTTTGTTACCTAACTTTTTATTCTACATAACCTACTACTGCTATATTCTACTTATTACTACTATATTTTACTTCCTACTGCTACAGTTCTACTTACTACTATATTCCACTACAGAATGAGTTATTATTATAAAATTTACTAAAGTATTGTTCTACAACAGCTACATATTCAGTGTTCTAAAGCCTTACCGTGAGCACGGTCAACAACCCGTACCCCTTGTCCGTGTTCTGAGATTTTTGCTAGAATGGACTAGGTACGGGTATAATGACTGTGTCTCTACGATTACATACTGTTTCTACTGTTCTTTGGTACTGTTACCTACAGTATTCAATGTTATTACCTGTCTTGTTCTACTCTTACCTAAGGTTATTTTCGATTACATGGTTCTACTCTACTACTGACTACAATATTTCATTTACAGTATTTATGTGGTTTTATCTACAATATTATTCTTCTACTACTTAATTGTATACTATTATGTTGGTATCTACAGTACCAAGTTTTTCGAAATCCAGAATTTTTTGACTAAGTACTGCGAGCGTTTTTGAATATGAAAAGCTAGCTTTATTTTTTCAAAAAATTTGTTTTTTGAAATTTGAAACATTTTTAATAGATAAGCTCTATCTGTTCTACCCAGGGTTGGATTTTGGGTGTGGTGGTCTATTTTTGCACTGGGGAGGGTATATTTCGAAAACTGGCTTAAAGGGCAGGGTGTTTTTTGTAAATTCCCTTGGAGAGCAGGGTATACTTGAAAAGTTGTATTAAAGGGCAGGATGTTTTTTGAATTTTTTTATAGGGCAGGGTAAAACTAAACAGATCATGGTTTTGTGTCTTGTTACATTGATAATGACGTTGTTAGGGTTTGTAATGCCTTGCTTCAGGTTAGGTACTACAGGGTGGGGTAATTTTAAAAAATTAAAAGTTTTGAAAAGGGCAGGGCACTCAGTACCAATATTTTTTGTCTAAGTTTGACTTCTACTCTAACCTACCCTGCCGTATCTTGTCCTTTCTTATCCTGTCGTATTTTACTTGGTCTTTTCTCCTGTCCTCCCTTCCTCTCACACCCAGGAATTTTTTCCCTATCCTGACTAATATAAACTATACTACCGTACAAAAAGGCATAAAATACTGTTCTAACCCTCCGAATCAAGACGAGAACACAAATGTTATAGATAGTATAACCACAAGTAATCCAATCAATCTACCCTTAATCCCGCCATAACGACACCCGCATTCAACGAAAGGCCCGGGGGGCTTACTTTTCATGAACCTCAACGTGGGTATACCTGTGTTTCCGTTCGATCGAAATGGAAACTTTTGTTCGAATATTGATTTTTTGCACTTTAATGAGTTATGTCGCCGGTAGGTTACTGTAAAATGGTCTAATTTATTTTTTTTACTTTACGAATTTTTGATATCTTTTTGGGTTCAAATAATTATGTGCTCTTTAAGCCCTATAGATTTCTTTGAGAGGGGCACAGGAGTATTTGAACAATTTAACATTCTTTTATTTTGAAATTTTTTTAGGCTTATTTAAAAATTATTTAAATCAAGAATGCTGTTTTTTACTTGCTTTTTTAAACCTACTGTAACATTTTTTGCAATATTTTTTTTATTTTATAATTCTTTGGATTGTATGTTACAGCACTTGATCTGGGAGGTTTATTTGGCTTTGGTGACTCTTCAGAATCGGCAGAAGATTCGGCCGAAACAGGACCAACAGAAGCCTACACAGCAGCGTTCTTCTCCACAGAAGGTAGGCAAGCTTGGAATAAAATTAAATGATTTTAGTCAATTTTAATGTTTATAACATTTAAAAAAGTATTTTTTATTTTTTTCAAAAAACATTTTTGTAATTTTATAGGAAGTGCAGAATCATCTGGTACAGATATTTACACTGCCGCGGTTTTTTCAACTGAAGGTAATGTTTATAAGATTTCTTTTTAACGCAATGAAGGTATACTTTTTGTATCTATTAGAAACTTTACTCCACATTTTATTAGTCCTGGGGGCGGAAACCAAAAAATGTTTTTTGGTTTACCAATTTTTTGGTTTAGCCTGTTTGCCATTTCCTATCATCTTTCAAAAATTATATGCTTAATCTAAATCTTAATCTTTGGTTGATTTTTACATTGTTCTACTATAATATGTTCTTATGGTTTTGATTTTTACAGGCAGTGCTGAATCTTCTGGAACAACCGATAACGCAGGTAAGCCATTTTCAAATATTAGGTTGAACTAAAGAGAGCGGGACACTTTTAGCTAAAAAAACAAATTAAAAGTGTCCCGCTAGTTTTGGTTCAACCTAATATAGTGATACTGCTGTATAACTAACTTTAAACTATTATAACGAAGCAATTTAAAGATTGATTTTGTTAAACAGGAGTCTCACTTTAATTTTTAACTGTAATATACCAAAATATGACGGGATTTATAGAAAAATCACATTTTTGCGTAGTTTTATTGTTTTTGAAGTAAACTGTCAATCGATTATTTTATTATATAAACGATTCTTAATAAACTTTACATGTAAAAGAATTGATTAAAAGATGTTATTTTAAGAAACAACAACGGCAGAAGATTCTACAGGCCAATATACAGCTGCATTCTTCTCAACTGAAGGTACGATTTTACTTTATTTGCCATAGCTTTAATATCAAATATTTTACATTTACAACGTGTTCAAAAGGATTAAAAGCTCAATGTATGCAGTTATATGTAGGTACAACAACTTTAATATATCTAATTGACTGTTCATCTTTCAGGAAGTGCAGAATCTTCAGGAACGTCAGATGTGAGCGGTAAGTTCTATTCTTAAATGTTTTGGGTATTTACCGTGTTTTTTCTGTCGATTTTTAATGGTTTTTTTATAATATGATGTTAATATACAAGTTTATTTTCCTAATTTTATGACAATTTAAAGCGAATTTACATTACAAAGTAATGGAAAGTAAAAATCTATGTTATAGTAGTAAATACCATAAGATATATTACTGTGGTAATTATAATAGAATAAGCTATAAATATTACAATAGTAAATACGACTTACAGTAGAAAACACAATATTTTATGTTATAGTAATCAATGTGTAGTAGAGTTCAAATGTAAAAACTGAGAGAGCAACTATGACCCGTATGGACTGTCTATAATAATATAGAGTTAAATGACTAGTTTGTTCTGTATATCTTGAATAGTGGGTGAGTAAGACATTTATATGAAAAGTCATGGTAATGTTAGGTATGACATATAAAAAATTACAGTATATTTATACTGTAACTCAAAAAAAGTTACAGTGTCCTTATATTGTACTTCAATAAAGTTACACAGTAACTTTTTACTATACTCAAAAAAAGCTACAGTATCACAAGTCAACAATGAGATCAGACTGTAACACCGGTTTGTAAGCGAATGGCATGACTCTCTTGCTTAAAATGGCACAAAATCTCAAAACCAAAAAAGCGGTCAGACTGGCGAGTACAATGAAAACTGTCAGAATTCCCATAAAATTGAGTAAAAGTGGTGTGAACCGGTCCTCATCCGAACTGTCTTGACAGAAGCGAGCGCTTTCCACATAGGCCCGGAGGGGGTGTTGCCAGTTGTCCGAGAAACAGTAGTATTCACTTCGGTCCTGAAATTTGAAAGCGATTGTTAATGTTTTGTAAGAGTAGGGCTGAGCTAGTTATTTTGATAATAGTGCAAGGTGGATTGCGTTGAGAATAGAGCAAGGTAAAATAAAATATTGTGAGAGTAAAGCTAGGTATATTATTGTAGAGTAGAATACGGTATTGTAGCTTTCAGTATCTTACAGGCCAGAGCTACTGTATAGTTTAAAAACAGCATTACACATTTTTTGAGAAGACAAGCTTTAAGACAAGGTAGGCTAGAGATTAAAAAAGGCGTTTTAGGTTAAGCACCTTTTAAAGACGGAGTTACAGTAGGGCTTGGGTGAAGTTTTAAAATTTTTTATAAGGTAGGGCTACGGCAAGGTTAAAGTATTGCAAGATAAAGCAGAGTAGAATAAGGTAGGGTAAGGTATACTAGGCTAAGGTAAGGCGGATTAACTAAGGTAGGGTCAGACAGTGTAGAGTAAGGTAGGACAGGGTAGGGAAGGGAAGTGTAGGGTAAAAAACATGTTTTTTGAAGTCACTTTTTGTAGTAGTTTTATTATTGAATTACAGTAATATCACCTATTTTTACTCAAAATATTATTAGCCTAATGAAATTAGCTTCATCTTTCTGGCTATGTAAACAAAAATAATATAATAACTGTCATTTTTCATAAAATAAAAAAATATTTTTCTAAATTTTAAAAAATTTAATTTTTAAACTGTGCTTTGAATGTATTTTATAAATATGTTATCTAATTTCACTTGAAAATAGCCATAGATAGTGTTTGTAACATATCAAACGGATAGTAATATTATATGTATGAAAGTGGTTTTTACCCGGATGATATGACAGATGACATTAAAAACGTGTCATTTTAATGACTAAAAGGCATGTTAGTACATTTTTATGTACATAACATGTTTTTGAGTATTTTATATGAAAAAGTTGCTTAAAATTAAAGTTTTAGTAGTGATAATCAGATAAAATTTTAAAAATTTTAAAAATTTCAAAAAAATTATAGAAAGTTTATGTTTTCAAGCCTAAATCAATTTGTTTTGGGCTAAAAATGCATTTTTTGAAAATTTTATTGACCTGAAAAATAAAAAAAAGCTGAGTGGGCAAGGGTAAGGGTGTATTGTTAAGAAAGATAGTAGAGTAGGAATAAGGCAGAGGTAACTGTCTGGTAACAAAATTCTAGTATAGAGTAAAGGTAGAGCTAGAAAAGATGGGGTTAACTATAAGATAGGGTAGAGAAACAAAGAGGGAGGGGCGGAATTTCATGAACGGATTTTCAGACTTTGCAATCTTTCATAAGGTAAGGCAATATCTAGGTATGGTTACGCACAGTAAGGTAAGGAGGGTAGGGTAAAGTAGAGCAAGGTAGGACAAGATGGGGCAAGATAGGATATGCTAGGATAGGGTAGGGTAGAGTAGGGTAGGGTAGGGTAGGGTAGGGTAGGGTAGGGTAGGGTAGGGTAGGGTAGGGTAGGGTAGGGTAGGGTAGAATAGAGTAGGGTAGGGTAAATTCTTAAAATTTAATTTTAAATTCTTTTTGTTTACTTTTAAGAATGTTGTGTCTACCCCATCTATCAACCCAATTACTCACCGTATAACCAGCCTGATGTTCCAAAACCGGGGATAATAAGGCCAATGAGCAGTCGCATTTCAATGGATTTCTGGCCAGATCCAATTCCTTTAAGCATGTGAACTGACTTTCTGTGAAATTGCCCAACAAATGAATGAAATTGCCTCGGGCACTCAGACTCATTAGGCAGTCTGGGAGTCGCGCACCGTCCAAAAACCCAATACTATTCGAATCCAGCCTCAATGACCTGAGGTGTTTGAGATGGCCGAGCTCGGGCACCTCTTTTAGGCCCATGTTCGCGAGATCTAGTTCCATGAGTTGGGTAGCGTGTCGTAGAGTCGAGGATTCCCAATCGATCATCATGTTTGAAGGGTTACCTGCCAGATGAAGGCGTTGTAGACTTGGCAGCGATATCCAGAAGCTATTGTCAATCATGTTCAAGTTGTTGCCACTCAAGTCCAACACGGCCAGCGATGGTAATATTGGAGGCTTGAACTCTTCCAGGTAGTTGTCACTCAAGTTCAAGCTTCTCAGCTTCAACTCCATAGTTGGCATAGCAGCCTGAGGCAATAAAGTCAGTCGATTGTTTGACAAGTCCAGTATCTCGAGTTGAGGTAGAGAATGTAGAGCATGAGCTGGCACTTGATCCATCAGGTTGTCGCTCAAACTCAAGTACGTGAGTCGACTGAAGGGAATGGCATCTTGACCTGTAGGCAGTGGCCAGCTTTGGATCTTATTTCCTCTGAGGTGAATGCCAACCAAAGCATGCGACTTGACCTCAGCCTTCTCCAAGTTGTTTCTCTCAGCGTACAGCCATTGGAGGTTTGAACATTTAGGTAACACTTTGAGCGATGATATACCTATTCCACTAATGTCAAGCCATTCCAACGCTGGTGCACAGAATCTCCATTCTCGGATCTGCATTTCGAATCGAGCATCGTTCAGGTCAAGATGACGAACTTGATTGGCTGGAGAGTCGAGCCACGTTAAGATACCATCAGATAAGGGACAGCCGGCTAAGCGCAGCGAACTGAGGTTGGCGAGAGAGTTGAAGGAGCTGGGGTGAAGATGAATCTTGTGGTTTTCTGACAGGTCGAGAGAATGCATGACCTCCCAGATTGGAGGTGAGAGGCGTAGAGAGCGGCAGGCTTCTTGAAGGCATAGAGGTGAGTCCTGGAAGACCACATGACTCTGATTGACATGCATAATATTCGTGTTAGCCAAGTTCAACTGCCTAGTCCGTGGCCAGGGATGCACCGAGCTCTCCGACTTCCCCAATTTGATCGGATTTCCTTCAAGATGAAGTTGTTCCAGAATCAAACCCTCAGGCAACGACCATTCCAATTCGTCCAGATTGTTGATTTTGTTGCGTGCCAAGTTGACGATGCGAAGATGGGTGAGGCGTCGGAACAGGGTCTCGGGCAGAGCTTCGATTTCATTGTCAGTCAAATGAACCGTCTCTAAATTGGGTAACGGGATGAACGAAAGCGGATGCAAATGCTTGAGGTGGCATTTGTTGATGCGCAAAACCTGGAAGTGACGTTTTATTGTTAGGTTGACATCAGGCTTAGTAAACTATGTTTGTTAAAGTAGCATAAGCTCAGTAAGATAATTTAGTTAACGTAGATTAGGGTAAGTATAACGTATGTTAGAGTTTTTTTCTTTCAAAAAATAAATGTTTTAACCGTCAAATCGCTATTGACATTTCGCCACCTTTTTGGAAAATCAATTTTGACATTTCATTTGATATTAAAAATTTTTTTAAAATTATCAGTGTTATCAAAAGAAGCAATATACCAAAGAAAATGTTCTAAAAACTTTAATCAATATTGACATTTTGGTACCCTTTCAAAAAAATCTATAGTGACATTTCGTCAATATTTTTAAAACGTTGTTTTTGTAAACAAAGTTTTAGAAGATTTAATATGATCACCTATAGCTGTCGTATTTTACTTTTAAATTTTTTACCATTAAAAAGCACTATATTACCCTGCCCTAAAATTCCTTACTTTACATCACCCTACCCTACATACCTTCAAACCAGGATGATAGGTAAAGTGTGGAAACTCGGGAACTGACACATTATAGGCGTGGAAGATCTCGGCCCATTGTGGCAAAATCAGCGTTTTCAGTCGTAGCTTAGCCGAGGCACAAGTCACTGTCAACGTGTGTTTGTCACAGAGACAGTAGCGGCATACTGTAGCTTCGGGTAGTAGTCGTGAGGTGAGGTGGTCAATATTGTCATCATTTAGTCTTACTGGAAAGTCAGGTGATAACCAAGGTTGAGAGTCGACTTTTGGCGCTGATAAGGTCAACAGTAAAGTTGTTATCACCAGTGACATAAGAAAGGATTTGGCATCAGGTCGTACTGTAGAAGTATGTACTGTAGAAGTTGCTGATATACCAGTTACCGTACTTAAAATAGTAAAAGGTAGTGTTAACACGGAGCCTGGTATCATCAGAACAGATGCCAACTCACGAGCTGGCATTGTTATCACCCCCGACTTGTCGAGATGGTTAACGCTGAAAAGGCGTCGAAAATCTTCGTGACGTCTCTCGGGGATTCTGAAGACGCCTTTTTGGCACCTCACATTCAAAATTTGTTTTGACAAAGTGTTGACTAGCTGAAAAGGGAAAAGAATGGTTATAATATGGGATCAACAAGAAAGGGCACGGCCATTATTACAGTACAGACGAGTGTTATCATGCACGAAAAAGATAGGGTTGCTAGGTTGAGGGCAACTAAAATGTGAATGGTTTTAAGAGAGGGCTTGGGTTATGGTGTAAGAGGGAGGGGGTAAGGGAAGGAGGGGGGGGGGGAGAAGGGTGGTTTAGATAGCGTTTAGATAGCGGTAATGGGAGGGGGGGAAGGGAGGGAATGGCCGGAAACCTAACTCAGAGCCCTAGCTTAAGCCTACTGTGTCTTACCCACCCTGCTACGCTACAATACACTTCTTTATTCCACCCCATTTCTTTGCACTACCCTGTTTCTTTACCCCGCCTCTTTATCTCAACAACGTTAGCCTTAGCATTAGACCAAATTGAATTGTAGGTCTATTTTCATATTAAACCTACTATTTTTACACTACCTTATCCTGCAATACCCTTCTTTACTCCCCCCCCTTCTCCCCCCCCTTCTCCCCCCCCTTCTCCCCCAACCCCAACTTTTTTATTTTACCCCTTGCTCAAAATCAGCTTATCATAGCCTTAAATCACAAATATCCCCCCTACCAGCATAAACTATTCGCAACCCATAATAATCGAAGCCATATATCAAACACCACGCCCAAAAACAAATGCCATAAAAACGTTTGTACGACACGGCGAGAACGTCGTAACGTCCGAAGTAAATCAACAAAGTGCTGCTGTTTAAACGGGCCTCGGGCCATATAAAACTCAATTCTTCATTTGGGCAAGGCGCAAAACTCCAAATGAGCCGAATCGAACAGCGGACTTTTGGCAGGGCGTGGTAATCGAATTTACAGCCGCACAAATCATATTGCCAAAAGTTGAGTTAACAACCCGGCCGGCTAGCGGAGGCCGATATTTTTAGAATTTAGCTGGGAAAGATAAAGACAAGAACACTGTAGATATGATTGTATTACTGTAAGTAGAGGGTTTTTTCTATCGGACTTTGCGTATCATAAACAGCATTTCTGCCTCAGTCTGAGGGTGAGTTTTAGTCTTAGCCTTAGTCTGAGCTTTAAAATTAGCCTTAGTGTTAGTTCTACCTTAGTCCAGTTTAGCTAGAGCTTCAGCTTGGGTGCGAGCTTGAGATTAAGCCTGAGCTTGAGCCTAAGCTTGAGCTTGAGCTTTGGTTTGAACTTGAGCTTATGTATGAGCACAAGTCTAAGCTTGAGCCTGAGCTTGAGCTTCAGCCTAAACTTGAGCTTGAGTATGAGCACGAGTTTGAGCTTGAGCTTAAGTCTGAGCTCGAGATTAAATTTGAGATTATCAGCTTGTGAGCTTGAGTTTGAGTTTGAGCCTGAGCTTGAGTTGAGCCTGAGGATCACCCAGAGCGTTAGTTTCAGCATGAGAATAAGCCTGAGTTTGAGCTTAAGCCTTAATCTTAGTTTTAGCATGAACCTTAATAATAGCACCAACCCTAAATCTTAAAAAGCTTAGTTCGTTTGTAGCCTAAGCCTAGCCTTATTTACAAGAACGTTTTACTCTTTAAAACCTGTAAAAAAGCAGTAAAGAAATATTTATTACAGATAAGGGTTTTCGTATTTTACAATATCTAGAAGTATTGCCTGGCCTATTTCCTTGTTTGAAAAAATATGTCAAAAACACTTGTTAAAAGTGCAATTTAAACCAGCCTTTGTACTTTAACAAGTCAAAACAATAAATTTGGTTTTTTCGAAACAACCCTTTTTGTGTTGGCACTTAACGAACTCAGCTTTAATTAATTTCCATGGCATAAAAAATATTAAAGTCGTAAAAAGGACCTTCTATTTTGACAATTTATTTGTGTGAAAGTGGCGACATTAATGTAAACAAGTGGAACGGCATTATTATAATTAAGGCTGTAACAAGGAAGATTATTATGAAAGTATAATATTAGGTTTTTACATAATTTTGTGTTCCTTAGCACAGATAGGTGTTATTTATTAGTTAAAGCGGCGGGTTTAAAAAATACGAAAAGGGCGAATGATTTCAGGGAAGAGGGGGAGAAAAGAGACAAAAAAAATTTTTTTAAGGCAGGGAATAAAGCTAATGCTAGAGTCAGAACTTGAGCTATATTTAAGGTTAGAGCGAGCTATTGCTAGGTCTAGAGCTAGAGCTAAAGCTAGAGATAGAGCAAGAGCTAGGGCTAAGGCAATGCCTAGGAGTTGGGCAAGAGCTAAGGCTAGAGCTGAGGTACATCTACGGTATGGCAAAAGCTGAGATAAGGATATTAAATAGATTTATAAAGAAACCTACAAGAAAGGCGTAGATAAATTTTTAATTTATTTTTAAATTTTTTGCTGATTATATTAACCATGCTTTTTAAATTAAAATCCTTACTCAAAGCTTCAGGATCACGCAATGCTAATGAAAAAAAAAGTTTTCTTTTAGTATAAAAATGCTTTTTTTTATCACTTAAATCTATTTTTAAATAGTCCTTAAATTAGTATTACAATACCCATGTTAATGAACATACCTATAAGAAGCAAGCAAATGTTAGACAATACTAAAATAATTTTAAACTAAAAGACAAATAGTACTAGCAAATATGATACAGTAGAAGCCTAGCCCATAACTCAAGAGTAGCAAAATTTAAATTTTTAAAACTTTTATGATAAGAACGTACTTCCACTATAACTATAATGTGAACACAAACAGTAAAAAGTGTTGACAAAGTCCACATACAATAAAAAGTGTCGTCAAACCCCACTTACAGTAAAAAGTGTTGTCAACATTATAACCACTTTCCCTCTATTTTGAATTCCGTACAACAATAAAGCCCCAAATCTAATCAACTAACCCAAAAGACCATTGAGTAGGGCCCGGATTCGGAGCAAAGAAGCCTGAATAGAAGCCAAACAAGGGGATGTCACCGTGAACAACACAAAAGTCGGGGCATAAAGGCAGCGACACGCGATCCGAGTGACCCACTACAACATTTTTTGTCCCGAAATTAGTGCAAAGTCGGGTGAAAATGCCCGGAAGCCGAAGGACCTTTGGCCCAAAAGTTGGCTGGGAAAGTGCTTCAGGCGAAAAGTGCGTTAAAAGGTAACAAATCTTGTCGGGCGAGGGTTTTTGAGGTTAGGTGAGAAAAATATATTGCTAGATTTAGCCTTATCTGAGAGGGCTAGAGCTCTAGGGCTAACGCTTGTAAAGAGGCGGAGTGGGATAAAAAGGTAGAGTAGGTTGAGGAGGTGGAGTGGAGGTAAAGAAAGGCAATGTAGAAAAGATCAGACATAAGCTAGGGCTAAGTCAGTGAACGCGGGCTCTAGGCGAAGGCTCTAAGCTAAGGCCTTAGGCTAGAGCTTTAGGCTAGGATTCTTAGCTAGGACTCTGGGTTAAGGCTTTGGGCTAAGGCTTTGAGCTAGGGCTCTGGGTTAGGGCTCGAAATTAGGGCTCTGGGCTAGGGCTCTGGGCTAGGACTTTGGGCTAGAGTTAAAGCAGACTAAAAATAAAAAGCTTTGTAGACTTTGCAGGCTACATAAATAACGTGAGAAAGATGGTCTTTTACAATGGCGGGCTCTCGAAAAACTTTTTGAATCTGAAACTTCAAACCAGTCGTAAGAAAAGGCAAATTTTGAACAAACTTGAATTTTAAAAGGAGATTTAAAAGAGTTTTTAAGAATTGTAGGAATAAAAATCTAAGGTTTTAACCTCAACAATAAAAATTTTTTTTTTAAATTTTTAAATAAAAAGACATTTTTTAACCAAAAAACATCATGTGTTTAATTCCAATAAATGACGTATAGATAAAGAGAGTTTATAAAGGCAACAATTAGTCATAAGAAGTGAGTCATTAACAGTTTAGGTAAACACATTTATCTATCACATACATATAATAAAAATGAAAAATGTACAACAACATGATGGGAAAAATATTTTTAAAAAATGAAAAACATGTTTTATTACTCTACCCTACCTCGTCCTATCTTACCCTGCGCTACCGTTTGTTACTCTCACATTCTTTCACCCTGCTCTACATTTCCTTTCTCTGCCTTATCTTTTTCTACCCTGCTATAACTTTTTCTATCCTGACTTACATTTTTCTACTCTGCCTTTCTTTCACCTACCTACCTACCTTTCCTTTCTTTTTTCTATTCTGTCCTACATTTTTCTGTCCTGCCAAACTTTTTTTCTACTCTGCTTTACCTTTTCCTACCATTCCTTACTTTTTCCTACTTTGTATTCTTTTTTTTCACCCTGCCCTACTTCTTTTCTGCATTTGTTTTGCTTTACCCTACTTTTTTGCATTGCCTTACTTTTTCCTACCTTGCTTTACATTTTCCTGACCAGCCTTAAATTTTTTAGCTATGTCATATATTATTCTACTGTGCCCGACATTTTTCTGCGTTTTCCTATTTTCTCTTACTCTCTCTTACCGTTTTCTACCCTGCCGTACTTTTTCTCACCTTGCTTTATCTTGTTCTACCCTATCTTTTCCTCACTTTACCTAAAATCTAACTCTAAAAAATTTAAAAACTATGAAGAATGCGCTAAAAATAACTACAAAGCCAAACATCCGGCTTCCTTACAAGGCCAATTCCGCAAACTTTATGCAAATGCAAGACAAATCTTTTAAGACGACTTGGCCATATCTCAAAACAAGTCTCGTTATGGGGCCACAAAAAAAAACACACACAGTGGTGTCCGAAACGTAATTACACGAGACACATTCATCATGGAATTGCATTCGCTTCAAAAAGATTAAATTGACAGAAAAAACACGAAAAAGTATTCATAATTCCCCTAATCCGGCCATAATTTATTACCGTTTCAGAGGCCACGACTGTTGGGGGTAAGTTTGAGCGATTCGTATACGATACGCAGTGTCAGATGGGCAATCATGTGTAGCATTTAGGTAGTAGTGGGTCCTCGCCCGATTCGACGGATTCTTCTGGAAAGGCTACGGACTCTACGGATTCATCTGGGGCTAGTACTGATTCTAGTGGTGCTACTGATTCTTCTGGAGCCAGTACTGACTCTACCGACTCTTCTGGAGCCAGTACTGATTCTAGTGGAGCTACTGAGTCTTCTGATTCTACAGATTCTTCTGGAGAATCTACAGATTCTACTAACAATAGCGATAGCACGGACTCTACTGACTCTTCTGGGGCTAGTACTGACTTTAGTGGAGCTACTGAGTCTTCGGATTCTACAGATTCGTCTGGAGAGTCTACTGACTCTACAGACACTTCTGGAGCCAGTACGGATTCTAATGGAGAATCAACGGATTCTAGCGGTGTTACAGAGTCTTCAGACTCCACGGATACCTCTGGTAACATATTTTTATTTTTTAACTTGTTTTAGCTTTAAAAAATTTATTAAATATTTTAAAATTTTAAAATTTTTTAAAAAAATATTATATTTTTAAAAATTTTAAGGTTCAGGCGACTCAACTGACTCATCAGGCAATTCAGCAACCCCAGCTGACGTTACTGGCTACACAGGCATAGAATCTGGTTCAGAAGCCACTCAATCATCAGACAGCACTGACTCCAGTGGCGACAGTACGGACTCGACAAGTTCTGGGGAAGATACTGAAGCTACAGAAGAAACAGGAAGTGGAGAATCAACATCAAGTGGGTCTGAAGCTACAGGAGAGCCAGTGTCTTCTAGTGGATCTGAAGCCACAGAAGAACTATCGTCAGGTTCAGATGCTACAGAAGAACCATCATCAGATTCAGACGCTACAGAAGAACCAGTATCGTCAAGTGGATCAGAAGCAACAGCAGCATCAGCACAATCTGAAGAGCCAACTGGTGCTTCTGGTACAGTAACTGGATCTAGTGGAGATGATGTTGCTACTACTGATAGTTCTAGTGGATTAGAAACAGAAGGATCTGCTACAAAAGAGGCTGTAACAATAGCATCTGAAGCAACATATGAAACAGAAAGTGCATCTGAAGTCAGCGCTTCAGGACAAGCTACACAAGCCGTCAGTTCATCTGGAGAAGTTTCCGAAGCTGTCAGCAGCTCAGGAGAAGTAACAGAAGCTGTTAGTTCATCAGGCTTGGTTACAGAGAGCGCTACAGAAGCTGTAAGCGCTTCAGGAGAAGAAACTGATGTTGCTACTGAAGGCACAGAAGTGGCTACACAAGGAACAGAAATAGTTACTGACGTCAGCGCTTCTAGAGACGTTACGGAAGCTTTTAGTTCATCAGGAGAAGAAACAGAAGCTGTAAGTGCATCAGGTGAAGTAACAGAAGGTTTTGTCACAAACGAAGCTACTGAAGAAGCAACTGGAGCTGTTAGTGCTTCTGGGGAGGCTACTGAAGACGCTACTCGAGCTGTCAGTTCATCTGGAGAAGCTACAGAAGAAGCTGGTGCTTCAGGAGAAGTTACTCAAGATATGGCTTCTGGAGCAGCAACGGAAGAAGCCACGGAAGCCATCAGTGCATCAGGAGAAGCCACAGAAGCAGTTAGCGAAGTCGCAACTCAAGTCAACGATGTTACACAAGACAGTGCTACAGATGAAGCTACAGGAGCAGGTGTTACAGAAGCACTAACAGAAGTAGCAACAAATGAAGCTACAAACGATGGTGCAACTACAGAAGTCAACGAAGTAACAGAAATTGAAGAAGTCACAGAATACGTCAGCAATGCAGAAGAAGTTGTCACGAAACCAGTACGTGTCGTATCCAAGAAGTCAACCACACCACACATCAGATGGAAAACAACAATCATCTACAAGAACCGTACTCGACCTACCATAGCCTGGAATGACTATGGCTACACTCCAACTGACGGTGTTCAAGTTGTGAGTGAAGTCGTCACAGAAGCCGAGCCAGCCTTGACTTCAGAAGCCGTGACGGCTGCGGATGATGTAACTGAAGTTAGAATAGTAACTAGAGAACTAACTAAACTAACTACTGAAGAATACCCCAAGTTGACGGCAGAAGCTGATGACGTTACAGAAGTGAATGAAGTGACAGAAGAGTTGACAGACGACCCTAACGGTGTAGAATACCCAGAATTGACTACTGGACATCCAGAAGAAGTAACGGGCGTTGACGATCTGGTAGAGGATGATGACTCTAGTGGGGATGAGTATGATTACTGTAAGTCGTTGACTAGACTAAAGTTTTTATTTGGGTAGGATAGGGTAAGGTAGGGTAGGGTAGGGTAGGGTAGGGCAGGGTAGGGTAGGGTAGGGTAGGGTAGGGTAGGGTAGGGTAGGGTAGGGTAGGGTAGGGTAGGGTAGGGTAGGGTAGGGTAGGGTAGGGTAGGGTAGGGTAGGGTAGGGTAGGGTAGGGTATGTAATAATTTTTCTTTTCAGCTGACCTCTGTCCCAACGGCTACCGTGAAGAATCCCAAAGTGTGCTTCCATCCTCGATCACTGCCGGCTCCGAAGCCGGTTACGTGAACTACGACTCAGATTGCCGCGACTTATGCGACGAACAACGGAATACGACCTGTGTTGGTTTCATGTTCCAGCCAGAAACAAACGGAAAATGCACTTTGTTTGCGTACAAGTTTAACGGTTTTACGGTCAGCAATGAGACATACGCCTCGTTGTGGTTCAAATGTTAATTCTTAATCAGTGCGAATAAATACGTAGTAATGGTTTTTGAAATGCAAATTTCCTTATTTAAAATTTTAAAATTTTTTTTAGTTTTGTATACTTTACTTTACCCTTTCTTACCGTACCGTACTTTACCCTACCCTACCCTACCCTACCCTACTTTACCCTACTCTACCCTACCCTACCCTACTTTACCCTATCCTACCCTACCCTACCCTACCCTACCCCACTTTAAAAAGTAAGTTAGTTAGAGAACTTACAGTAAGCATATTCATCCCCACTAGAGTCATCATCCTCTGCCAGATCATCAACAAGGGTAGTTTACACCGTTAGGGTCTTATGTCAACTTTCATTCAAATCAGTACTTTACTCTACCCTACTTTGTAATATTTTAAAATACCCTACCCAAAATTACTGCCCGTAGTCTACCATACCCTGTTCTAACTTATCTTACTTTATCGTAACTACTCTACACTACAATGTTGTATGGTATCCTTTTCTTTCTATACTGAAACTTTACCAATCTATACCACTAAAACAAAAATTTGTCACAACGAATTGCGCCTCAATTTCTCATTCCCGTCGTCGCGGTATCTTGATCTCTTGCCTATATTAGGCGAATATACTTTAAATCGCATAAACCCGGGTAATGAGACCCTCCCCCCCCGCCCCTCCTCGCACTATGAATCAGTGACCTTTTCTGGAGGAGAGTGTCGCGCCCCTTATTTGACCGGTGCGTTATTCCAAAATTGAATAAAAAGTATGGGTTAGAGGTGTGGAGTTATTTATAATGGGAGAAGGGGGAGGGTAGACTATTTGAAAGAAATTTTCGAAACAACTTTTTTTTGCTTTGGGAGTTTTGTATCGAAAAAAAAAGATTTTTTGGGAAGGGTAGGGTGGGGTAAAAAATTTTTAAATAATTTGCTTTGGTAAGCCAAATTAAAAAAAAAATTTTGGGCGGGGTAAAATTTGAAAATTTTTTTTTGTTTAGTTTATTATTTTTAAAAAGAAGGTAGGGTAAAAACGCCTTTAAAAATTTTTAGTTTAGGTTAAAATACTTTTGTTAAAAAGTTTTTTTTTTGTTTGTTTTGTCGACAAAGATTACTTCGCTCAACACATATTTTTTTTTCCTACCTTTCCTTACAATTTATAAAATATGTTTCTACACAAAGTATTTTGTCTTTTTTCCGTCAAAAATGGTGTTTTTTCGAAAAGAAACAACGAAAACCACTAAAGTAGTGATCGAGGTAATTGCTCAGTGAAAGTTTAAAGTCGATTTTACGTTGTAAAAAAGAGTCGCTATAACGTTCGTCAAGGTCTCTTCTCGACTGTCCTTTCTCCGTTCTGTCCTTTTCTCAAGACTAGTGGCTCGGAATGGCATTTTTTGGGAAATTATTGATATATTAGGTGCCCATAAAGAACCCGCCATGTTTTACATGAAGTTGCAGGCACAGTATGGCGGGTTCTTTATGTCGACACTTAATATATCTAAGGATCCTGATATAAAGGTTGTTTTTGAGAATGATTTTGGCTATAACTTGTTTTAGGTAATGGTTATAAGTTGTTATACCTTATAAGATAGTTGTTTTCAAAAAGAAAAATATATTTATGTTGTAAAAAGAAAGAGAGATTCGTATTGCGACCATAAAAAGAAGCTCAAATTGTATTGTTACGGTCAAGAAAAAGGGCCGATCAGACGTTTTTTCACATTCTTCAGCTAATTTCAAAGTCGAAAAACCATTTTTTAAAATTTTTGCTTTGAATTTTCTTATAACATACTTTGGTCTATTAGAATAGTGCCCTAGCCCAGAGCCCTACCCATAGCCCTAGCCCAGAGCCCTAGCTCAGAGCCCTAGCCCAGAGCCATTGCCCAGAGCCTTAGCCCAGAACCATAGTCTAGAGCACTAGTCCAAAGCCCTAGTCTTAGCTGTTGCTCTAGCCTTAACCTTAGTTTTAGCACTAGTACTGGCCTTAGCTTGCCTTGCCTTGAACTAGACTTAGCTATTGCATTAGCTCGAATTTACCCTTAAAAAACTCTTATTTTTTTAAATCTACAAATCCTTTAAAAACCTTAATATAATACCTAGCTAACTCTATTGTCAAAACCGATTGATCCAATTGACATGTATATCCCTCCCTTGGTTGTTAACAATAAATTTTTTTGAAAAATCAGACAAAAGAAGTCATTCGTGACCATTTAAGCGTAACGTTTGACGTTAAAATCGACCCAAAAGTTGTGTTTGTTTTTAGTAAGTGATAGGTTGAGATGGCAGGGAGATAAGTACTTTTACTGAGTAAAAAATAATTTTAGTTTTGTTTAGGCTAAGATATAAATATTTGCATTCTTTTCGGTTCAACCTATTATTATATACGAGTTCTTTTATTATAGAGCCAGGGTTAAAGCTAGGGCTCGGAGATCGGGCTCTGGGCTAGGGCTCTGTGTTAAGACTAGGCTAATAAAATCATTTTTAATACTAATTTCTCATCAAACATCTAATTGAAATGCCCTTTTCATTTAAAAAATCCAGGTTATGTCATCAAAATTTGTAAATTTCTCTCTTTTTTCAATCATTACCCCTCCCCACTCGATACCCTCTCATTTCCACGTCGATTTGACTGCCGCTCAAATTAATTGCGGTCATTGCCTTTTCGGTGTAGCTTACACTGTGTAATATATAGTGTTCATGTCGTGAAAAAGTGGTGGGGTTTGGTCTGTTTTTTAATTGTTAAAACAAAAAGAATTTTCCGTATTTTACCTTTATTTTTTGATATGCCTAACTATAAGAGTTAAACTTACATTATAGTTAAGGATAGAAAGGCAGGGCATTTGCTTAAAATTTTTTTTAAATGAATTAAAGACATAACGTGTTGAACTTCAGGTAATGCTAGTATTAAGGCAAAGACTACGGCTAAGGCTTGGGCAGGGCTTAACGTATTTTAAATCAAGGAATGTTTCAAAGAATTTCGCTTACTTAAAAACTTTGTAAGCGCATTTAAATGCGCGTTTTTTACGTGATTCACAAAGAATGCGACGTGTTCTTAAACTCGTATAACAATAAAACCTGGTACAAAACTTTTTCGACATTTTTTGTAACAAAATGTGTTTTATACGTTTAATGCGTATTTTACAAAGCAATGTTGAATTTGGTTTTATATTGGGTTACTGAACTTTTGAGATAAGAAATTTTTAGGTGAGACCTTTTATTGTAGTAGGTACTTTCAATTAATACGTTTAATAATAATTTTGTGCAAGGTACTTCGTATTGTACCTACAATTCACCCTACCCTACCCTGTTCTACCGTATTCCTTGCCTTAACTCTTTTACTTTACTCTTTCCTATCCTACCCGCCTTGCCTTATCTTATGACACTTTACCTCGCCCTGTTCTATTATTATACTACCATAAGCTTCAAGTAAAGACTATTATACTATGCCCGACTTACATTTACTATAGCCCTACCGTAATTATATTATATAGCAATAAAGACTATTTTAGTCAAACCCTTGTTTTGATTAAGGTGTTCTTTGACCAGTTCCCTTTATTCTAACCAAGCCTGGCCTAAATCCTTCAGTACTATACTGTTTTACAACGTTTCTATATACCGTTCTCTACCTTATGGTTTTATATTGTTATACCTTTAGTTAATACTTTTTCTTTCTAAACTGCCCTGTAAACCAACTTTTTCATCTTTTATTGCCTTTTCTTCCCCTGTTACTCTCTTTTCTCAAATTTCGTTAAAAGTAACCCAAAAAAGTAAAAAGTTCAAGAACCTTTCCCTTCCTCCATATGATTCTCGTTTCTTTCCGTGATCTGTTTATCATTGCGCACGAGAAAATAAACATTTTCAGACGAGAAGTGAAAGCAATCCCCGACTTCCTTTACATGCTCTAATGCGCCAAGTATTATGCGATTGGCCTTGATTTTGGCGAGTCTGGCACTGATCCGGGCCGAGATTTGGACCGAGGCCGATGAGTCGAGGAGGATTAACCAGGTATGGCAATTTCCGAAATTTAAAAATGATTGTTAGGTGTTTAAAAATGACAGAAAAGTCTTGTCATTGGTTCATAGAGCAGTAGGCTACCTTAACTCACCCTACTCTACTGTTCCCTTCCCTACCCTACATTATCCTGTCTATCCTACCATACCCTGGCTTGGCTCGGCTTGGCGTGGCTTGGCATCCATTGCCTTGTCTTGTCCTGCTCTGTCCTTTCCTGCCCTGCCCTGCTATGGCATGTACTGTCGTGTACAGTGTTTTGCCGGGCCCATCCGGTCCGGACCGAAAATTTTCCGGACCGAAAAAAAAGTTCCGGACCGGTCCGAAAAAAAAAATTTTTTTATTTTAATAAAACTGTTTTAAAAATTGCAAATAAAACATATTTTTAAGAGTTTTTAAACGTAAAGAAAGCAGTTTTAGCGCTCCTGGCTCTTTTTAAAAATAAAAAAAAAATTTTCCGGACCGGACCGGACCTGACCTTTTTGGTCCGGACCTGAGCGAAAAAAAATAGAGCCGGACCGGACCGAAAATTTTTCGGACCGGACCGGACCAAAAAAATTCTCATCCGGACCGGTCCGGCAAAACACTGGTCGTGTACTCCTCTGCCTTGCCGCTCCCTTCTCATCTCTTGTGCTGCCCTACGCCACTCTACCCCTATTGTTCTTTGTCCTAACCATTTTTCCTGTATCACCGTACTACTACCATACCTTACCTATACCCTACTATGTCTCCCGACCTATCAGAATTTTTTTAAAATTTACGTCCAAATTTAAAATTCCAAACCTAAGTCTCATTGACTGCCATTTTTACATAAACCCATCTACTGCCACTTTACATATTCCCATGTACCTTTTGCTGCTGCTCATTGTTATTTACTCGTCGATTTGTCACCCTCAATTTGTTTCCCGCTGTCCTTTTGTCGGATCGTAATTTATGCGTAAATCGGATGCTTCCAAAACATTCCGTCCGCTAACAATAAAGTCATGGAGGTAGAGACATGAGCAACGGGCCGGGCTGGGGCAAAATAAAGAATGGGCTGGGCTTAAAAATTGGGTCTGGCCAGTTTCTCATGGCTAAATAGGAGCTAGGGCCGATTTTGATTATAGTCCTAGCCCTAACCAAGCAAATTGAAAAAAATTTTAAATTTTATAAATTTTTGAAAAAACTGAAATTTTTAAAAATTTTTGAATTTTCAAATTTTTGAAAAAAAAACTCATTTTAAGGTCTCAAAAAAGTCTTGTCGCATTTTTAAAAGCTTCAAACCCTAGTATCTGCCATTTTATAACCATCCTCAATTAAAAAAATCTTTAATATGATTATTTTCTTAATTTAGGTATAAAATTGTAAAGGTTAATCCAATTTCCTGCGAACTTTCCAAGTTTGATCAATAAAAAACTTGAACTAATCGGTTTCCGCTTCAATGGCCCTTCAAATGAACACTTAAAATAGATTTTGAGTAAAAAAAATCTCAAAATATTGAAAAACAATCGTCTGGTCTCACAATACCGTTCTTATAACTATAATTAAAGCACAGTATTGATAAAATACAATATACGAACACTAAAAAGTTTTGTCGTGAATTTACATTGAATTACAGGCTAATAAACGACAAAACTTTTTGGACGGCAAACTATTGTTGCAGAATGTTTAAAAATCAATTTTTTAGATCAGAAAGACCCTCCTTTGTAATATTTTGTACCCTACTACTTTTTAAAACTTCAAAAAAAAATTTAACTGAAAATTAAGATAGCCCTACTTCAATATAAACCTAAACATGAACCTAACCTAAAACCATTTTCAGCTAAAACAAGAAGAAAGCCGAGCGTTCGAGCTGCAAATGCACGGTGCAAACCCATTCGCTGGTAACCCACAGAGTATTTACACCAGTGGCAGTGCTGGATATTCACCACGTTTCGGGTATGATCCTTATGTTGGGCCGGTTCATTATGAACGCAAAAGTAAGAGTTTACAATTTCATATGCTAATATTCAAAAATCAGCCTATAATTCAGCACAATATTCTTTATAGAATAACTTAGAAATTATCGAATTAGAAATCAACAGGTAAAGGTAATTACACAGGGGTTACAAGTTGCGAGACATGTACAAGAACAGGGGTAAAGCATGGAGGAATAACTAGATCAACAATCAAAACTTAACTTAATAATAAAACATTGAGCTAGGGAGGTACTAAATAAGGTTTGAATTGATCAAAATGTACCTAAAATACGACCTACTGATATGTAAAACAAAAAGAAATGGCTAAAACCACAAAAACTGGTGATAGATGTTGTTGTTTTACCTAAATGAGATCAACAAGTGTAGGAGTAAAGAAATTTCATAGAAATCACAACATAGTTTTTATGGATGACAGTAATTTTATAGTTTATGTACCTAAAACAATAACAATTCTTAAGTTTCTAAATCCAAACCAATGAAATATTCTTTGTTTTAGGCCTTAAACCCGTAAAAATCAATTTCAGTACCTAAAACAATATAAAACTGCGAATAAAACCAGTTTTAAAGTGAAATACACCTTTTTCTAAACAAAAATGACAAAATACAATAAATAACCATAACAAACTCAATAAACCTGTAAAAGATAACAAAATACCGTAAAACTAACAATCATCTCTCATAAGGCTCTCAATGTTCAAACCTAAGAGAGCAGAGGATGTTGAGGATCTGTGACAGAAGTGTTCAAGGTTTCAGAAGTCTCCGAAGTATTCAGATTCTCTTTAGCTGGAGATTCTTTTTCACCCTTCACCACTGTTTGAAGATTACTTTGTCCATTTTCTGGGTTCTGAGGCTCGTTTGGAGTTGAACCTTCCTCAATGACAAAATTGATGTAGGCACTGATTGTCGTGAATACCAGCACCTCAATCGGGCAAATTACACCACATACGGCAAAGAGATTGCGAATGTAGATCTTCTGACAGTTTGTGGACGTAAAGTTAGTAACAACGTGCATGCAATTGAATGCGAATGTAATTCCAACGGTGATTAACTGAAAAAAAGCTTATTATTAATGCCAAACTGTAAACTTCTCGGTAAATTTAGCTTTAAAACAACAACAAGACCCAAATGAAGCTACAACTTACCAAAGCACCTCGATACATGTTCAAATGTTGGACTTTTGGAACCAAAACTGAATAAAGAGCTCCAACTCTGATGCCAAAGGTTAATGCAAACAAAATAATGCGAAAGTTTGTCGCCACAAGCATGGCAGGAAATACAGCAACAACCAAGTCCACAAACGTCATAAAAATGGCCAAACTCTAAAAAACTTGATTAAACTTAACAATAAGGAGTTTTCATAAAATTATATTACACATGCCCAAAGATCAGGTTTTTCTTAGTTTAGGTCACATTTAATTAAAATAAAACCATTAGTTTAAGAAAACAGCTAAAGAAGACTATTATCTAACTGAAAATATAAAATTCACCTTATTTTATCAATTTAAACACTTTATCTCCATCAACATCTTGTACATCACCTAAACCAAGAAGACAAAATAAAGCATAAAACTTACTTTGATTGGAAGTCCAAAATAATAATGACGGCGAATGCGCTCCTGGCCAGTGGTCATGAGCACATTAAAAACAGTCCGAGCTTCATCTATGGCCATTTTTGATCTGAAAATAAGAAGAACATAAAAATCAGACGACTAAAATCACGTTTTTTGCACAAACTGTTGAAAACACCGCATGTTATAGCAAAAAGCACCATTATAAATATAGCATAAACACTATAGAATAGTTTTGATAAGAAAAAACGACGAAAAACAAGTGCTTTTTTACCAAAAATCATAAAATCCCGAGCTTGTTTACCAATTTTTTAGAAAAATAATTTTCCTGGCGAAACGCCAAAGCGTTTTCGTGGTGGAAGAGAGGTCTGAAGAAGGTAAAAGATAATTTAGATACCAAAGTTTCGTATTTTATTTTTGTAATATTTCAAAAGTCCATTCAATACCTAAAACCCTGGCAAAAAGAACGATTTTATTCTGACAGTTCTCTTTTTTCGCTTTTTTCTCACAGAAAGAAAAGCCAAACGTTCTCAAAAAAGACGTTCCTTGACAACAGCAACCTTGCGAGTGTAATAGTAATGTTAAGAACACTAAGTAGAACTATAAAATATAAATTTTTAACTGTAAATTGATAATAAAAGGCAATTATCTGATAATAATGACCAGAAACCCTAAAATAATGTTTTAAATCTCAATGATTGCCACCTGAAACCTTTAAATTTCAGTGCCAACAACGTTCCGCTCTCTACCTCAACGTTCCCAACAATCCCCATCAGATTTGGAGTTGTCACCAGCTTCGGTCGATATAAAAACGACCAAAAACTGGTGTTTCACCTGCATGACACCATGGTCAGCGATGAGTTCAGATATGCAGAAAGTGATCCATAACCTGTTGGATATCAGGAGGGGAAAGTATCCTGCCAAAGAATTTATTAGATCAGACTGTTCTCAACCTCGAAATGTCAGTGCTTTGAAGAAACAGGATTGTGCGTTGAGTTACTGCGAAACATTGATATTGACTGATCATAATACTGGTAAGTATGTATGATAAGGCATAACATCATAGTAAATTGGCGAAATAGCATTAAATTTAACCCAAAGAGAACTTATACCATAGAAAATTAGTATGCAAAAATTCAGATTTAATTTTGCACTTTTAAAATTCAAATTTGAAATTTCGCGCCAAAACTTTAAAGTGTCATAAAAAGGTGACAAATTATCAAATCGAACCAAAACTTTGTATATAGGCTGTTCATACAATAGTAAACCAATACATATAATATTAATTTTACATCTTGCACTTTTAAAATTTAAATTACGTTTGGCGCCAAATTTTAATTTAAAAATTTTAAAGTCAATTTTTTTAAAAGTGCAGTAAGCGTGTGATAGTTTAAGATGGAAATAAGACTGAAAGGCCATAAAAACCGATTAATTCCGATTTTCAGCTTCATCGTTCACGATACGTGGCTGTGCCGAGAAGCTGGGAGCGATAGATGATTCATATATGGAGAGACGAGGAGACAATGTCTGTAAGAAGTAAGTCGCAACAAATGATTTGGACGCTTTTGTTTCAAAATTACAAAAATAAGGTTGTTTTAAAGTGGTAAAGGTAGCAAAATACGACTTGATGTTTTTCACTTTTAAAATATTAGGCCGTTCAAATAATTCTGAGCCTTCAAACCCCAAATTTGCATTGGCAGGGGGCGCAGAATTATTTGAACAATCTAATATTTAAAAGTTAAAAAGAAATTTAAATACAAAAAAGTTAAATTCAAATACAAAGATTTAAAAAATTGAAATTCCAGACTCCACAACTCGGTAGACATCCAGGAATGTATATGTAAAAACAGAAAGTACTGCTATACGGGACCTCAACGTAGGAATCTTGGATATTCAGAAGAAGCAGAAGCTTCATTCTTAGCACCGCAAGCTAGGTCCAGCGGTGTTCAAGCCTACCTCAGCTCATTTGCCATCATATTGTACATGTTGTTGTTGTTATAGATAGAGTAAATGTAGACATTTTTTGGAAGATTTGATTTTTTTTTGTTTTTATAGGTTATTTGGTTTTTATTCGTCATTTTCTTGTTTACTTTCTCTTTTTTTTTCTTATTCTTGTATATTTTATCTTTACTTTTGGCATTTTTTCTTGTTTTTCCTATCTTTTTTCTTCATTTTCTAAAGTTTTTCATAGTTTTCTACTTTCTTTGGAATGATACAGTAACCAAAAAAAAGAAAAAACTCTCAGAGGCCATAAGTTTCATGCCTCTGCTTTTGACAGAACGTCTAAACAGAGTCAAACTCGTCATACGTATCATCATCGAGAGAGTGGGAGCCGAACCCGCGGGCTTTCGCACGAAAAGCAAACGGCTTCGCCACTGAGCTATTCAAACGCGCTGCTCCGTTCTTTTATTTCTCTCTTCAAACTTGTCTATGTTACACTTGATTGGACGGCCGGTCAATAGCTGGGGTTTTTTGACATATTTTTAAAAATATATATTAAATTTTTAAATAAAATATGAATTTATAAAATGAAATGGCAGGTTTTTAAACGAACACTACTTTTTTCAAATTTAATATAAATTTCCAAAATAAGTACACAATATAATTACAAATAGAGTAGTAAATCAGCAATTAGTTATAAAAACAACTTCCCAATGTTGTTATGTACTTCCAATGATCTTGCTTTTGTTCAAATAAACACTTGGAACCGGGCGATTCATCCCTTTCAAGAGTTGGACCGTGTTTTGGCCAGTTTTCTCCTTTTCAAAATCAATCATTTGTCGCCAAAACCCGTTATTAGGTGCGATCAAGGGCCGAGCTCTGCAAATGCGTTGACTTAGTGGTCAGTACAACATGTGCGACATTTTTGTTTGGCTTAATTTGCTTGGAATCGTACAAATATTGAAATTGATGACTTAAACTAAATTTTCAAAAAAAATTTTTTTTTGGAAAAAAAGGTTATTACAGAGATAGAATGCTGACTTTGAACTTTTTTTGATGAAATGTAGTGAATATTTGAAAGTTATGACTCTAAAGGTTGTCAAACTCATAACGTTTTATATCATAGGTATCTATGATAACATGTTGATTTTAGTATATAGGTAAAATACTTATTGATGTTTAAATGTTAGTTCCATTAAGTTGTTCAAATAATTCTGTGTCCTTGAACCCAAAAATTTGCTTGAAAAAAGAGCGCAGAATTATTTGAACATCCTAATGTTATATAAAACAAATCTTTTTAAAAACAATGTAAATGGTATTGGAGAGAGAGAAAATAATGTAAAACCTATAGTAGAAACAGTAATGTAAAAATTATAGTGCATACCGACAAACAACAATGTAGCTCTCTTCTAGAGTAATCTTTTCACTAATCATGAGGTATACCATGCATAAGGCGGCTGATCGACTGACTCCGGCCGCGCAGTAAACTATCGTCTTGCCTCCCTATAAAAGTAAAATCAAACGTAAAAAGTAAAAAATATGTAAAACCATATCAAAGCTCTTAAAATTTTATACAAAAGCCTGCTTAAGACACCTAAGATAACTTACTTCTCTAATTATTCTTAGCCTGCTCTACCTAACATGACTTAACTCATAGTCTGCTTTACCTAAGATAACATACTTTACTCTCAGCTTTTTCCACCTAACAAAACTTACTTTACTCTTAGCCTGCTCAATAAATTCAGCCGACGACTCGAAGTACTTGTTTAACCTGCCCATCTCACTGTCATCCACAGGCACATCGAAATACTCGATACCCTCGTAGCATTTGCTTTTCGGAATGTTAGTGCAGTCAACAACATGCGTGATACCATGATCCTTTAGCTTCTTCTCGGTGATCGCCCCATAGCCAGCAATAAACAAGTGAGGTCGAATTTCACAGATCGAGAACAGAATCGTCGGCTTCTGAGGCTTTTCCTCCGGCACTTTTGGCGGAACAAACATTGTTCGGCCGAAAGCAAAGTGTTGAACAGAGCTTTTAAGCCCAATCGCTCGAAATAGTCGGCCCGATCCACCTTTTCTCTTTCGCTTTTTGAGATTTTCTCAGATTTTTCGAGAAAATAAACTCGAGAGGGTCATAAATTGGCTACTATCAATAACATGCTCAACTTGAAGTGTTATTGTTTGTAACTAGGAAAGTTTTTAAAATTTAAGTACAACCTTTATTTTTAATGTGAGGTTTTTTCAAATACAGTAGAACTGCAGTATAACGAATCGCTGGGGAAGAAGGAAGGGAGGGGGAGAGGACTTAAATTTTTTCCATCATAAGGGAGTTTGGTATAAATTCTGCTGTACAATATGTAATGTTGGCCGAGAATCAAAAAGTTTTTTGTTATATAGAGAAGTTCGTTATACAGGAGTTTCACTGTACGAATTGTTTTTTTTGTGTATCTTAATGGCTACATAAATATATCACAAAATGAAGTTATTAACCATCTATCTAGTGATTACTAGTGTAAAAGTTTATTAAAAAAATGAGTATACAAAGTAAAAATCATAGATTAGACCTGTATGTGATTGAGGTATCAACTGCAAGTTAGATGCGAAAATGCAAGACTGGATATTTGACTGTAAATTCACAAAACAAAGAAATATGAACTAAATTACACATAATGATAAGTCATTGATAAGATTCAGAAGCTACAAGATAGTTATTGGTAAGATACAGAAGCTACAACATAGTTTTCCAAAACTTAAAAACTGTAAAATTTGAAAACCAGACAGCGTTTCTTGCCTTCAGGACCAAAGTTACTGAAACAAACAGATGGATGCTTTTTGACCTGGTTGTCCTGGCTGCGTTCTACTGTAGTAAACTCGGGATAGGGAATGTATTTGGATACTTTTTCCACACCGTCTGACACTTGGTTGTATGTTTCTGCTACCTTACCGGCTGCAGGCAAACCATAATCCAAGATTAACGAACTGACTACATTGAGTGGCACTTCGAAGACCGATCTTTCGTACGATAGAAGTTTGAACGATGGCATTTTGAAGTTGGACCACTTTGATTTTTTCGGTTTTTCATTTTCCTTTAGCTTCTCTTCATGCATCCTACTATGCTCTTCTTTCATCTGTTGTATGGTGTTTTTAAGGAACTCAACTTCACTGCGCAGTTCACTCATTTGGCCTTCAGCAACTTTGAGCTGATTTTTTGTTGTGCTCATGTCTAAAACGGAAGTTTTGTATGTTTGTATTTTTATTATGTAAGAAGGACTTCCAAACACATAATGCAAAATTTAGCTTAAAAAAGTATGTGGGTTCTTTCTGTCGGCATCTAATAAAAAACTTTATCTTACCTGCTTTGTAGCACAAAATCATTCCACCAACCAGCAATAAAATAATAAAGAAAACCTGAAAAATTATTTTGATATTAAAAATGCTTTGAAAATATGTTTAAAATATCAAAACCATTCTCAAACTACAATCTACGGCTTCAAAATAATCAAAAATTGTTGAAAATATTACCACAAATGCATTGCATGATTCCACGGGCCTTTCTGCCGCCGAATGACCAACTTCTGACGGTTCTTCTTCATTAAATTGGCAATCGTTTACAGCTTCAGCAAGTTGATCCAGCTTTTCATTTAAAGTTGCAACTTTTTCACTGATTTCAACCATACATTTAGTATCGCCTTCAAATTCACATTCGCAGTTGGTGTTGTTGGGACACGATGATGGTACCGACATAGGCTCCGAACTTACTACAGACAAGGATTCAGAATCTGACAACCACCTGGCAGTTTTTGAAATGTTTTTTTCGAGGTCAGCGTTAAAGTTTTCTTCGTTTACTACATCATAGCTTTCTTTAGTAGAGTCGGTAGACGGTAGTTCGGCTACACCGTCTTTTGTGTCGTCCAAATCGTCGATAACGTTGACATTGTCACTGCCTTCTTTTGTTGAACTTGTGTTTAAAGTCGTTTCCTTTACAGTTGAGGTCATTAAAGGTTCCTCTTCAATGTTGTCATCAACAGAAAAGCCCTCATCTGACCGCGCGGCTAAGGAAAGCATCGCATTATAAATAACCTTCAAAACGCCCGGTGCACGTGTTGCAGCATCATTTTCAGTTTCAATAGCGGCTACGGTATCATCAAGTTCTACAGCTGTAGCTGTAGAACTATCTTTTTCAATACCAGCTTCATTCTCATCTAACTCAATAGCTGTAGCCGTTGAGTCGTCTAGTTCGATTGCCGTAGCGGTCGACAAATCTAAATTTGCCGTTTGGGTTTCTTCACGGTGTTCAAGAACTTCGACTGAAGCACCGCTTTCCAGGGATACATCTAGAGGTGTTGAGTCGGCCACTGGGTATTCCGAAAGTCGCGTAGACGAACGGACTTCATTTTCTTCAACCTCAACTGCGTCACCAACTGACACTCTTTCGTACGAGTCGTCCTAAAATTATTTGTTAAGAACCTTTTTTTGTCATCAATTGTTTAGCTCTGATATATAACATTAGCTCAAACAAAAACTAAGTTAGTACGTATGACAATCTTTCTAAAAACGAAAAACAAAGTTTATGGCTTACCGAATCGCTGAAGCTGGCATCGTTGTGCATAGATGACATTTTTAGTTATTTTGCTTAACCTAAAGTATTAAAATTAGAATGTGTCTATTTTTTAAAAATAAGCTCTCGAAATTGTAATGCAACGTAGAATAAAAGTAATATGACGTTGTAAAACGAAAAATTTTCGAAATACGTTTTGGTAAACATGTATGCTAATTGTTTCTCAAAACTGTAATAATACTCCCAAACTATCGAAAAGCATGAGCTTTGTTTTACTGTATTATCAGTAAATTACAATGAAAATTGTGATTTGAACACAAAAAGGGCCGGAAAAGCACATTTGGTTTGGGGGCTGAGGTCGAAATAATCCACAGGGGGGACCACGTTCAACTTTTTTCAAAGATTTTGGGGGGGGAGGAAGTCACTGTAAAATACAAAAAACTGCCATTTAGCTTTCGATTACGTACTAAAGAGGTTTTACTGTATATAAAGTGTTAAAGCTTGCCATTTTTTAAAGCTGTATATTATAAAGGCCCAAGAATTCAAGCATAATAAGAGCGTGAAGAGAGTGAATTTGAGAAATTTGCAGCGTAAACAACGTATTTGTTTTTGGAGCAGGCTTTTTATAAATAACAATACTGTGAACATGCACGAAAGAAGGAAAAAAGTAGTTAAAGGTCACTTATTTCGAAAATTGTAAGATTTCGGCTTGTGTTTACGTAAATAACATTAAACAACGACAATAATAGTACTTTTCTTAAACGGTTAGTAATAATACAGCTAATGGGAAAGGTAAAACTTTGTGCGAAAGATAAAACTTTAAAACTAAGCCTAAAACACATTATAATACTCAACAAACTTTAAAATCCATCAAAAACATAAAATATATAATCTCCGTATAAACCTGCATATATGTCGCATAAGCGAAACCCCACACACATCGACCTCCCTGCCCGTCGTAAGTCGGACTGAATGGACAAGACAGCGGATGAGCGAGCTTTTCAATGGCACTGGCTCCTTCACTCCTCCCCTCGCGCAGCTGATTGTAAGGCCAAACCCTTAATGTAGGCGCGTATGTTAGGGCAACGGCGTCAAAGAAGAGCTTTGTTACAGTGTAAGATAGCAAGTGTATGGAATATAAAGATTGTAGCCAAGAAAAACTAAAAGGTGTGGCTTAAAGTGAACGATCTAGTCCAAAGCCCTAGCCCAAAGCCCTAGTCCAGAGCCCTAGCCCAGAGCTCTAGATTAGAACCCTAGTCCAGAGCCCTAGCCCAGAACCCTAGCCCAGAGCCCTAGCTTTGTACGTTAAGTTACAAGAGATTCTACTGAAAAATGACTGTCAAAAGCCAAGCTCTTTCTTTTTTATATGACAAACAGACTGAATTATGTTCATAATTGCCGTTTTAGTCAAATTAGGCTTCAAGGTCAGCTAATTGAAAATTTATAAAATCTTCTCAACAAATTTAAAAACTTTTCTGAAATATCGTCACATGGTCAAATTAGCTTCAAACACAAAAAGCTATCGATTAATATGACAAAAATGTGACCGCAAACCTGGAATTCCAATCAATAGCTAATCTATCACTTAAAACCCATTTTTCAACTAAAACTCTCCAAAACAAATTGGAAAAAGTTCCTAAACAAGCGTGATTTCAAAAATGACAGTTTTAAATCGAGTAAACAGGGGTTCACTTTTAAACAGCTGATTTGACCTTCCGCCTTTGCAGAGAGTGATAAGAAAGGATAAGGGGACAAACCGTTTTAAACGGAAAACGTGACCATCGTACCAGCTGATTAGTGGTTACATTAGCACAATGTTATAAGCTCCTTGAACTTGTCGAGTTTGTTCGTCATCTTTTTGTACTTTTGATTAGTGTTCTTGCTTTTATTTTAAACTTTTTTTGAAAATTTAAGTTTAAAGCTTTAAAATTTTGGGTTTTAAGTGAAAAGGCTTAGCCTTTAGATCTAGCCCTAGTCCAGAACCTTAGCCCAGAACTTTAGTCTAAAACTTTAGTTTTTTTTTCCAAATCTTATTGTAGCCAGCTTGTGTGATCTGCTTCATCAGTAACATTGCGACGTGTATACCTAAAAGAAAAGACCCACCAAGCCATGTTACCCAAAGAAGAAGGTCAATTATTCAACGTCGCCGCCAGCCAACGCTAATATACAAAACAGACGTATAAGCCGAAGTTGAAATCGATTGCATTGGACTAAGAAAATTGATGTATAGATACAAATCAATAATTTAAAAAATAGAATCAAGTTGAAAAATCAAGTAAGAATATACAATAAAGCGCAGTAGAAAAGAGTAAATTTATTTTTAAATCAACATATTTATTAACTGAAATCGTTAAAAAGTTGAATAAAATTTCTAAGGTATGTAACAAAACCTTATATGACAAAAAATTTTAAAAACTTAAGCAATTTTTTATACAAAGGAGCTCCTGTATAGTGTAATGTACTTGCCATTTTGTAAAAAGCTTTATTTTTTCAGCCATAAACTCTTTTTTAAAAATTTTTGACCAAAAATTATTTGTACATTGAAATCATTTTTTTAAAATACAATGGAACCCTTCTATAACAAAAATTGTGAATAACAAACAATTTTTAAAATCTCGGCTAGCATTATACAGTGTATTTAAAGCTTATGTGTAACAAAACACTTTTATATTGAGCAACCTTAAAGTTCTTTAGCGATCCGAGGTACAAGAGTTTTACTGTGCTGTATAATAATGTCATTTGCAATAGAAATAGAACTGATTTTTTGCGGCGATTATAAAGAACGTTTAATGATTGTTATAAGTGTGTTGAACTATATATTAAAGCCATCATTTTAATTAAAAATTTTTTTATTTATTTTTGAAGTTTTTTAAAAGATTCTTAATTGTGAAAGACCAAGTTAAAGTTTTTTCAAGTTTGCAGGCTTATGTTTATCTATAATAAACGATTTGCTCTTTAAAATAGTTTTAATAAGGTTTATTTCAATAAAACACAACAGTAAATTAAATTTTGTATTTTAAAATTTAATTCTTGTCAAAAATGTCAAAAATAGCCCTACTATATTGAAGATGCGGAACGTGTCCACGTAGTCTGAACATGTTTTTTCGCCGAAATTGAAACTTTATTTTATTTGGAAATTGAGTCAAAGACGGATGTAACATCGAGGAACCGTTTATCCAATATTCTTGTTGTCTTGGACTGGGATTACTTGGAACTTCAGAATGTGACAGGTTATGTCCTTTGTTTTTACATCCTTGTCGAGACTACAAGCTCATTCTTTGTTGATACTATATATTGCTTGGAGAGGTGCATAAATTGAGTAGTACTGTCTGAAAGTGCCTAGAGTTTTGGAATGAAAAGAGATGTAAATGTGGATTTTCTTTGTACTATAGTAAGGGTAAACGTACTATTCAAAAGTTTTTGTGTACTCTTTGGCATGAAGCTGGGGTTGAAGCTGAGGCTAGAATTAAGACTTGAGCTGGGGCTAGAACAGGGGCTGAAGCTGTAGCTGGGGCTGAATTCAAGCTAAAGCTGGGTCTAAGGCTAAGTCTGGGCTCGAGCTCCGGTTGAAGTTGAATCTGGTTCTGAAGCTGGGACTGAAGCTAGGTTTGAAGCTGGGTCTGGGGCTCAAGCTCGAGCTGAGGTCCAAGCTGGAACTCAAGCTGGGACTCACGTTGAGGCTGAAGCTGGGACTGAAGCTAGGTTTGAAGCTGGGGTTAAAGCTAAGGGTCAAGCTGGGGCTCAAGCTCGAGCTGGAGTTTAAGCTGGGGCTCAAGCTCGAGCTGGAGTTCAAACTGGAGTTTGCTGAGGCTCAAGCTGGCGTTCAAGCTTTGGCTGAAGGTGGAGATCAAGCTCAAGTTGGGGCTGCAACTGAAGTTGAAACTGGGGTTGAAGCTGGGACTCAAGCTGAGGTTGAAGCTGGAGTTGAAGCTATGGCTGATGCTGGGGATAAAGGTGGAGCTGAAACTGGTAGTGAAGCTAGAGCTGGGCTAAGGCTTTAGGCTAGAGGTCTGGGCTAGGGCTCTGGGCTAAGGCTCTGGGCTAGGGCTTTGAGCTAGGGCTGTGGGTTAGGGCTTTGGGCTAGGACTTTGGGCTAAGGCTCTGGGCTAGGGCTCTCGGGTCGGGCTCCCGGCTAGATTTAAGATATGTTATATTGACTATAATGAGTTTGTAGTTTACTAATTCTTTGTAAGCACCATTTTAAAGCCTAAAACAGTGGGTGGCAGCTAAAAACTGCTCATTGACAACAAACAAAAGTTCATTTTAGTCGCTCTGGAAACAGTGTCATGGATTGTTTTTGGTCGTGTTTTATTATCACGTTTTGAAATGTCGTAGGCCAACGTGTTTTATGACAAAACAGAGAATGTTTTGATTAGTGCACATCAGTTTTTGTCTAGATTTTTGAGTTTATATTGATTTAGGTACTTGTCATCAGTTATGACTAATGGCGTTGTTATGTTGTGACGTTTGTCTTCTACTACTAGGGTTATGATGGACTAGAAAACACTGTAGATTTGTTTTTTAGGTATTAACACCAAGGCTTGTTTATAATATAAATTATGATGAACTTTTTAAATAGTATGTGTTAATGTTTGATCTTTCATATCTTCGTGTTTTTACTCTCACAATAAAATACTGTGGTATAATCTAAAAAACTTACCACAGTTTTTTAATTGTGCTAAAAATGAAAATCCAACCACATTTGGTGTAAACATGCCCTTTCTGAGTAAGTTCAGACAATACAAACTTGATTTCCACAGTGTTATCCAAACGAGTTGGTGTCTATTTCGTCTACTCTTCTTCTTACTCATGGACGCTTCGCTTGCAATACGATACTCGTATAAATAACACGTTGTTGATGATAAGGCGGTTGAGGAAAGGGTAGTCTGGGTTTGAGTTTTTGATTTTTGAAAATGATTAAAAAATTTTAAGAGGAAATAAAATGGTTTTATAAAATTGATATTTTTTACAAGTAATTAGCTGCTACATTTTTTTTGATGTTTCATTTTCATCCCAATGTAATTTTTTTTCCGCTATCTTAACTGTGTTCTTTTTTAAACTACTATCTTATTTTTCCTCACTCTACCTTACTTGCTTTCTCTAACACTGACCTACCTCCTTTTACTTACACTATTTTACTCTCTTTCTCTTACAATACCTTTTCTCTTACTTTTGACTCTTTTACTTCTATAACACACTCTTCCACAATTTTTGACCTGTTTTCTTTACAGTATCATATGTTCTTTTTTATACACTACCCAGCACTTTTTTTATTAGACTGAACTACCCTTTTTTTCTTACACTGCCCTGACTCTATTTTAAGATATTAAAATGCCTTCTTTCTCACCCTCTCCCTCACTTCTGACCCTATTACTTCTGTAAGACACCCCTCTTTAGCCGCAAATTGTCTGAACCTTTCTGTCATTTTTCACGTTTTATCGAATAATCGCGGCCTGATTGGATTTCCGTGTTTTTGCCGGCCCCCAACTCACGTCCGTTTTTGGCATTTTTTTGTTGTGTATGCATGAAATCCTCAGATCAATGAGAGCTTCGTAAAGAGGCCCTGAAGGGCCGTTTTTCCAAAAAAAACGCGTTTTCCAAAAACGGTTTAAAATTTTAGGAAAAGTGGCTTTCGGCCGCCGCGAAAAGCGTTATGGGTTTTGTATTACTGTAATTTCTAAATAGATTCTTTTGTTTTGGCGGTCGTGGCGTGTTTGTATTGAAATGGCGGGGTTTAAGGGGTTTTGGAAGACGGGGAGGTGAGGGGATTTTTCTGAATTGGGAGGTGGGGTGGGGTAAATTGTTATAAAAAAAGGGGGAGGAGTACAAAGATCTTTTAAAAAGCTTGGTTAGAGATTTTAAATGGGCGAGGAAAGAATATTTTAAAAGAAGGAGGGGGGGGCTTTAAAAAATTATTTTTCTAAAATTGTCCATATATGAATGAGCTATTTAATTTTTATTTTTTTTATAAAATTTTATATTTTTTAAAATTATTTTCAAATGTTTCCAAAAGTTATTTTAAAAGTGTCAAAATTCGTGGAATTTGAAAAAAGTATCCTAACAGTATCAGATCAAAGGAATGACAGCATGTCGCTATCACACATTTTTATCTCTTTGACATTTTCAAACTTTGACTCTTTTCTTGATCTGAAATTCGAGCTTTTTTCCCAGAGGGCATTAGGGTCAAAATTAATATTTGAAATTGACTAAATTTAGGCTAGGCATAGAGACTGAAGAAGAATTTTAGTCAAGTGAAGGTAACAAAAAATGTTTTTAGTGGTCGCTCAACATTTTTTAAAATCACATGTGCTTGGGCAGGGCTGGGGTTGAAGTTAGGGCCGAAGCAAAAGCTGAAACTGAATTTGGGGATGAAGCTGGGACAAGAATCTAGGCTAGGGCTCTAGACTGGGATAAGTTGAGTTAGGCCGGGCCGGGCCAGGCTGAGTTGTGTTGGGTTGGGCTGGGCTGAGCTAGGCTGGGCTGAGTTGGGCTTGTTTCGGCTTGGCTTGGCTTACCTTGGCTTGGGCCTTGGTTGATGTCTTGGCTTCCGAGTCCATAAGTGCCGGTTTGGTTCTTTTAAAGTTGCTTTGACTTGGCTCTGGTTTGTATAGCAAGCTTTATTTCAGGTACAGTGAGTAGGACATTTAAAAAAATTATTTAAAATTTTTAGAAATAGATGTTATTGTACTACACAAAAAACTTAATTCTTGCAAACGATGACCTTTTTTTGCCAACCTGTACTTTCTTGAGAGAACTTTTAGTTTTTATATACAACCCTTCTTTGCATACTTAAAGGTTAAATTGTGTTACCGTTTTTCAAAGCATGACATCCATTATAAAAATGAATGTTTGTGATTTCTGTTCACTACGCTTTTTGTTTACTCTTTATTTATTCAATTTTGGATTAAAAATCTTTTTTAATGTTGCCACATTGTTTTCTTTTTCACATATTACCCATGCCGGGTTTAGTCTCCCCTTTCTCTCCGAAAGTTTAAAATTAAACCTGATTTTCCGCTTGAAAGCGTTTTTTGACCGTGCCACTTTAACGTTCCACTTGGCCCAAAATAATGGGCAAACTGTCAAATGCCGTGACCACAACGTCTTCTTCAATCAGTTCCTCGTTTCAGACATGGGATGTGCCGAATCCAAAGATGACAAGTTCGAAAAGTTGCACGGTGAAAACAAGCCCAGCTACATTGCCATGGCCTTGTTGAATGTAAGTTCGTGTTATGGTATCACACATTATGTTCGATCTTGCCAGGATTATGGCTAATGATGAATCTCAGGATGACTAAAGTTATCTGAGGCTAAGGCTAAAACTAAGGCTAAGGCTAAGGCTAAGGCTAAGACTAAGGCTAAGGCTAAGGCTAAGGCTAAGGCTAAGGCTAAGGCTAAGGCTAAGACTAAGGCTAAAACTAAGGCTAAGACTAAGGCTAAAACTAAGGCTAAGGCTAAGACTAAGGCTAAAACTAAGGCTAAGGCTAAGGCTAAGGCTAAAACTAAGGCTAAGGCTAAAACTAAGGCTAAGGCTAAGACTAAGGCTAAGGCTAAGGCTAAGGCTAAGACTAAGGCTAAAACTAAGGCTAAGGCTAAGGCTAAGACTAAGGCTAAAACTAAGGCTAAGGCTAAGGCTAAGACTAAGGCTAAGGCTAAAACTAAGGCTAAGACTAAGGCTAAGGCTAAAGATAAGGAACCATAAAAAAGCATAGTAAAGTTCCTTGTTATTACCAAAAAAAGTGCCAAAAAGATTCAATTTACAAAAGTTTTTGGAAAATTAACAAAAACATAACTGTTTTGAGGAACGGAAGTAAAATTTACAATGGCAGTTTTAGGATGTAGACGAGATTAGCCTTCACAACAATCAATTATCTTCGCTTTTTGTGTTGCTTTCCAGTATAAAAAGGAACGGCAAGGCATTGTTATACTTCTGTTCTGTACTGTTTTTGGAGGTGTTTTATTAAGTAGGGCTAGCCAGTTCAGAGATTTGCTGTGACATAATTGAGATAGGATTGGTTAAACTATAAGTAAGGTAGGGCATAATAGGGTTAAATATATGGTTTGCACAAGGGTTAGAGCTCAAAATAGTGCCGTTAAACCAATACTAAAGGTAGGGTTAAGAATAAAGCTAATCTTGAGGCTAAGGCTCAAGCTAAAGTTAAGAGAAAGACTAATACTAAAGCTAAGGTTAACGTTAAAATTAAGGTTAAGTCTCGGCCCAAGGCTAAGAATAAGAGTAAGACTAAGACTAAAGCTAAGAATAAATCTAAGGTTCAGGCTCAAGTCAAGGCGAATGAACAGGCTATGGCTTAGATTCAAGCTCTGGGTAATGCACATGCCAAATCTAAGCCTAAAGCTCACGGCAAGGCTCAAGCTCAGGCTAAGGCTCTAGCTCAAGCTCACTGGCTCAGACACAAGCTCGTGCTCAAACTCATGCTTATGCTCAGGCTAAGACACATATTCAGGCTTCAATTCCGGCTAAGGTTAAAACCAAAAAAAATTTTCAAAAAGGCAACTTTGACCCCTTAATTTTTCTAAAACTATTTTTAAAGTTCGAACTTTCTGCTTAATTTTTCAAGTTTAAAAATTTTAAAGATTGATTTTTTAGGCCAATCAGGCAGCAGCCATGATGGCCTCATACCAAGCCAATCCGAACCAATTAGACCCAGATACGGCCAATGATCTAATACGAAAGGCCAAGAACGATGGCCAAACCGTGTCAGTGGTAAATGGTTGTCTCTACTTGGACTACAAATTCGCTGGATTCATGCCCCCTTCATGATTACTGTAACTTTCTACAACTCAAGTTGCAGTACTTTGTAGCAAAGATACTGTAACTTCTTACATCTTACAGTTACAGAAGTTTTCAAAAAGGTTACTGTAACTTTCTACAACTCAATTTTACTGTACTTTTTACCAAAGTTACTGTAACATTCTACAACTCAAGTTACAGTACTCTTCAACAACATACGTCTCTTTTATCAAACAAAACGATCGCAATAGTTATTCAAACATGTACGGGTCTAATCGATATATAAAATTATGTAAATTACATTGTAATCAAACACAATAAAGCTTTAATTTTGAGATGGACTACTGTAATTTAAAAGTTAGAAACAAAACTTTTGGCAGCTGTAAATAACTCATACCTGTGAAGAGCTTACTCCTGTTAACAGAGATAAGGCACGGTATAGGTAAAATGGGTAAGGGTGTGCCCGGGTAGAGCCAACATGAGAGAGAGTAAACTTGAGTATGATTAAAAAGATTAGTAGTAGGCTACGGTGGGGCTGAAAAGGCCAGGGGTAAACTCATATAAAGCTCAAAATGTCAAGGGCAAGCTCGAGTAGGGCTAAAATTGATGGTGGTACCTTTGGGTAATGCTAAAATGGGTCGATACCATAATCATTTTCGGTATCCACCAGTGGGTATTATTTTAAATTTAAAGTTTGAACTTATATGGATTATTTTTAGTACATACTAAAACTTACTATAGTAAAATAAAAAAGTAAGTAATAATTCCAAGGTCTTACTGTATCATATTTTACTATTTATTACCTTGCTATAGTCTAAACATCGAAATCTCAAAACCCAAAGCCATATGAACTACTTTAAATACATACCAAATCTTACTATGATCAAATACCGAATTAATAAATATAACTTGAAACTAAAATATGGTATACGGACACTTTTGTAAATGATCCGCCCGAATTCGCAACAGCCAGAATTGGTTACTTAAACATTTATTCATCTACTGAAACAATACTTCAGAATCAAGTGAATAGCCTCAACCCCCAACTTCAAAGCGTACAAACTTCTAAGTCAAGCTGACCGTGCTATCACTGTGCTCTCTGCGATTCTTGAGGTGTGAACTATAAGGTTGTCAAGAAAAGAATGACAGATTTTGATGCTGGAGACGGAAAGTCGCCTGGGGGCAAAAACAGAACTAAATGTAGCTATTGAGTTTTATATCATTCAAAAACCTAGTTTTCTGGCAATCGTTTGATCTGTTTGCCGTCGCACCGGTAAAAAAACAAGATTCATCATCTGGTAAAATACGACATTCTTTTCTTGCCAACCTAATATGTTAATGACGTAGAAGTTCAACGACAGTTTTGTGACATTGTCCAGCATGAGAGACGTAGGCGCTTGGATCAGAGACGTAGGCGATCGTAAATAAGCGTCTTAATATCTTGACCACTGATCTGAAGTGGAAGGAATCAGCAAGGCAGGGCATGGCAGGGTATGTCTTGTTTCAATTTTTAACCTTTTTAAATTTAAAAAAAAATTTTAAATATAAACCTTGAAAATAAAAAAATAGAAGTTTATTATTGCGATATTCATTAAAAGTTTCATTTATATATATAGAGTAGGGTTGTATACTAAGTAATGAGCATAGACACGTCTAATAAAATGGTACATGTTTCGACTAAAAGCGTAGTAATTGTGAGTAATATTAATGAAAAATTTGGCTTTTTAGGCATGTTTTTTAGAAATTTAATACAATGAGAGTACTGTAGAGCACAAACATACATTACATACTATACAGTACGTACTGTATGTTCATAACACTTAGTACCAAAAAATACAGCTTAAAATGTACTTAAAATCTATGAAATGACTAAAATGAATTAAAAATACTGTAGAAATCTGTGAAAAAGTACTGTAATATAATGACTAGTAGAGTTGTAGTACATTACAAAAGTCATACTGTAAACAAGCTAAGTAAAATATACTAGACATGGTTTATAAGGCTACGAATTGTGTTAAAATAACTCAAAAGACCTGTTACTATGTTATACTGTTCCTGTATTGTGTTATAGAGGGTTGTTGGTACGTGTGGTACTATATGTAGAAGATGATACTGGCGGTACTATTCAGTGCGATGTGATGTTTGATAAAAAACCAAAGTAATACTCATTACGGTACCAAAAATAGTACTCATTACAGTATCCAAAGTAGTACCCATTACAATACTAAAAGTACTATTGTTTTCAATACCCAAATAGTACACATTACAGTACCAAACATATTACCAATTCCAGTACCACCAAATCAACCACATAAAATACCTTATCCGTGGACAGTACCAACACCCAGCTTCAAAATTCACTGCCGATGACGTTAGCACGCCAAAAAGACTTTGCGGTCGTTCCACGACTGCACCGGTCGATAATTCTTTCGGATAACGGCGCCACGAGTGTCTTTCACGTTTCGCAGCAGGTCAAGCTGAAAGTAATTTCGGTCAGAGACAAAAGAGAAACGTGGGAAGAGACCTTTTTTAATCTTGGAAATGCCGGAAATCTCCAAAAGTCTACAAACAGAGTGCAAAAAGAACGGCACGGTGTTTGTTTTGTTGTGGGAAGGAAGTTGAAATGATTTTTTAAGGTCTTTAATGGCTTTGTTTTAAAAAGAAAAATGATTTTTGGTCCTAGCCCTAGCTCTCGCTTTATACCTAGCTCTAGCCCTAGCCCAGAGCCCTAACACAGAGCCCTAGCCTTAACCCTAGCTTTAACTCTAGGCTTAAACGTAGCTTTGGTTATAGTCCTGGTCTTAGATCTCGCCCTAGGTAAAAAATTAAAATTTTTAGGTCCCACCACGAAAACCTTGATCTTCAATATTTTTGATAAAAAAGTAAAAAAAATAAAAAAAAAAACCTTGCTGTAGTGATAAGGCAAGTTAAATATAAAGCTGTATTTTAAATTTCAATTTTCACTTTAACTTGGTCCCACCACGAAAACCCTGATTTTCAATATCTTAGCTTAAAAGCGAAAAAATTAAAAAGTAATCTTACTGTAGATAAAAGACAAGTTATAAATAAGTAGTTCAACCTTAAAACTCCTCTTAAAAATGGTACTACCACGAAAATCCTGATTTTCAATTTTTCATCATCAATATCTCATTTTTTTCATTCCTCTAATCAAAAATCGCGCAAAATTAAGCAAATCTAATGATTCACATCAAAACACCAACTCACTTGATAAGCCGAAACCTCAACCGGATCGGTAAAAACAGTCCAGACCACATTCTCCGAGCAAGGTGGAGTAGTTAAACTGCCATCATACCTAGCGAAGCTGGACGGGCATTCAGGTAGTTTGTCTTGAAGTGTGACCCCCTTGTCCAGACGACATTTCTGGCCACATTCGATAATGTTTGGCAGGATGTCGACCTCGGCCTTGAGGGCAGCTTCTTGATCGCCGGTCTTTAGGAAAACGCCCAAGACGGCGAGTTTGGTGGGGTCGTCGATGCCTTGGTGGACAAGGTGAAGTTCGGCGGGGTAACGGAGTCCTCCGATCGTGTGCTCGGATCCTGAAGTAGGTAAAGGTTGTAATGTCATTCAGTTTTTTTAAAATTTTTAATTTAAGCGTTTCATTTTGAAAAATTTTTTTCCCTGCCATTTTCAAAGTGATCTCTGCTACAGATCGAAACAATTGTAGTCTGACTCACGTATCTGTTTGTTATCACCTTTTGCTTTTATGAGCGCCCATTATTGTGTGGAATTTAAAACTTAAAACATAAAACTTTTATTGTCGAACAGTGCGTGAAAAAATTGTTGATTGCGTGTGATTTTTGTCGAAAAATTTATATTGTTTTAGATGAAGAACTTGTTGAAATAATAAGAGACCAAAAAGAGAAATGTCAAAAAAATATATTGTTTTAGGTAAAGAGATTATAGGAGTTTTAAAGAAAGAAATGTCAAAAAAGTGTGTTGAAAAATAGTAATAGGCTCAAATTTTAAAGTTCAGCCTAGCACTAGACTTAGCCTTAGCTTTAACTGTAGCTCTAGCCATAGCCTTAGCCTTAGCCCTAGCACTAGCCCTAGGTTTAGCCCTAGCTCTAGCCCTAGCCTTAGCTTTAACTGTAGCTTTAGCCCTAGCCCTACCCTTAGCTCCAGCCGTAGCGCTGGAGCTAGCTATAGCCAAGCCCTGGCCAAGCCTTGACAATCCCTAGACAAGCTTTGCCAAGTCCTATCCAAGACCTAACCAAGCCTTCTCCTTAGCCTCCGTAGTGTGACTTGCTGTTATAAATAATAAAATACCAACTCCACTTCAAAAAATCCATATTTTTAACTTTTTTTAAAATTTAAAATTTTTGAAATTCCAAAATTTTTGCAATTTTTTTTCATTAATTTCTTGGTCAAAAACTAAAAACTGGCTTACGAATTGATTAGCCAAAAAAGCGATAAAATTTGGTTAATTTCCTTTTTGGCCATTTGATTAATGTTATGTTATTGTCGCTGTGCCATTTTAAGGCCATTCCTTCTACTGCAAAGTGGGAAAAAAGTTACTTTGTAAACAAAGCCATAAATTATTGCAGTTAAAAAGGTATTAATCAAAAAAGGTTTTTCAGTACTATTTAATAATGTCATAAATAGGTAGTTGGAATGATCAGAAATTAGACAGAGATCATTTTAGTTCAGCCAGACCTTGGTTCTATCATGATCGCTTTAGCGCAGAGCCTTAGCCCCGAGCCCTAGCCCAGAGCCCTAGCGCAGAACCTTAGCCCAGAGCCCTAGCCCAGAGCCCTAGACCAGAACCCTAGTCCAGAACCCTAGCCTAGAGCCCTAGCCCAGAGCCCTAGCCCAGAGCCCTAGCCCAGAGGTCTAGCCCAGAGCCCTAGCCCAGAGCCCTAACCCAGAACCTTAGTCCAAGCCATAGCTTTATCCCTATTCCTAACAATGAAAAGACCCCTCACTCTTACCTCCTTCATGTTGTCCCCAATGGTAGTGGTACTGTACGAACCGGTACTTTTGGTCCAACATACCACCGGATACTGTTGGGATGTCTTGGCCATCATCAGGTATGAACTGGACTGAATGTCCATTATTCACAAATTCTCCGACCAAAACCTTGTCATAGTTTTCAAAAATGAAATGGTCATCCAGGCTGACGACTTTCATCTTTGACAGTTTTAGGTCGATAGGCGATTGTTGTTTGCCGTCGATTTGGCCGGGCCAATGTTTTGGGCCGCAATCGCCCTCATCGTCGTAATCCCAGGCTGAAATTTTTGAAATTTAAATTTTTTTGTAATTTCAAATTTTTAGTTAAAAAAGTTTAAATTTAGGCAACATATGACTATAAAATCAATTTTTTTAAATTTAAAATTTCTTCTTAGGTAATGTCTTTCTATTGGCTACTGTACACATCTTTGTCGAGTCAAAAACCCAATTTAAAGCTTGAAACAGTGACAGCACTTTTCCTAAAAGCCATGACGTCGAAGCGTCTAAAACAATCTCTTAATCCATCTTTTGCAATAGAAAATGTGAATAACGGCACATATGCTCTACGAATGAACGTGAACTTATCAAAATTTCAAATGTTTCACAAACTTTAATTTTTTTCCAACCCCCCCTAAAAAATTTTTTTTGGAAAAAAAGTTTAACGTGGTCCCTATTGAAATTAAAAAATATTTTTGACCTACCCTGCCATGCAATTTTTTTCCTGCCCTGCCTTGCCTTGCCTTGCCTTTCCTTGCCTTTCCTTGCCTTGCCGTGCCTTGCCTTGCCTTGCCTTGCCTTTCCTTGCCTTGCCTTGCCTTGCCTTGCCTTTCCTCGCCCTTCTCTCCTTGCCTTGTTTTACCATGCCCTGCCCTGCCCTGGTCTTCCCTACCCAACTTATCCTTCTTCCTGCTTCCCCTCCTCCCTCCAAAAAAAAACTGCCTCCGTATAGCCCTAGTTACAGTACTTTATACTATAATTTTATGAACCCAAAACTTAGTCTTTAGACGCACTTTAGCTGTCATATTCATGTACAGTTATATAAAACGTAATCAAGTTGACTATAATTTTATGTTACACAAAAGTACTCATTAATACTAATTACAAGTGTTGGTTAGACTATTACGTACTATAATGTAGTTTTATATTGTAGCATGAAACTAGATTTTTGGTTTTAAAAAAAGTTAGTTTTTGAACTAATTTATGAACTTCATACTAATCAATGAATTTTGTACTACTATATAGTATCGTTACTGCGTAAAATTAAAGATTGTTTTGTATCAAGCCATTTGCAACTTCAAATCACGAAAATATAATAATAATTCAAAATTAATCTCATCTAATGATATTTCTAATATGATATTAAAAAAGCATAGTATTTTGACAATATCAAAGCCATATAATGTTGTTATTGTATGGCCAAAACATAGACGAAAAATGTGTTTTCATGACATTAAACTTATCACAAGAATGTTATTTGTTCTTGTGATGCTAAATAATTTCAAAAATTAAAAAATTACAGTTTTTAAAGGCTCGGTACTGTAATTTTTTGTTACAGTACCTAGGGCAGCAAAAATTTAGCACAACCCTTAGTCTTAGGCTTACATTGACCTTGCCTTGCTTTAAACATTGCCATAGCCCTAGCTCCAGCACTAGCTATTATCCTGGCTCTAGCTCAAACTCTAGCTTCAGCCCTAGCTCTAGACCTAACCCCAGCTCTATCTCTAACTCCATCACTAGCCATACCTCTAACTCTAGTTTCAGCACTAGCTCTCTCCTATCTATAGACTATAGTATGAGCCATAACCCTTCTTGTAGCCTTTGCCTTAGTCCTAACCTCAAAGTAGCTGCAGTATAAGACACTATTATAGATAATATCATACCCATTTAAAAAATTTTTTTAATTAGCCAGTGCTAACCTTAAAAAACCACCAGAGCTCCTGAACCTAAACTCACACTTCATTGTTGTTACACAAAACACTCCGTATAGTCAACAGGGAATTCAGATATATTTTGCAAACTATACCTCAACATCTCTACTCCTTTCTCTCTCTATACTATTAACCTCATCATAACCTTTCAAACTTCTCCAGAACCCTCGAACCCGAACTCACCGTTCATGATGTTGCGTGGAATGGGTGAATCGAGGGAGCCGGAAGAGCGTGAGGAAGACGAATCGCGTCTCTTCTTCTGGACTCGACGCTTGCGGGCGGGCCCACCGACCGCCGAAGGGGCGGAGTCGGAGCGGCGTTCCGGCCGCTTTCGCAGCGCACGGCCGACGAGTTCGGCCGACGCTTCGGCTTCGTCGATGCCCTCGAGGCGGGCGCGCTTGATTCGGCGACTCATGCGGGGTGAGTTGCGCGGAGTGGCGGCGGCGCTGAGAAAGGCTAACGTGGTTGAGGCTGAAGCTGAAATTGTGTAGGATTAGACGAGAGTTTTGTAGGATAAGGTGGGTTATAACGCGTAAGGGGGGAGGCGGGTGAAATTTTTAAAAAATGCAAATTTTTTAAAAATTTTTTAATTTTTTCAAGTTTAAAAAAACCGTGTTTTACTGTACCATACCCTGTCTTATCATATCCTACCCTGCCCTGCTCTTCCCTTGCCCTACCATTTCCTGCCCTACTCTTCAAAAACACTACAGTAATCTATAGTAAAAACCAAACCCTACCGTACCCCACCCTACCCTTTCCACCCTACCCTACAAAAATGCTACAGTAATCTTTTTAGCAAAAAACGTATTTACATAAGATAAGGAAAAACATTAGGTAAATATTGGCAAAGTAGGCGGAGTTTAAGAGTTCAAGTGTCAAAAAAATTTAAATTTAAAAGAAAAAACATGTTTTGCACGCTTTCCCAAACAAATTTGCATAATTTAAAAGACATTTACTTGAAAGACAAGTTTGTACTGTAAGAAGCTTGAATAAGTATATAGAGTTGAAAATTGTAAAATACGACCTTCTTAACTTGTCTTATTTTCCTAAAAAACATGTCATGATGACACTTTTTCTACAAAAAATTTGACCCATTTTTTTAAAACGTTTTTACGATTTTATTACAGAAACACTATAAAAGATTTGTCAGTATGATATATAAAAGAAAATGTGTCATAATTATCCAGAAAATGTGTCATGATGACACCTGTAATCATAAAAATCTAAAGCTCAAAAACTACAAAAATAAAAATGTAATGAAACCTTTTGCATCATAAAATTGTTCGACAAAAATTTGGCTAGCTAATTATAGGGTGTTAGGGGTTCTTTTGCCGCCTTATCAGCCAGGAATGGCCTGAGGGCGCAGAAAACAAACAAAAAACTGATGTATGACTTAGCACAACATTTTTTAGCTTTGCAATTCATTTGCATTTGAAACAAAAATTTTACTAAAATTTTTTAAAAAATTTAAAAATTAAAATTTTATTTTTTAAATTTAAGTTTTTGAAATTTTGTGTTTTTTTACAAAAATAATGTTGTTATCATAAAGTTCAACAACCCACACTTCAAAACTGTTAACAAGGCCATGTGTTTTGTACTTAAACTTTATTTTTCAATTTTGTCACTTTTTCCCTCAGGGCACAGTTTAAAGGTGTGGGAAAGCACAGAAAGACGGTGTCTAAGTACCTTAATACAGCTTAATACCCACGTTCTTTGTTTTGACATGCGGGGATTAAAGGGGTTATGACAGGGCTGTAGGTGTTACAAGTTTAATGAGTCAGACAGATAAAAATGTCAAAAAATCCTAAGATTATACTGTGGTTTGCAGTTTTTATTAAAGTAAATTGAAGTGGGAATAGGCTAGGGTAAGACAAAGGCCAGTACTAAAGCTAAGGCTAATGTTGTTGCTAGAGTTTAGAGCCAGGGCTAAAGCAAGAGTTGGGTTAGACTAGAGCAGCGACTAAAGTTAGGGCTGTGGCTAAAGCTAAGATTTGGGGTAGGGCTAGGACTAAGACTCGGGTTAACTATAGAGCACAGGCTAAGGCAAGAGCTAGTGCAAGGCTAGGGCTAAAGCTAACATTAAGAATGCGTCTAGAGCTAGAGCTTGAGTTAAAGCTAGGACTAGAACTAGAGCTAAGGCTAGGGCTATTGCTATGGCTAAGAATCGGGCTCAGACTGAGGCTAAAGCTAGATCTCAGGCCGTTTTTACAGCCCAAAAAGCTAAAAATGTCATTTAAAATTCCACGTAAAAATTTACTTTTTCAAAACTTTTTCATTTTGGCACGTTGACTATGACCTTCTTTTATACAAAGCTAGTGAAGCAAATTTAAAACCCAAGCCACAAATTTCATTTCTAAATTTAAGCCTAACTGTAAGCCTTTTAAGCCCTAAAAACTAATTTAAATTTCCATGCAAAAATTTTAATTTAACTTTTTTTTCAATTTCATTTTGTGTCTAATTCGAACCGGCTGTTTTCAAATTTAAATTCGCGAAAAAGCGGCCGTTCCGTGCCCTCAGGGGAACGGCCGCATCGATCGATGCGTTTTTACAGCCGGAAAGCGTGCTAAAACTAAAGAAAAAATGTTCTGCCTTTGACGTCGGCGCTTGGATCTCTGGAACAGTTCGGATTTACATTTTTGGAGAATGGGAACAAGGATAACAAAAAAAGTTGAAAGAAAGTACGAAAAATGACATAGTTAAGGAACAAATTTGAAGAAAAATGACATAGCATAGAGAGGAACGTAGTAAAAAGATAAAATATAGCGTAACTCTGGTATAATGAACTCATCTATTATGAACTATCACATAACTAATCGCTCGGTGATTTCAAAATTTGTTCGTTATAAAGGAGATTCGCTATACAAACGTTTTAAATGCACTTTTGAGTGGAAGATGTAGTAATAGGGATTTGAAAGTTGCTCATTATAAAAAAGTTTCATTATAGAGGATTTCGTTATACAAGAGTTCTTCTGTATCTTCAAAAAACAAATGGCAAAGTGTAAGCAAAATATAACCAGCAAGGATGCCATAAGCACTCTTCAGACCAATTTATTGTTATAGATTAAGATGTTTACGGATTTTCAAAAACACAATGAAGATTAATCAAAATGCTTAATGACAATTAAATGTTTGCCATTTTGAAAACAACATAAATATATTTCCAATAAAGAGAATTGTCATGCTAATAGAATATAAAAAATAAAAAATTGTTAACAAAGAAAGTAACCAACCTGATCCACTCAAAATAAGCTTATAATCTTTAGATATTATTAATAAGTTCTGCGTACCACCAACCGTACACATAAAAAGGTTACAAGCATGAAACACAATGCCAATTTGGCAGAAAATTTAAAATGTATTTTTTGGATATTGATTTTCTCGTGATTGACTCCAAAGCGCGATTTAGTAGTTTGCTGTAAAGTTTATATTTACATGATCTTTCTATATAAAAAGTTTGAAGTCAAACAGAGCGGCAAAACTAAACAACTACCTTAAAAATTTTTCAATTTCCTACCCTACCCACCTTCTTCTGGTTCTCCAAAATTTTGCTTTTTTGCCCTTTAAGCCTAGCCCACTTTACTCTGAGTTTCTTCTAACCCCTCTCCTTCCCCCCCCCCTTCCTCATTCCAAAAAATCCTTTATTACATATTTCATAACTCTTTAACCCCCTCCCTATTATTCCCCAATCCCCCACCCCAACCCTCAAATTACCTTAATCAACCCCCTCCCCAATCCACCTCCACCACTAAACCCCAAGCTTGAAACAGAATTGAATTTGGTGCCAAATTGGCCCAAATACACACGGAATGACGTGCCCAGTTTACCGAGTAAAAACAAGAATTTGAGGACAAAAAGTGTGTCTTCTTTCTGAAGCCAAGACGTGGTCTTTCTCTCGGCTTCAAGGCTTCTTCGTGCCTCCAGGCGTCTTTTCAAAACCCTAGGAAGGCATATTATTAGTGTGATCTTTAAAATGAAGGGTTTCACTGTGTTAAGTAATGTTAAGAGATTAAGTGGTCATTAGAAGAGATGACGGAAATTGGAAGGATAGCAATTATAAACAGACGACAATATGAAAAAGACAGTAATTGTGACATTGCAGTTGACTGCAATAGTTTTGTATATGAGATGTAAATTTTTTGCAAAAAAAAATTTAGAAATTTCAAAAAATAACAAATTTTTTAATTTAAAAAAATCTTTAAAGAATATTTCAAAAAGTTAAAACAATGCCAAAGGCTTTATATTTGAATTTACAATCAGTATCCCACCCTAAATTACCTTGCCCTACTCTATCCTGCTCGACCCTACTCTGCCTTGTCCTACCCTACCTTAACTTACCCTACCCTAAATCATTGTGCTTTACCTTGCCTTTATCCTGCCTCATAATTATAACAGAAGCATTCCTGCATTCCTACTCTAGTGAACTTATATTGTAGTAGGGTGTGCTAAACTTTCAAATTTTTTTAAATTGCAATTTTAGTTAGTACGGTGCCATTTCATAGCTTCAAACTCCATGTTTGTGCAAATTTTAAAAAATTTTTCGTTTTTTGACGTTAAGACATGTAAACAAGGAAGAGCGCGTCGTAAAATAACATTAACATATCAGCGGCTGAATAGACAGTGTAACCACGCTATGCTCACGACAACAACAACAATGGGTTTAAGATGAACTATTATTTAGAGAATACATTACAATGACAATAGATAGCGTTTGGCCTACAGTATGGTTTTTCCGGAATTATAGTACTCCAAATGCCATGTTTTTTCTTATAGTACCTCACTGTAGTATGTCTACCCTACCCTACCCTACCTTACCCTACCCTAGCTTACCCTACCCTACCCTACCCTATCCTACCCTACCCTACCATACTCTACCTCGCCCTACCCTACATAGTAGTTTTTGGCTTGCAGTACCCTTACTATCCCCGCTGTTGTATGTTTCGCCTTGGAGTATCAATGCAAACCAAAAACAATAAATTTGAAAATAACGTATGTTTCCTTTACAGTACCTTCGTTATCATATATATAGTTTTAGCTATTGTATCCATATAATCTTAGACTATACTAAATGCTACTACCATTACAATGTGTTTCGACCCACAATAACATTGTACAGTAAGTTTTGATCCTGCAAATAAAAAAATTCATTTTTTCCAATTTCAAAAATGCCATTTTTGTCCATAAAGTATTATTTCCACGTTTTTTCGGCCCAAAGCTTGTAGATTTTTGGCTTTTTCGAGAACATTTTTTTTCTTTTTTTTTCATTTCCTGTTTCCCTTGCAAAACCCCTCATCCTATTTACATTTTACGGAACGACGTAGTATCCCCGTCTCCAATGTCCTTATACTGAGGAAAAGCCTCAACAATAGGATTAGTGCCCTAGTTTAGTTGTTTTGGCACACAACTTAACATAGATAA